TGCTAGACTTATGAAAGGATTAGAACGCGAAGCCATTATACAAGGTCACGTTCGAGCAGAAGAAACTAAAGGAAACCACTTAGGTAAAGTTTTGGCAAAAACTCAGTTAGGACGCTTATTAAGACAAGAACAATCGGCCATTTGGCCAGACTTTTCTGTAAAGTAATACTTTGTAAAAATGTGTTAAAATACGAGCAAACTAAATATTACTTCTGGATATGTTTTCCAAATTTGATGAATTATTAAAAGGGCATGTTGTGCTTCTGTTCACAAGACGCCGGAACTATTTCAACAACTCACAACAAACAGATGGAAACTGTTACAACATCTAGTGATCTACGTACGCTTACCGTATATATTGTTAAAATCATTTAAGATAAGAAAGGATTTGGGAAGTATTCAAAACAATAAAAAATTCAATATACATTCATTTAAATTTTGACTAAAGCCTATCGGAAAAGTTCAAGATCTGGCTTCGGACAGATTTTTGGTCTAAATCAAAGGGGGTCGTCATTCAATAAAAAAGAAAACTAATTTGCGCTTGTAAATGCTTAATATATGATTCAATTCTTGATTGTAATACACATTTATGGAAAGACAGAATAAGTGCTTAATGGTTTGTTTTTCCTTTAAATTTATATCTGTACACTTTGTTGTTGTGAGCTGAAAGTAAACATACATTTCTGTTTACTTTACTTCTGTTGTGCTATGTAATCAATTATTCAGATCTGTTCTTTGTATAGAATCAATAAGACAATACGACTTCGTGAGCACATGCATGTAAACTGTAACTAATTATTTCATTTTATCGACAGTTTAATTAAATATTTCAATTGCAGATTAAATAAGTTCACGCTGCAAAAATCGATATAAATATGAACTTCATCTATATTCAAGCATATGTTTATAGGCTTGTAAAACATTGACGTTTAAAATATGAGATTTATTATGTATTGCATGAATACAAAATGCCAAAATATATCATTACGAGAAGTCACGTATCAAAATAGATACTCTACACACTCAAGATTTGTATTCATTTTTGCATTTATACTCTCGGCCTCAAACTCTCAACCTAGTTATGTAATATTTTGCTTTATGTGGCAAATATTTTTGTCTTAAAAGATCGAAACTAATCAGTGCATGAATAAGTCAAAGCGTGACAAAAAATATTACACTACTACTTTGATATTTTACATCTAATTATGAATATGACATTTTCAGGTGTAGTTCCCCTCCTTTTATGTAAAATAGTTACATTTCGGCTAGCTATTTTAGACCTGAGGGGCATGATCTTCGAGGACCACAAGGGCGTATATTTACCCAAGTTTCAACAATCTATAGATCTAGCGAAGAACAATATATGCGTAATACCTCGGCTCTTTCAAGGCAATGACATTTAAATAAATTTCTTTGTAAATGCATATGCCTATGTAAAAATAAAGCCCCTGGGGATGTCAATTTAGACCACAGGGGCATAAATAAATAAGTTTACACTTTTACACGTTTACAACTTTTCTTAAAACTTAGGTTGAGGGCTTGTAAATTCAGACATGTTTATTTATTTGCCTTTGTAAAATAAATAACTCACAGACAAAATCACATTGGTTTAAATGAATACTACACAGCAATAACTTAAATCAAATATCTAGCGTGCAATAATTTATAAGAAAAATGTAGAGCCGCATGTGTAGGACCAGTAGCGGTAAGGCTTTATTTTTTTATTTATAGGCAGTATTCATTTATTTCATCAAGTATCATATTCTTCCTAAGGTAATAAATAACTTATTAATTTATTTCGACGAACAAAAGACATTTATGATTGTTGTATGTCTATCCTTGAAAAACTGTAACTGTTAATAACATCACAAAACATACTTGGATTGTGAAAAATGCGCAGTTTAATTACCTCTTAAATGAACAATTGATGAACATTCCTGATAAAATAATAATTTAAATCGAGTATATTTGTTATCCCTTTTTATCAATCAACTTTGTATCGCCCCACCGCGTTGACAGATGTGTAAATCTATCTTATCATTTAATTACATGTCGATGACATTAAGTTCAATTTCAACGCGATTAATTATTCTTCTTTAAAAGTGAAATTCCGATGCGTTTAACGGAAACATGCAGTCGGAATATTTACTATTCATTTCAACATACACACCATGCATGGATATCAGTAAATCTATTGCTAAATAATATGAACAATCAAAACTTGTAAAATAGGTGGCTTTCATTCAGTGGCGATTGTTGTTCTGACAATGGAAAAATATTTTAAAAGTCAATATGCTTTAACATATTCAAAATCAAACGATTACAAAATCATTACTTCTACTTGCACTGAAATTGAAAATGCAGGATTAGTAATCGTGGAGCCTGTGTGGAAACCTTGTGTATTCAATAATGAGTTTCCAAGGACACACAGTGTAAAGAGACATCATAACATTGGCAGAAAGAGGCAATGTTCACCTGAAAACTTTCCATTTGAAAATTCTATTGTGACAGATAATAGAAGGTATTTACGTGATTCAGAAAATGTGATAAACATACACATGCCTCGTTTACCTGTTAACAATTTTTCTGAACACTGTAAAAATAAGATTAACAAACGCACGGTCTGTTCTTTCGTAGAAAATAGTAAAATGTACCTAAAGAAAAAGGGAGTTAATATAAATAGTCTGTATTCATTTAGACAAAGCAGAAGAAAACCGAATGACAAAACGCCAAATTATGACTTTCATATGAGCGTTGAGAGATACGTTTCAAAAAATTCCAAAGCATCAAATGTTTCAGATTGCTCTAAACATTTAACAGTGGCACATGTTTCTCGATCCAACAGTACGAGCAGCATATGTACATCGGAGGGTCAAAGGTATGCTAGACTTATGAAAGGATTAGAACGCGACGCCACAGTATCAGGTCGTGTTCGCGTAGACGAAACTAAAGGAAACCATTTAGAAAAAAAAATTGGCAAAACCCAATATAGAAAGCATATTGTGACAAGAATAATCGGGCATTCAGCAAATGTTATTATATGTCCGGGAGTGATCATTTTGACTTAATTTCTACATAAACAGAAGTGGTATTCTTTATGAACTGATTAACTATCATCAAAAATTGTGCTTTCCGAAAAAATATTTGTGAACAATTCAAGAATATAATTATATGGAAACAAGTTGAATATTTCAGATTTAAATATATATTTTCATATATAAAACATTCCATATTCTAAAACAGTAGACATCGATGTCCAAGGATATATAGTTAGTGAACAGGTGAAAGTCAAAATAAGTTTACATTTTGCAATAATTCCTTTTAATTTGTAATTTACAATCGGATTTTACATGTAACGTTCAATTTGTTAAAAGACTGGGCAGTCTTTTTATATTTTAGGCAAAAGATAATTTTTTTATCCTTTACATTTTTAAATATTAGGTCAATCACCACTTTTTAAATATACAGTCAATTCAGCTGAAATTGATAATGGAAAAGAAGAATCATAATGTCACTTTAAAATACAAGCAAACTAAAAACCATATGAACTGGTCTTAATTTTGATTTTTACAAAGAGACCGGAATACTGGAATGTATTAATATTGTATGGTACATCACGATATGTTATTGGGCATGGATGATGTTCATCAAAATGGCATGCAACATTTGCATGAGGTGAGTGATTGTATTGCTGCAATTACATCATTGACCAGACAAGGATATGAAGATTGTAATGTGCGTGGTACACCTTTCAGCAATAAACTGAAATATTCGTAAAAACACTTTGAATATAATGAGAAATATATAAGCAAATATCGTGACAAACGATGGAGATATTGAAAGAACTACGATTAAACAGACTTGAAACTATTTACATCTACATTTGTATGTACAAGATATTGTGAAAATATTTTTAATATAACAAAGACTTGAACTATTTTGAGATATATTTGTTACAGCAACGAAATAAAGAAAATAAACGTAAATATAGTAAGAATAACAGATAAAGTCAATAAATATTATATGGCAAACGCTGGAAATATTGTGAGAACTATTTTTTAGGAAAAGCCTTTTCAATGTTTTATTGTGTTAGATTCGCATACATTTATAATGTAACAAAATGAATTAATATTTCATAAACTATAACTGAACCACTCAAATGTGTAATATAGGCAATCTCATCCGCTCCATCCTTTAAGTTTATCAATCAATTTTGTTGTTTTTGTGAGATTTAAATATGCATGCATGTTTGCTCAATTTCCTTTCAATGTACTTTTTAATCAATTATTCATATCTGTCTTATCAATAAAACGTGCACACATGTAATTGTTTGATTAATTTCTTCATTTAACTTGATAGCTTAATTAAAATTTCAATTACAGATCACATCAGTGCACGCAGCACATCAAATTCTCCATATAATAGAAGCACAATGTTCACGTTAAAACTAAGAGATTCCTGTATTGAATAGACACAATATGTCTTTAGAAATGTAACATGTCGAGAATGTCATTGCAGGAGAAAGTTACACCCGGAAAAAAAAAAATTTGCAACAAATTTCCAATGTTGTATGATGACTAGTATGACGACTACTATGTAAAATAACTTGGTTCGTAAGGTCACATGCTGACAACCATTCTTAGACGACCCCATTGCTCTAGCAGTTATACTCTTGGGGTGACATGTGAAATAGTCTAAAAATGATCTTTCTTTATAAATCAAAGTACATGACTGCCGATATCCAACAAAGTTGCTTCAACATATATTGGTTCATTCAAGTATTTTTAGAATACTTCGTGGTTCTAGCAGTTTTAGAGTTACACGAGTCACAAGTATCAAAATTGCCGGGATCCATTTGTGCCGAGTCATTTAAGAAATCTTAAACCTATCACTCAAACCATTATCAGACTAAGACAGACAGAAATTCTTTTGTATGCTGAGTTTAAATGGTGGTAAAAAGAAGACATTTCATTTTACTGTTGTTTTTATTATTATTATTATTTTCTACTCATTATTTTTCTTTCATGTATTGTTATATGTAAAACCAACACATAAAAGTTAACAAAATATATACTCTATACTTCACAAATGAAATAAGATATTATCATTATAACCATGGCAAACAAGAAAATAACAAGTATATACATTTATATACCAATCAATCAATAAGGTGCAATTAACTAAAGAATGTAATATTGAATCTCGAACAAAGATTTATCTTACATTGATTTAATCAAACATGACAAGTTCAACCAAGCATAATCAAAGATTGATTTTTTTATCAGTAACTTATAAGACAAAATGTGTTATCATAACTCTATCCAGAGCAATTTCAGATTTTTTTTTAGAAAGGCATGTATTGTATATAACTTCTAATTTCATACACCTGCATATTTCCACAAAAATGGACAATTTCAAAAAAAATTCAACCTTAGAAAAAATAATTATGTTTTAAGAATCTGTTTTATATTTGTACAATCTTGCCATCAACCTAATATGTTACAAAACTATAGACCAACACTGGTCTTCCCCATCTGACAGTGCCTTTAAGTTATTTCAGAACTTTTAAGAAGACGAAAAAGCCAAAGTATTTCAATATTTATGATCAACAATAAAAGTACAAGTTTGGACTACCTTTTTACATCACAATAACTCTACCCAATCACACAGTAAGAGCTTATGGGTTTTTTTTTGTTTTGGTTTTTTTTTTATTTTCACGCATTTCAGGTATTTCAGTTGGTAGTCTGTGCTTGATATGTAGGGAAAGAACAGACATAAGTATTGATTTTTCTCAGCTGTGCATAAATTTCAGTTGCCAAATCATTACCATAAACTCCCATATCCCGTTCTTAACTTATTTCATATCTTTACTATTTCAAATGTTCATTACTAAAACAGTTGCACGAATTGGTATGAAGTTTTAAATGTCTTAATGTTGTTAATTTTTAGAGAAATGAAGTCACATTTTCAACAGTTTTAATTTATATTTCAATCAACTTAATATAGGACCAAAGAGCAGGCAACATTGTTTGTTTGCTAGTGTCACTACTATAGCATAAAGCCAGCATTCACTTTTATTCTGACTGTTTTAACTATGCAGGTATCTGCTTAACTTCAGCATTTTAATATTGCAATTGCTTAAATAAGGAATGGACAGTTTATGGCAAGGTCAACATACATTCAGCATATGTTAACTATAAACCAAAATTGATATATACAGTCATGTATGCGTTATAAAAACATTAAGTTTTTTGGATTTTAACAAATTTGTATGTATTTCTTATTCACTGTGCATATACCATAATGCTGTCTGGAAAAATGATCATCATTCAGTTATGTACCTCGTCATAGTACTTTGGGTTTAATATACACATATTAACTGGCCAATCATCTCCTCTTTGATCGCTCTTTAAACAGTGGTCTCTGAGGGAAATCTAAAGGCAGTTTTAATCTTGCAATGTATCTGACTTCCCCATCTGTTTCTTTTTTGTTTATTTTACATCCCAGTGACTTGAGAATCAAAAACATCCTGTAAAAGAAAGAATGACTCAGTCAGTTTTTATGCTTCAAAAACTTCAGATCCAAAACAATTTTGTAAAAAAAAGTCAATGACTTTATGCTTTTTTTATTGACTGATTTCCCTGAATCTGTACAGCTCATATGTATGTAGAAAGATTCCTCACTTAAAACAATTCATTTGAAAAATTAATTAAAACTATCACTTTTGTGGGTGAGTGACAGTATGTGTAGAAAATATCATTTGACTCTAGGAATAGCTTTACACTGCTAATTTACTGTATGTAATGTCTTTATTACTATGAATAGCTTTACATTGCTCATTTAGTATAGGTAGTATCTTTTGACTCTCGGAAAAGCTTTACATTGCTCATTTAGTGTATGTAATATCTTTAACTCTAGGAATAGCTTTGCATTGCTCATTTAGTGTATGTTATATCTTTTACACTAGGAATAGCTTTACATAGCTCATTTAGTATAGTATCTTTTGACTCTCGGCAAAGCTGTACATTGCTCATTTAGTGTAGGTAATACTTTTAACTCTATGAATAGCTTTACACTCTCATTTAATGTAGGAAATATCTTTATCTCTAGGAATAGCTTTACACGCTCATTATGTGTAGGCAATATCTTTATCTCTGTGAATAGCTTTACATGCTCATTATGTGTAGGCAATATCTTTATCTCTAGGAATAGCTTTACATGCGCATTTAGTATAGGAAATATCTTTTGACTCTAGGAATAGCTTTACATTGCTCATTTAGTGTAGGTAATACCTTTTGACTCTCGTGTAGGCAATATCTTTATTTCTAGGAATAGCTTTACATTGCTCATTTAGTGTAGGTAGTATCTTTAACTCTAGGAATAGCTCTTCATTGCTCGTTAAGTGTAGGTAATATCTTTAACTCTAGGAATAGCTTTACATTGTTCATTTAGTGTAGGTTATATCTTTAACTGTAGGAATACCTCTACATTGCTCATTTAGTTTAGGTAGTATCTTTTATTCCAGGCATAGCTTTACAATGCTGTGTGTTAAACATTACAACAAAACATGGTTACTCAAACTTACTTGCTTCTTTCTAGCTGCATATCCTTCATGAGATCAATAAGTTCAACAGAAAATTCATCTATCAGCAAACATAAAGTGAGGATATAAGCTGCTAACCTATCCTTTAAACGACTCGGCATACATCTGAACCAAAGAATAATTTAATATATTATTACCTAAAATAACAGTTATATACTCTCATATTCACTGAAGTCCTTAGGCGTACTCTAAGAGTACAGTACCACTTTAAAACAATTCCTACTTTACTTGACACATTTGCTGCCAGAGCTCTTACTTAATTATGGAGCATTAATTTTGTCATGAACGTTTTAAAGCATTATAGTAATTTACACTAAAAGAAGAAATTTCAATGCTTATTTTCACTTTAAGTATAGAAAAATCTATACATTAATGGGAGAAAATGACTGCAATCAACATATGATGACTTTTTACTAAAATAAGAAACATACAAAGGTTCCTGCACTGTTACATTATACAGTAAAACTTGTGTATAAGACCACATATAATTTTTTTTTTATCATTTTACCTTCCAGTGTACAAAAATTACCTTATTTCAAAGACAAATTGTCAGTAAGATTCACATACATGTATATCCTTTGCCAGTATGTTGTATAAAAGTTTGACTGTAAATCATATTTTTGAACAATGACAGCATCATTTAACATTGCACTACTACACTTTGAAAAATTCGAAAAATCTGGAAAGAAAGTGATCCTCGGACACATTAATCACAACAAAATTACATGAAAATTGTAATCTTGGTTTGATCGTGTCCGTGCATGAGGGATAATGAATCAGTGTAACATCCCTCACGCCCCCAAGCACCGGCTTGAGCTGAGCTAAATTTTCAACACTTAACAGTGCTGAAATCAATGATCCCGAAGGACCTAAAAATATAATAACACTGAAATGAAGTTCGGGGCAACTTTTTACAGCTGCCATACGACACTTGACACCTGCTGTAGTGAAGTATAAAAATCTGGAAATACTAAAAGAAGCAACAAAAATTCAGTAAAAGTTCAAAGTATCACCTTGTCTTGACTGCTTGTTTTGTGAAGTTTTCAGACAGTTTACTCTTCATATTTCCTGGACAATCTTTTGGAAAAGGGTCTGCAAAAAGCAAAAACAAAAATACTTAAAATACATATCACATGGTGACATTATGTTCAATTTTTTGTTACCAAGTTGAGCTAAATTAGTAATAAATTTTAAAAGATTGATTTCTATAATATTCATTGACCAAAAAATTTAATAAAAGAATGGTTTGGATGAAATATTAAAATCGACTTAAGACTAGAGACACTTTCAATTGCAGTATGTTAAGGGTTAAAAGAAAAAATAATTCTTATAAGCTTCTTGCAGCTTTACCTGTCTAATTCTGAAGGCTTTATATATTTGCTATGACAAAAGATCTTATAAAATTTAATTTGTTAGCTTCTTCAAATGACATGTTCTATCCTTTTGACAATTAAATCTTTATTATAAAGTGAGGATGCAAATGATTTCAATTTATTGATCAAAGCATTTATCTTGCAGATTGATATTTCCTGTAGCATAAAATTCATTAATGACATTTACCTATATATTCTAAAAGTAAATTATTATCCTAAAATGAAAATAAATACATGCAGTTGTAAAATTTTGGGTAATTTTTACATGGAATAACAGAATAAGCAGAAAAAAGGTCTGAAAATGCAAATATTTAAGTATGGTATTATTTACCTTCACTTTAAATTCACAAAGTAACAATGTCTAGCCATAGAACATTATCTAAATTATATAAATTCTCTCTCTGAGATAGAGTTTACCTTTTTGTCTCAGTTCTTTCGGTGATAACTTGTACAAATGTATCATATAATACAAATATATAAGACACTTGGACCTCTCCCAGCGAATGAGCGGATCTAATGACATGCTTGATACATGACTTAAAACATATGCTGGATACCTGAAAGTAGTAAAAGTCAAACTATACAGTATGTATGTGAACCCTTTTTTTTAAATAAAACTAAAATCAAAACTTAGTATGGAAAATCTACCTGAAATATCTTACGCATAAACGTAACTTACATGTAAATCAATTCCGTATGTACCTGATGATAGTTATAAACATGAAACTGTCCATTAGTACAATAAAAACGTAAAATGTTTTTCCTTTTTTTGTTTATTTATTTTATATTACCTATTTCTATCCTTATGTTTATGACAGCAGTTTGTAAAGATTTGAGCTTAATTCACATATATCAATTATCTAACACTACTTTTACAATTAGGACTGAAAATCTGAGTGGTATTTAGCACAAAATTGGGAATTCATTTTGTGGGGAGATTGCCTAGACTTGCAGCAGGTATTAAAACATTGTTTTTTTTTCTGCAGATAATGCAAGAGATCAACATAGACTCTTATTATTTTTTTATTTTTTTTTCAATCTAATATTTCGATAAATAAGAAATTTTACATACGTTTTGTTATCTTTCCATTCTTTGATTTGTGCTGGTGTACTGTCAAAGAACACTGCAGCAGGAGATTGTAGGGAATCCATGTCAATTTCTGATAAAACTACAAGAAAACAAAACTCAAATTATTCCTAACAGTGATTGACAATAAAACACTACTCACATTAATCTAACAGAGTGATCAATCTCTAATCAAAGTGTAACTAGAACTTCTACTGTCATGGCGTGAATACCCCTGCATACCACTTTGTCAGAATCAACAGTGGCCATTTAGAGCTCAAGGACAACTTCCCTGCCAAATCTGAGGTTACTAAGCCAGTGCATTGCTTAGTTATGTATTCTACATGATTCAAGTGTGAAAATGTCAAACTCAATACACTGCCGACAGGCATTCTTAAGCATTTTAGCAGACAAGCTAATTGTAGTAAAAGCCCCTGTGATCTTGACCTTTTGTCACAGTCACCTAAAAATCAATAGGGGTAATCTACTAGTCATAAACAACCTCAATACCAAAATATGAAAACTGTTGAGCAAAGCATTCTTAAGCAATTGAGCGGACAAGCTTTTTTTTAGTCAAGGCCCTTGTGACCTTGGCCTTGATCCAGTGACCTCAAAATCAATAACGGTCGCCTAATGGCCATGACCAACCCCCATGCCAAATATGAAGAGTGTGGGTCAAAGGATTCTTAAGTCATCGGGTGAACAAACTTTTTGAAGTCGTCAATAGGGGTCATCTATTAATCATAACAAATCTCAATATCTTAAGTTATTGGGTGGACAAGGAACAAGAACTGTCGGAGGACAGTATTGCTCGACTATTCAAAAATTTGTCACAAGGGTGTTTCATTGAGTATAATAATGCTTACCTATATGAATACATAAAATTGTCCGAAAAGGTACAAACCCTTCAAGTTTCAATACATTCCCTTTAGTAGTTATGGAGATACAAGCTTACACACAAAAACTTAACCAAGAATTTATGAATAAAAAAAGGAGCATAATTATGTGAAAAAGTAAATCAGAGTTATGGGACTTGTGCCAATCATCTTAGATAATCACAGACAACAAGAGTGTGAAGTTTCAATCCATTCCCTTCAGTAGTTATTGAGATACCAGATTACACGCAAAAACTTAAACAAAAATTTCTAAGTCAAAAAAGAGGCATAATTATGTATAAAAGCAAATTAGAGTTATGGGATTTGTGCCAATTATCTTAGATAATCACAGAGAACAGTGTGTGAAGTTTCAATCCATTCCCTTCAGTAGTTATGGAGATACCAGCTTACACACAAAAACTTAACCAAGAATTCATAAGTCAAAAAGGGGCATAATTATGTAAAAAAGCAAATCAGAGTTATGGGACTTGTGCCAATCATCTTAGATAATCACAGAGAAAAAGTGTGTGAAGTTTCAATCCATTCCCATCAGTAGTTATGGAGATACCAGCTTACATACAAAATTAACCAAGAATTTCTTAAGTCGAAAAAGGGGCATAATTATGTAAAAAAGCAAATCAGAGTTATTGGACTTGTGCAAATCATCTGAGATAATCACAGAGAACAAGTGTGTGAAGTTTCAATCCATTCCCTTCAGTAGTTATGGAGATACCAGCTTACATACAAAAACTTAACCAAGAATTTCTAAGTCGAAAAAAGGGGCATAATTATGTAAAAAAGCAAATCAGAGTTATGGGCCTTGTGCCAATCATCTTAGATAATCACAGAGAACAAGTGTGTGAAGTTTCAATCCATTCCCTTCAGTAGTAATGGAGATACCAGCTTACATACAAAAACTTAACCAAGAATTTCTAAGTCAAAAAAGGGGCATAATTTTGTAAAAAAGCAAATCAGAGTTATGGGACTTGTGCCAATCATCTTAGATAATCACAGAGAACAAGTGTGTGAAGTTTCAATCCATTCCCTTCAGTAGTTATTAAGATACCAGCTTACATACAAAAACTTAACCACAGGGACGCCGACGCCAACAAATGGGTGACTGCATTAGCTCGATTATTCTGCGAATAGTCGAGCTAAAAACCAACGGACTGACGGACATTTAGGCAAGGCCCCTGTGACCTTAACCTTTGACCTGGTGACCTCAAAATCAATAGGGGTCATCTAATCATGACCAATCTCAATACAAAATACGAAGACTGTGGGTCAAAGGAATCTTAAGTTATTGGACAGACAAGCTGATTCCAGTATACCCCCTTACAACTTTGTTGTGGGGAGGTAAAATAATAAGAAATAAACTCCAATTAAAAAAGATATCGCTTACAGCCTTATACCCCCTTATAATGAGCTGTTGCTGTGGTCCCAACTCATGTTTTCAAATTGATTGCCTTTCCGGTATATCAATAACCGGATATACCAATATGACTATGGCAGTCACCTAAATATCATTATCAGCAGTCTACTGTGTATTATAAGAATATTTTGCTTGAAAATAAAACCCTTCTTTCAGAAACCTAATCAGGCAAGTAATATTCATAATAATACTAGTCCTACGCTTGCTTTGTATTCTGGGAATGTGGCTTGAAACTGATTGTGACATAGCCTATAGTAAATGTCACAATATTTTACAATGACTGTGACATTACTTTAGTCACATAACTAATCATAAATATGAAATTACTTACAATGATTGTGATTTTATCTATAATGAATTACTTCCCTTAACTGAAACTTGACTATCATGTCATTTGCCATAAAATCATAAATGACTCTTTATACGAATTTTCACTTACTGCAAATGTTACTATTCTTGCACAGAATGTGACATATACTTGGTTCCTATGATATCAAGGGTTCTATGATATCAAGGTATTAAAATTTTCTGTGACTGCAAATAAAAGCAACACGTGATGATGCTAATATTTGTAAAACTTGCACACTATATTCATTTAAATCTGCCAATAAATTTAATTGGGTGAATAATGAATGTATTTGTGGCAAGAAAACTATTTTATAAAACCTTCATATTTGACTACCATTTTCCTTAATGGTTTTTACATGGTCAATTAAAATATGTTATAAAAACATATACTGACATATAGTCTGTTCATATAGTTTTAATTTTATAGCAAGTGAACTGTTGGAAGTTTTTCACAACTTAACTTGAAAGTTTTGACCCATCAATCCTTCTATACTTGCTTTTTTCGGGGATTACCTTGATACCGTAGTAACCTCCTCTGAAATTACCCAAAATGGCAGACATTGAAAATATTCAAAAAAATATCATTTTTATTGGTTCTTTTGAAATAATTTTTTGACAAACTGTTTTGGAAAAGGTTCAGTTATAAGATTGAACAAAAATCTCATTCATTTATGATATTTATATTAAATATTTTCCGATAAACTTTTAAGTACCGTGATATCATAGAACCCCGGGCTATGTATTAAATGTGACATTACTGCAGTTAACTGCAAATGTTAAATTACTTACATGGAATATGACATACATATTTACTGTGACAGTACTGCTGTTACTGTGACATTACTATTGTTACTGTGACATTACTGCTGTTACTGTAACAGTACTGCTGTTACTGTGACATTACTACTGTTACTGTGACATTACTGCTGTTACTGTGACATTACTGCTGTTACTGTAACAGAACTGCTGTTACTGTGACATTACTACTGTTACTGTGACATTACTGCTGTTACTGTGACATTACTGCTGTTACTGTGACATTACTGCTGTTACTGTGACATTACTTACTGCAATTGTTACAATTCTTACACAGAATGTGACATACATATTAAATGTGACATTACTGCTGTTAACTGTAAATGTTAAATTACTTACATGGAATGTGACATACATATTTACTATGACATTACTGCTGTTACTGTGACATTACTACTGTTACTGTGACATTACTGCTGATACTGTAACATTACTGCTGTTACTGTAACATTACTGCTGTTACTGTAACATTACTGCTGTTACTGTAACATTACTGCTGTTACTGTGACATAACTGCTGTTACTGTAACATTACTGCTGTTACTGTGACATCACTACTGTTACTGTAACATTACTGCTGTTACTGTGACATTACTGATGTTACTGTGACATTACTGCTGTTACTGTGACATTACTGCTGTTACTGTGACATTACTGATGTTACTGTAACATTACTGCTGTTACTGTGACATTACTACTGTTACTGTGACATTACTGCTGTTACTGTGACATTACTGTTGTTACTGTAACATTACTGCTGTTACTGTGACATTACTGTTGTTACTGTAACAGTACTGCTGTTACTGTGACATAACTACTGTTACTGTGACATTACTGCTGTTACTGTGACATTACTGTTGTTACTGTAACAGTACTGCTGTTACTGTGACATTACTACTGTTACTGTGACATTACTGTTGTAACTGTGACATTTCTATTGTTACTGTGACATTAATGCTGTTGCTGTGATATTACTGCTGTTACTGTATCATTAATGCTGTTACTGTGACATTAATGCTGTTACTGTGATATTACTTACTGCAAATTTTAGATTACTTACATGGAATGTATATTTATCTACTGTGACATTTATATTGTGACATTGACTTTACATAAAGCAAATTCATTTAATGTGACATTATTACTAAGATATTGCTGCTGTAAGTGTGACATTACTTACTGTCTGAGAGACTATAGACATCTTCAACATTTTCAGCATTTTTATTGCATGGAGGTATCACATCTAACACTGATTGTGTGCTTTTTGTTTCTGTAATATACATAGAGAAAATAACATCATAAATAAGCTATTCTGGTGGGTTATATGCAACTTCTTTTGGTTCAAATTCTTACACTATTAATGTCATAAAAGTATTATAGTTGTTTTTTTTTAAAACTTCCTGAAATGGAAGATTGCATTTCCTTATGAACAGGATACATACAAGATTATTGATATTTTATTATCATTCCTGACAAATTCAGCAATACAAAGAGAGAAATATGGGAAGAATATATTTAGTTATACAGTTGACTCTTGTTATCTCAAAGCCACTGGGACCCTTAAAAAAAGTTTATACAGATTAAATTCTAAAATTTTAACAGTCAAGAAACTTTAAATCCCATCTGAACACTGAAAACTTTTAATTGTTCACAATCCATTTTAACAAAATCAAAACATTACGCGCACTTTAGAAAAAATAAATTACATTTATCTAATTAATATAATGTGATAATTGGCCTTATGTTCGTCATTCAATCTTGTACATAGATGCAAAAGCAAATAATAAAGTTCCATATTATTTAAGTTAATCAGAACAAAATCCCACAGCTGTGCTACTGGTGTTAGAAAACAAAACACCAACCCAAACCATTCACCCATGGTGAACCTCTCAACAAACCAACAATCCCAACCATTCACCCATGGGGAAACCTCACAACAAACCACCATCCCCAACCATTCACCCATGGTGAACCTCTCAACAAACCAACAACCCCAACCATTCACTCATGGTGAACCTCACAACAAACCACCATCCCCAACCATTCACCCATGGTGAACCTCTCAACAAACCGACAACCCCAACCATTCACCCATGGGGAACCTCACAACCAGGCCTCGACATTAGCGGTGGTCCGTTGGTCCGAGACCACTTGATTTTGGCAAGGACCACTTAATCTTAAAACCCACTGGTCCGTTGGACCACTTGAATTTTCTGGTTGATGCAAAGCTCACTTGGAAGAATGGCGATTTGGTCAAAAACAGTTTATATGATTTTGTTAAAAATCTTGTGTCCGATGTACATGTATATGGTTCATTAATCTCTGATTAGTTAAAGAAGTTCTTAAGTCATTGATAACTTTCGTTTGAAGTCGCTAAAATTTGTTTTGCAAGTTAAAAGAGTTTAGAATTTGTGATATTAATTTAGGTACAAAATTCATTCAAATGGTGCTAGTAATTATGCATCGTCGGATACCGACGGCGGAACCATTAACATTTAATGATAACTGACCACCTTACTTCTGGAAGGACCACCTAACTTTCAAATCTAGTGGTCCGGCGTACCACCTGCTAAAAATGTTAGTGTCGAGGCCTGACAACAAACCACCATCCCCAACCATTCACCCATGGTGAACCTCTCAACAAACCACCAACCCAAACCATTCACCCATGGGGAACCTCACAACAAACCACCAACCCCAACCATTCACCCATGGGGAACCTCACAACAAACCACCATCCCCAACCATTCACCCGTGGTGAACCTCACAATAAACCACCAACCCAAACTATTCACCCATGGTGAACCTCACCACAAATATAAAGCACTAACCTTCTTTCTGCAGCTGATGAAGTTTCACCTGTTGTTTTCCATGGTGTATATCAGCAGCTAGATGGTCCTTCATTGTCCCTTCATCTATCATGTTCCTTTGTTGTTTCTCCAATGCTGATTTCTTCCATTTACTTCCAAACGCTTCCGTTAACATTCCAAGCTAGAAATAAAAACAACATTCATAATATTCATGTTATCAGATATTGTTAAGTTCACAATCATTTTTTACTTTGCAAACTTTACTGCAATTTTAAAAGTCAATCTACATCCATTTAATTATTTCTGTCAGTGGGATACGGGTTAAGTCAGGTCTATTTAGGTCATATAGTGATTTTTGGAGGAAGAGCAAACAACATCCCTTGATGCTTTTTTTATTTTTTCGGCACCAACGGTTCAGTTCCTACAATCATTCCCATATGACCTGCCATTAGCAGACTTGGTGGTTTCATTACATGTAGTACCCATAGCAGTGAGTGACGAATGATTTCAAGTCAGCCATGTTAACCACTTATTACTGAGAAGCTTAAATATTCCTGTCACTAAGATAGTGTTACTGTGATTCTTTCCCACCAAAAAAATTCTCACATCAGCCGATATCGTAATAAATCAGTCATTTCCGGACCGTTATTTTGCACAATCTTCGGTATCTAATAATTTTTAACTGTTTATAACAAGAATTTAGTATATAGCGATTAAAGATGAGTAATAATCTAATGCCAAAGATTTTGAAAAAATAACGTTCCAGAAATAACCAATTTGCTATGATATTGGCAAATGTTAAAAAGTTTTGGCGGTAAAGCATTACATTAAGACTACCTTAAGATCAAAATGATAATTGTGTATTCTAATTATAACAACAAGGTTCAAAATATAAAATCTGATCATCTTCTAAATTAAAACAGAATTAATGACGTAACTTCGCTACTAGATAGATAGATAGATAGATAGATTTATTTCGGCATAGGAAGCATATACATAGTTGACAACATAACATAGGATAAAATAATGAGCATTATTAAATACTATATCACTAGTAGTCTGTACATCCATGCCGTCTACTAACGCTCTTAATGCGAGAGTTGATCACAAAACTGTTGTATGTCCTTCATTTTTTATAGGTTACTGAAGTTTTGTGGTCAACACACAAACTGTTGTCTGGCACATTCAGTTTCAGTATTCTAATACATTGTATTGCATATTTAAATCCTTCACACTAACAAAATAACAACTTAAACTTGTCAAAAGTGCCTTACTCTGTTAACCTATTACCATATATACACGCCTTCTCATGCCTTTTTTACCCCCCCCCCTTTTTTTTTGTCTAAATGGTGAAAAAATGCCTTATTTAAGCCCCAAACACATGTGTTTGTTTGAGAAGTGTTGTTTTAAAAAAGTGACCAACTTTTCGGTGCCGCCCCTTATCCAAAAGATACATCAGGGGATGTGCCTCCTTCTGTTTGGGGCTTTGAAGGGGGGCAGCAGCTTCCCTCATCCCCAAGAAAATTTTGGACTTGTGAGTGGCTAAAAATGACCCCAGGTCGATAATAAGGTAATGTGTAACCAACGCTGAAAAGCCTTTGACTCTATCTCAATCCAGATAACTATATCAGTTGCAGCTCTTTGGAATCAATTTTGATGGAAAAAATCAACGCAAAATAATCATTTATGGCAGTTTTGAGATGTCCCCTCGTTGCCATGGTAACAGGAAATTTAATACTAAAATATTGTTACAAAGGCAATGGTCCAGTAAACATTTGTGCCAAGTTTGATTAGTATAGAAGAAGTTTTTATAGTTTTATAGCAATTTGAACTTGTAATGGGAGGCTTTTCAATTAAAACAGCCATTTTTTACAAAATGCTCATGCAGTAATGGGTTAACAAATGACCAATATTAACTACATGTACCTTCTGAACATAATTGTGTTGAGGCAGTGGAGTGTCATCATCATCTCTTCCTGCAAGAACACAATATAAATGTTATATTATATAAAATCACTACACATAAATATGAAATAAACAAAATCATCTTGCCTTCTACTTTTGTCAGTTTTAGTCACTACAGAAATATATCTTTGTTTTAATAAGATATTATGATTATTCAAATCGTAAATCCAGGTAAATTGTTGAATCCAAGCAAGTCCAAATATCTGCCTGACAAAATGTATGAAGGAACATCTAATTTCATTCCTATTCATCCACTTCCAGCTTCACTATTAGGCTAATATAGAGCTTATATGACCTAAACAGTGACATTGAAATGGAATGAGAAAGAACAAGAGCTGTCCGTAAGACAGCGCGCTCGACTTTTTTAGTGCTTGCCTATAATACAAAACATTGACAGTTAAGGGCCATAATTCAAATAAAATCTTTGACAGAATTACCTTCTCCTGGACATGTTTGGGAATCATGATTGTAAACAAGTATTCCAACTTTCAAATTAATATCTCAAACAGTTCAGTCAAAAAGTGGACTGGTACTAAAAACTTAACCAAGATTCTAAGTCGATAAAAGGCCTTAATTTTTAAAACAAATCCTTGACAGAGTTACCTTCTCTTGCGTACAGATGGGGGTAATGATGTGAAATAGCATTAAAAGTTTCAAAGCAATATCTTCAAAGGGTTAAGGCAATAAGTGGATTTTACCCATATTCAATGTATTTTCTAAGTCAAAAAGGGGCATAATTCTGTCAAAAACCTTGACAGAGTTATGTCCTCTTGTCTGTTTGATGAAGGTCGTGATGGTAAACAAGTATGGTCAGTTTCAAAGCAATACCTCCAATGGTTTTGAAATAAAGTGAGGTGGTACAAAAAACTTAACCAAGCTCAATACACTTTCTAAGTCAAAAAAGGGCCATAATTCTGTCAAAAACCTTGACAGAGTTATGTACTCTTGTCTGTAGATGGAGGTTATGATGGTGAACAAGTATGGTAAGTTTCAAAGCCATACTTGTAATACTTCTGAAATAAAGTGGGGTGGTACGAAAAACTTAACCAAGGTGTGACGCCGACGCCGACGCCGACGCCGACGCCGACGCCGGGGCGAGTAGGATAGCTCCCCTTTTCATAGAAAAGTCGAGCTAAAAACGGGTAGTCTGAAAGGTTGTTTTATCAACACACTTAACATGCATTAAGTTTTAATGATGAACTTAATCTTTTATTTTGTGATTTTGTTGAACTGGGTCAAGGATGAATTACATCAATGTGCACATGACCGAAATTATAAAATTTGAATACATCAATAATAAAGATAGATAATACAAAAAGCATGTCTATGAGCTGCGTCACAACAAAACCAACATAATGGGTTTGCGACCAGCATGGATCCAGACCAGCCTGCGCATCCGCGCAGTCTGATCAGGATCCATGCTGTTCGCAATCAGTTTCTCTACTTGAAATAGAGTTGGTAAGCGAACAGCATGGATCCTGATCAGACTGCGCGGATGCACAGGCTGGTCTGGAGCCATGCTGGTCGCAAACTCATTATGTTGGTTTTGTCGTGAAGCAGCTCAATAATAGTGATCATCTCAATATCTCTACTGGAAATGATATGTGAGAAAGTCTTCTGATGCTAATCTTCTTACACTAAATATTTAAACAGCTTTTACCTTCACATCAAAAATACAAACAAGAGGGCCATGATGGCCCTGAGGTCGCTCACCTGTATATAGCCCCCCCCCCACCCCCGGGCCAATTTTTACCAAAGGGCTTTTATTTGTTTATTTGAACAGACTTGGTAGACACCCATAAGAAGATGTTTCATGCTAAACATCTAAGTTCTAGCTCATTGGGTTTTTTAAAAGAAGATTTTTTAAGGTTTTTACTATACACATATAGTTAAAAACAATGACACCCCTGGGGCAGGGCCAGTTTTGACCCCCGGGCTTTTATTTGAACAAACTTTGTAGATATTTACTTAAAGATGTTTCATGCTTAATATCTAAACTCTAGCTATTTGGGTTTTTTCAAAGAAGATTTTTCAGTTTTTGCTATACACATATAAGGAAAATCAATGACCCCCCCGGGCAGGGCCAGTTTTGACCCCAGGGCTTTAATTTGAACAAACTTGGTAGACACCCATTAGAACATGTTTCATGCTAAATATCTTAGCTTTAGCTCTTTGAGTTCTTTAAAAGAAGATTTTTTAAGTTTTTACTATATGCATATAGGGAAAATCAATGACCCCCTGGGGCGGGGCCAATTTTGACCCCAGGGCTTTTATTTGAACAAACTTAGTAAACACACATTAGAAGATGTTTCATGCTAAATATCTTAGCTCTAGCTCTTTGGGTTCTTTAAAAGAAGATTTTTAAGTTTTTACTATATGCATATAGGGAAAATCTATGACCCCCTGGGGCGGGATCAATTATGACCCCAGGGCTTTTATTTGAACAAACTTGGTAGACATTCACTAGAAGATGTTTCATGCCAAATATCTAAGCTCTAGCTCTTATGGTTCTTTAAAAGAAGATTTTTTAAGTTTTTACTATATGCATATAGGGAAAATCAATGACCCCCGGGGCGGGGCCAATTTTGACCCCAGGGCTTTAATTTGAACAAACTTGGTAGACACTCACTAGAAGATGTTTCATGCTTAATATCTTAGCTCTAGCTCTTTGTGTTCTTTAAAAGAAGATTTTTTAAGTTTTTACTATATGCATATTATAGGGAAAATCAATGACCCCCTGGGGCGGGGCCAATTTTGACCCCAGGGCTTTTATTTGAACAAACTTGGTAGACATTCACTAGAAGATGTTTCATGCTAAATATCTAAGCTCTAGCTCTTATGGTTCTTTAAAAGAAGATTTTTAAAGTTTTTACTATATGCATATAATAAAAATAAATGACCCCCTGGGGCAGGGCCAATTTTGACCCCAGGGCTTTTATTTGAACAAACTTGGTAGACATTCACTAGAAGATGTTTCATGCTAAATATCTTAGCTCTAGTTCTTACGGTTCTTTAAAAGAAGATTTTTTAAGTTTTTACTATATGCATATAGGGAAAATCAATGACCCCCCGGGGTGGGGCCAATTTTGACCCCAGGGCTTTTATTTGAACAAACTTGGTAGACACTCACTAGAAGATGTTTCATGTTAAATATCTTAGCTCTAGCTCTTTGGGTTCTTTAAAAGAAGATTTTTTAAGTTTTTACTATATGCATATAGGGAAAATCAATGACCCCCTGGGGCGGGGCCAATTTTGACCCCAGGGCTTTTATTTGAACAAACTTGGTAGACACTCACTAGAAGATGTTTCATGCCAAATATCTAAGCTCTAGCTCTTAGGGTTGTTTAAAAGAAGATATTTAAAGATTTTTCTTTCGGTTGCCATGGCAACCAGAGTTATGCATGGAATTAAATTCTTTGAACAATTTTTAAAGGTGACCACCAAAGGAACATTCCTGTGAAGTTTGGATGAAATTGGCTCAGTGGTTTATGAGGAGATGTCATTTAAAGCAAAAGTTTACGGACGGACGGATGACGGACAGACGACGGACGGACGGACATCGGACGAAAAGCGATCACAAAAGCTCACCCTGTCACTTTGTGACAGGTGAGCTAAATACAATAATTCTAGGGCTGGGACATCAGGCATCAAAACTTCATCAAGGGTAAACATACCTGGGACATGTGATATCATAAGTTTATCAAGGGTAAACATACCTGAGACATGTGGCATCTTAAGTTTATCAAGGGTAAACATACCTGAGACATGTGGTATCATAAGTTTATCAAGGGTAAACATACCTGAGACATGTGGCATCATAAGTTTATCAATCGTAGACATACCTGAGACATGTGGCATCATAAGTTTATCAAGGGTAAACATACCTGAGACATGTGGCATCATAAGTTTATCAATCGTAGACATACCTGAGACATGTGGTATCATAAGTTTATCAAGGGTAAACATACCTGAGACATGTGGCATCATAAGTTTATCAATCGTAGACATACCTGAGACATGTGGCATCATAAGTTTATCAAGGGTAAACATACCTGAGACATGTGGCATCATAAGTTTATCAATCGTAGACATACCTGAGACATGTGGCATCATAAGTTTATCAAGGGTAAACATACCTGAGACATGTGGCATCATAAGTTTATCAAGGGTAAACATACCTGAGACATGTGGCATCATAAGTTTATCAAGGGTAGACATGCCTGGGACTTCTGCCATTATAAAATTATCAAGGGTAACATACCTGGGACAAGTGGCATCATAAGTTTATGAAGGGTAGGCAAACCTGAGACATGTGACATCATAAGTTTATCAAGGGTAAACATACCTGAGACATGTGGAATCAAAAGTTTATGAAGGGTAGACATTCCTAGGACATGTGAAATCATAACTTTATCTGGGTTAAATATACATGAGACATGTGGCATCACAGGTTTATGAAAAGACATTATGCATATTAAATTTATCAAAAGTAAATATACCTGGGACATGTGGCATCATATGAAACATTTCAGCATCACATATTCTCATCTTTCCAGACTTCTCATCATATATTCCAACATACTGTCTGCAAAACAAACAAATTTACAGTAACATGATAATGGCCAGTTTTATAGGAAATCCTCTGAGGTCAAAAAGTCTAAAAAACATAAATTTTGAAATCTTTTCAAACTGAAATATCAGGTGATGCACATAAAATTGAAAATTCTGCAAAGGAAAATAAATATTTGTGTGAAAAGCATTGCAACATTTTCTGTTTTTATTTCTGGGTCATTTAAACAGTATAATGATTATATTAGGAAAACAAGGTGAGGGAATGATCTGAAAATCTGCCACATAAGGAATGGATAATTAACTTCCCCATGATAAGGCTCAAAAACTATGTTCAACATGATATGACATGATTACTATGTTCCTCATAATGAAGCATAATAACAATGTTGCCAAAGAGAAGGTTGGGTCACTATGTTACCCATGATAAGGCAGAATAACTTATGATATATCCCTAACAAGGCCTGAATAACTATGCTCTTTATGATAAGGAAGGATAAATGTTTCTCATGTTAAAGCAGAATAACCATGCTCCTCATGCTATAGCAAAATAACTGTGTTCCCCATGATAAGATTTGATAATTATGTTATTCATGATTACTATGTTCTCCATGACAAGACAGGATAACTATATTCCAAAGATAGGTCACAATTATACTATGTTCCCATGATAGGTCAGGATAACTATGTCCCCATAATATGACAGGATAGCTATGTTCCCATGATAGGACAGGATAACTATGTTCCCATGATAGGACAGGATAGCTATGTTCCAATGATAGGACAGGATAACTATGTTCCCATAATAGGACAGGATAGCTATGTTCCCATAATAGGACAGGATAGCTATGTTCTGATAATAGGACAGGATAGCTATGTTCCCATGATAGGACAGGGCAGCTATGTTCCGATGATAGGACAGGATAGCTATGCTCCCATGATAGGAAAGGATAGCTATGTTCCCATGATAGGACAGGATAACTATGTTCCCATGATAGGACAGGATAACTATGTTCCCATGATAGGATAGGATAACTATGTTCCCATGATAGGACAGGATAACTATGCTTAATGATAAGGCAGGATGACTATGTTACTCATGGAAAGCCAAGATTACTATATATATCTTTTCATGATAAGGCAGGACAACTATGTTCTCAATGACATGACAAGACAATTACATGTATGTTTCCATGATAGGACAGGATAACCTTGTTTTCCATGATATCAGGCAAGATGACTATGTTTGCATAAGACTGCATTACCATCTTCACATGATATTGCTAAATAACTATTTTCCCCCTGACAAGGCAGGATAACTATGTGTTCCTCATAATAAACTAGGACCCCCCCCCCCACATGATAAAGCAGGATACCTATATTCTTCATAATTTGGCAAAATAATTATGTTGTGTTCAATGAAAAAGACAGAATTACCAATATATAAGGTCTTGAACAAAATCAAAAAATGAGATAATGAAGGAAACAAAGATATATTGAAAATAATAAGCTAACACTCACTTGATTGTACGATTAGGATTACAACGATATCTCCCGAAATTCTTTCCTATATATGTCATATCCTCTGACTCTGAAACCTGTTAATATGAATACAGTACAATCACAATGAAACTGTTAAGCACTATACTTCAAGACCAAAGTAAAACATAGCACCAATTGTTTTGCTTTTTAATTCTTATATCTTTATTTTTGTAAGGTAAAGAAAATGAAAAACAAAATACATTCAAAATACATGTAACACATACTGAACATGATAACTGTAGCTTTGTATTTGGTACAAAAATATTTTCTTGGAAAATATTTAGAAAAATAAGCAATCTCTATGACAAAAAAACATTTTCTTTATAAGGACTCACAGTTTTATATCTGTTTCTTATGTATTTAAGTCATTTTGGGGTATGTATTAAATTGCTACAAGGAGTGTGAATCTAATGCACCAGTCAGCAGTTTATTCCATGCACAATTGATACACACCCAGAAATATCACTAATATCAGTCTGGTTTCAGTTTTTCCTTTTTGTTTTGTAAACATACAAAATATTTATTCTGTTTCAGGAGTCTTCCTCTTTGTCCATTTTTTGCTTGTCCAAATGGACAAGCACACTACATTTTTTACTTTCCTGTTGCAGATACTACTCATAAATTTATATGAGTGGACAGGTGGAATTAAAAAGAATCATTAAAGTTTTTTACATACCATTATTTTCTGATCTTTAGTTTTAAGATCAGATTGACTAGATCGATGGAGAACTCTACACTTTAGTTTTTCCTCAGAGTCTTCTTTGACATTTCCATTCATGAATTTACCTATAGATTTAAAAAAGTATATAAATAGCATAATATATCTTATTATACATGTACTTATGAAAATATTCAATAAAGTTTATAATTATATGATCTATAAATAGCTTTTAAATAACTTTCTCCAATTGGTTAAGATGTATTTTTTTTTCGTAAAAATTAACTCATGAATATCACAATTTCTGAGTATATTCACTGTTTTTTCTCTCTAAAAATAGATTTTCTGGAATGCCCACAAAAGACGTGTGCTATGACGTGAGGTCACGCCAAGTTCGTTGTTATTTTTCTGAGTAACCCTTGGGCAACTCGCAAATAAAGGTCAAATTAGTCTATTTTAGTTACCATCTTTTCATTTTTTAGAATATTTCAAATGTAGCATGCCTATGCACTCATTAAATTGTTGGAGCCAGATAATGGAAAAAGCAGACAAGCTGAAAAATGTAGATTTCCTTCGTATGCAATGGCAGATTTGATATCTCATATTAAAAAAACATTTATAGATTATATAATAAAACAGATATGTACTTTTTAGCTGGTGAATATGATGTTATATGTACTGAGATTTTTTTTTTTTTTTCAGTACATATCACAATTCACATCATATTCACCAGCTAAAGAGTACATTCATGTATATGTGTAATATTTTTCAAAATATGTGCTTATTTTGTTATACATATTATACATGTGTACAACATCTTTGATAGATTATCTTATGTTTCAGGGTGTTCACTATCCATGAAATCCTGAGGGTCATTTTGACTAAATTTTACTGACTTCAAGGCCCAATCCCCATGATTTTAACAAAATTTGACCCTCAAGTTAAAATCCCGAGTGTCAAATCGGGCTTTTTGGAAATTTGAAGGGTCACAATCAAATCAAGTACGCTATTTTAATGTCGCAAAAGGCCTGCTCACAAAGCCAGCTTTACAGTAACGCTAGTACCTGCTAGGTGATGGTTTTGAAAACTTTCTTCCAAAGTACCGAATTGACACATCGCAACTTTTCGAATTACAAGATAACGATAGAGGCCGATGTACTCTGATTGAAAACGGAAGCATAGACTGGTGTCCTGCGCACTTATATGGGAACCATAATAGAAAGGAGGAACCAGAATAAACGGAAGCAGTGTATAAAATACTGAATGACAATTTTAAAATTGTAAATGCAAAATAAAAATGAACGATTATTTCAAACTACTTTACGGTAAAAGAAAATCGAGCTCGCTTTGAGGCTTTGCCTTTTTCATATTATAATTATGTTGTGACTCTAAAACTATTGTTTTCTGCCTAAATATCTGTACAGCTACTGCAAGTCATTGAACTGTTGAATTAGACCTCTATGTATTTCAAAGTAAAACTTGTATATTAGCGAGCTCCACGAACTGGCCCAAAGGGCCTGCTCGCAAAGCGAACTTTACGGTAACGCGAGTACCTGCTAAGTGATGGTTTTGAAAACTTTCCTCCGACTTAGTACCGAATTGGACACATCGCAACTTTTCGAATTGCAAGATAACGATAAAAACTGAGGAATTCTGACTGAAAACGGATGTGTAGACTGGTCACTCGCGCACGTCTATGGGAACCATAATTGGACAGGGAACCAGAATAAAGGAAGCTGTGTATAAAATATCGAATGACAGTTTTAAAACGGAAAATGTAAAATGAAAATTGAAGGTGCCATTTTGTTTGAAAAATCTGATAAATAAAAACAATTTTTTGTCAAATTTTGTTGTGAAAACTATCTAGAATGAAAGAAAATGGTCTAACTAAGAAAATGAATGCGAACACCAATATCTTTTATTCAGTCGTTAACGCTGTACAGACGTTTAAAGTATTGATTACGTGACGTCACAATGTAGCGCCAAACAGCACGTGCAAAACAATCAAATCAAGTACGCTATTTTAATGTCGCAAAGGGCCTGCTCGCAAAGCGAGCTTTACGGTAACGCGAGTACCTGCTAGGTGATGGTTTTGAAAACTTTCATCCGAAGTACCGAATTGACACATCTCAACTTTTCGAATTGTAAGATAATGATAAAAGCCAATGTACTCTGAAAAAAAAAAACGGAAGCGTTGACTGGTGTCCTTCGCACTTACATGGGAACCATAATAGAAAGGAGGAACCAGAATAAATGGAAGCAGTATATAAAATACCCAATGACAATTTTAAAACGGAAAATGTAAAATAAAAATGAATGAAATTAAACTATTTTACTGTAAAAGAAAATCGGGCTCGCTTTGAGGCTTTGCCTTCTTCATATTAAATACAAGAGCGATCAGTAATCACATGTGTCGCCTCATGATGGCCAATTTCATGTTGGGACAAATTTTGTGACAGACAGACGAACAGTGCACAACTAGACGGTACTGATCATTCCTGTAAAGTTTGGATAAAATTGCACCAGTAGTTTATGAGGAGTAGTCCGGACAAGCTTTTGCGTATCTGGCAACACACAGAAAAAAAACACCTTTTTTATTCAAGGGCCATAACTTGGCCAAAAATCATTCAACCAACAAACCAGTGCATTATGCTCAAGGACTTGAGCTACAGATCAATCCTGTAAAGTTTCATTGAAATTGCATTCGTGGTAAAAGAGGTGTAGTCTGACAAACTTTAATAATAAAAATTATTAAAGGGCCATAACTCTGACAAAAATCATTGAACCGGAAAATGCTGACAATATGCACAACTAGACTTAGTACTGATCATTCCTGTAAAGTTTGGATGAAATTGCACCAGTAGTTTATGAGGAGTAGTCCGGACAAGCTTTTGTGTATCTGGCAACACACAGTAAAAGCAACCTTTTTATCAAAGGGCCATAACTCGGCCAAAAATCATTCAACCGGAAAACCCGTGCAATATGCGCAAGGACTTGAGCTACAGATCAATCCTGGAAAGTTTCATTGAAATTGCATTAGTGGTATAAGAGAAGTAGTCCGGACAAACTTTAAAATTAAAAATTATTAAAGGGCCATAACTCTGACAAAAATCATTGAACCTGAAAATGCTGACAATATGCACAACTAGGCTTGGTACTGATCATTCCTGTAAAGTTTGGATGAAATTGCACCAGTAGTTTATGAGGAGTAGTCCGGACAAGTTTTGTGACGGACGCACGGACAGACAGACAGACAGACAGACAGACGGACAGACAGACGACGGAGAAGTGATCCCTATATGTCGCCACTACTCCGTAGAGGCGACACAAAAATGAACCTTAAATATAAGAAACTTAATTTACTTCGAAATGTTTAGATACTATATAATATTATGCAAAAGCAAGGTAACTTTGGGCAGTTTTATGAATTTAAATGGATTTAGCTCAATACAGGATTGGAGCAGTACCTCTGGACGCTTGCAGAAATCATGATCACAAAATAGACAAATATCGGTTTTTTTCGCCGATTTTTATATTTTTCCTTCATTATCGTACTTTATTACATGCTTTTCGATGGATTATAGAAATATATCAGTGATTTATAAACTGGTAATTTCACTGTTTGAAACAGTGAAATTATCAATTTGATAATTTCACTGTTTTGAATTTAAGCCCGTTACGTTGTCTCAGAGAAATACCAGCGTGCACAGTACTGGAAACCAGCTTAATGACGTGACGTCGTAAATGACGTCACGTTGTATTAGAATTTGGCGCGCTTTTCATTTAGTACTAGGATAAAATGTCTTTTTAAACGTTTCTTAGCATGTAATAAAAAGAAAATTTGTTTAGTTTAGTGTAAGATCGAAATATATTTCACCTCGTGAACACCAAAAGTTCATATTTCACTCGTGGCTGCGCCACTCGTGAAATATACCTTTTGGTGCTCACTCGGTGAAATATATTCCGAACTTACACTGAACTTAACAAATATCCTCTATTAATTCGGTGTGAAAAGTTGAATTACACCTGTTTAAGTTCATTCCGTTGGGTAAAAAGGCGAGATTTTAGCATTTTATCATTCAAGCGCCTTGTCCGGTATATACCGGAATGCGGTATTTAGTGTGGTGCTCCAATCCTTTTTTTAGTCACAGCCAATTTAAATAGCAAAATCAATAGGAGTATAGGACCTTTTAAATAAAACGTGACGCGAAAACACATGACATTTGCATTTTACTTATGGATAAAAAATTTTCAATGCATTCAAAATTAAAAATACCACTCACACAAAATTAATTTGCGTTTTTTAAACGTTTCACTGTCTACCACTTCCGACATTTTATTAATATTTAAGGTGTTATTGTAGTCACTATTTTAATACCGCACCGTGCAAGACCGTAAAATTTTTGCTTTGTGAGATCGTCACTCGCTTTTAGGCTGAGCAAACCTAAATTAAAAAACGTTATCCTTCATTTTTCTCTTTATAAGTGTCCGAGTAGTCAAGAAATTAAGGAATTTTTGGGGAAAAATGAAATAAAAAAGAAAATTTCCAAAAAAAACGTTAGAATGGTTTTCTTTATCTTTATCAAAGTTTCCTTAAAGGGGGCAAGTTCCACCGCCTCCAAAATTCATGCTTTTTTTTCAAAAATTGGCATAAAAAACTTTTAATGCTTAGAAACGAAAGAAAAAATATAATTTGTAAATACGAAAAATTTTCTTTGACCCGTCATAATTTAAAATTTTACTTGAATCTTAAAAGGGTTTATTTTCCTTACATTTTAGTACATTTCTCTAATTTGATTTTGATTGTTTTAAAAATATTTTTTAATTTTTGGGTTTCATCTGGATGCATGTGGGCAGGAACCCAAAATTTTAATTTTTAAAATATTTGTCAATCCAAACCCACCTAAAAATTTAAAATAAAATTTAATTTTACGCTGTTTTGAAAATTATTTTTTGGAAACAACTTTCTTTTTGGGTTCCCCTTTTAAAAACCATGCGTTCTTCTCCTGAAATAAAATACGAGGGTTGTCCAACAAATTCGTGCACTGCAGTTATTGTCGTGAGAGTTATTGACAGAAAAACATGAATTATATTTCACTCAAAGGAGAAATCTGTCTCAAAAAAGAAAACAAAAGAAAAAAATGTGTAACCCCCGTGTCGTGTAAACGAATCGTCATACAGTTACCTTGGTAACGCAATACCGGCACACGACAAAAAATTGGGTTAGTTTTTTACTTTGATGCATCACGGTATTCTTTAAACACTACATATAAACGTCAAAATTCAGGAAAAAGTGTGTGTACGTATTCCTGATGTCACTAGAAAATATAGCGTCATTTGCCTCATTGTAACGATCGTAAACAAACATTTGTGGATGGTCGTCAGTACTGTAATTACGTGATATTGTCAGTCGCTAAACGTCTGGAAATACGGACGATCATTAAATTTTGAGCAAATATTGGTAAAACACCAACAGATTCCTACAAAGAACTTAAAAGGGCAAGCGGGACAAGTTCAGTGTCACGGAGGCTGGTTTTTAAATGACACAAACACTTTGTAGTAGGGCGAGTGTCGGTAGACGATGACAACCGGTCAGGCAGACGTCCGTCCGTAATGCCGGCGCATGTGACGAGGGTTGTCCAATATATTCGAGCACTGATTGAATATGTTACATGTACGTTGCATAAGAACAATAGAAAGTACAAAATACTTTGCATCAATCATTTCTCTATTGACAGTTAAACAAATTATAACATAAAAAGCAAATGCAACTTTACAAGCAACAAACAATTTATGCAATTACAGAAATGAACTAACCCATTTTTTGTCGTTGCGCCGGTATTACGTTACTAAGGTAACTTAATGACCATTCATTTAAACGACACGCCGGTTACTCGGCTTTTTCTTTTGTTTTTGTATTGGAGACAGATTTCCCCTTCAAGTGATATATAATTTACAAATGTATTTGTTTTTAATAATTACTCTCACGACAATAACTGCAGTGCACGAATTTTTTGGACAACCCTCGTAATGATACACCCATTTAGACCAATTGCAAATTATTTACTTTTGCTTTGAATCATTTGGACCTATTCTGATGAGAGACGAAGGGTCATCATGACCCTCTTGGTTTTTTTTTATTGTGTTGTTGTTTGAGATTTTCGTTAATAAGATTGACAATCTGCTGTTGATATTTTCTTTCTACAAAATTTTACCTTCGGGCGTACATACTGTATATTGCACGATTGGGCCCGTGTGATATAGATCAGTACAGAACAGAAATGCTCTTACTTAGTCTAAGCATAACAAGCCCGTCACATATAACATATACAAATGCAACATATGGCACATAAATGCAATTTTCCCAATAAAAACAACGGGGAAAACATAAGGGTTTAAAAAATTGAGAATTTTAAAGTGAGACAGGAAAATTACTTAAATTTAAAAACATTGAATGTGTACAAAAAACGCCCCAAAAGTTTTTTGTAAAAAAAATAACATTATTTCAAATCTTGCTACGATACATTTTGTTTTATAGATGGAATTTAGATAAAGCCTATCAATATAATCCAAATAATGAGACTAAGCAAGTGCGACAAATGAAGGGGATAACTCGTGAATACATATTTAAGCATTTACTTCCCTTTAATAATTTATGGTCAATAATAATATTAACGATGATTAAATTCATTGCTGCATGATAAACGAAATATTTTAGAAAGCTTAGTATTTCTACATTTTTATTCTAAATAAACTTAATTTAAACAAATCTCGAGTTATTTATGAGATCAGTTTTGTCAAAACGTATACTCTTGGTATTTATATTTTGTTGTCTGTTGGAAAACAGACAGACACGCGTCTGTGTACATGGATTTTATTTGATACAAATGTAAATCCATAACAAAATATTACAATATCATATTCACATATGAGTCACGTCACGACAAAACCAACATAATGGGTTTGCGACCAGCATGGATCCACACCGCGCAGTCTGATCAGGATCCATGCTGTTCGCTATCAGTTTCTCTACTTGTTACAGCCTACAGGGTTTGCGCGGATGCGCAGGCTGGTTTGGATCCATGCTGATCGCAAACCCATTATTTTGGTTTTGTCGTGACGCAGCTCATATAACTTAACAAATCTACTTATTGAATGTACAATGGGTATTCAACAATGACAATGATATTTTTTTTACCACAAAATAAAAAAAAAATGGAAAAATAGGAAAACTTTCACGTCAGACTGGCCCTCAATTTAAAAGTTCAATCACAGAATACAGGTAAATGTTTAATTTCTTTCTTACGATCAGTTTGCCATAATGAAATGAAATTAAAGATACTCGTGTTGCATTAATAGTACCTTGGAGTATATTGTATTCGCTTCACTTTTACAGAATCGGGATATAACAAGACTTCATACAATCCTGCTGACTGAACAATGTTTCTTACTTTCAAAGCCTAGTTTCTTGAACAATTTACCGCATTAACAGCACAATATTGTTCTCAATATACAATTATTATTATTATTATTTACCTGTGTTTAATTTTAGAAAATATTTGATCATACAAATATGTTTTTCAGTATATAGAGACCATTTCCACAATTCTGCATGTAATGTCAAAATATCTGTAGACTGTTAATTAACATTAAAATAAATCTGATTTTTTATGCACTCTTCCAAAACTTCTGCATTCATAAACTCCATTACGTCACATCGATAAAACCTATGTGTCAAATAGATTAAACATAGTATTAAGTGGTACTTTGTAGTCACGTAAAAATTTTAACAATCAATATAAAAGTCTGAGCTACAAAAGCCTAATAGTGTCAAATGAAATAAAAAATAAAAATGCAAAGGCGTTATAACGCGAATAAAGGCATTATTACGCGAATCAAAAAGGCGTAATAACGCGAATAAAGGCGTAGCAACGCGAATCAAAAGGCGTAATAACGCGAATAAAGGCGTAGCAACGCGAATAAAGGCGTTATAACGCGAATCAAAAGGCGTAATAACGCGAATAAAGGCGTTATAAACGCGAATCAAAAGGCGTAGTAAACCCTTTATTCGCGTTATAACGCGAATCAAAAGGCGTAGTAACGCGAATAAAGACGTTATAACGCGAATAAAAAGGCGTAATAACGCGAATAAAGGCGTAATAACGCGAAATCAAAAGGCGTAATAACGCGAATAAAGGCGTTAAAACGCAAATCAAAAGGCGTAGTAACGCGAATAAAGGCGTAGTAACGCGAACCAAAAGGCATAAATAACGCAAATTTAAACACATTATAATGCCAATTTAATACCATATTTTTTACTAATCAAATTCGCGAGAAAGGAAGACCAATATGATCTGAATTTAATTGCTCAAGATATAAACTCGTATACAATAATACAATATACATTTACAATAACTTTCATTCCATTTGCACAGTAATTATGCAAACTAATTTTGTCATAAACTAATAAAGACTCTTTAATATTTGCCAATATAAGATGACTTCGTGACTTATAGGTTATAAAGTATTACCTCCTTCAAATAACAATCTCCTATGAAGTTTGAATATTGTGGGCCAAATGGAACTTAAGTTATGCTCCGAAACCGAATTGCTTACGAACGGACGGACAGACAGACATACAGACGGACGGACGCACGTTTCCAACATTTTGGGTTTAGGGGCTATTTTCTTTGTTATTTTTTCTTTGTTCTCTTAAGGGCTACTAGCCCATAAACCCTTTGATCACGGATTTGAACCTATTTTCTCTTTTGTTCTCCTTAACAGTTATATAGCCCCTAAACCCCAAAATGTTTGCTCGGACGTACGGACGCCAGGGGGTATAAATAATATGCCCGAAATTCTTTCGGGCATATAATAAAACGTACATGCTAGATCAATTCATTTTAAATCAACATTGTTTCTTCCTTCTATACATTAATAGGCACTGTTTGGAATTTATATGGTATTAAATTAGCGTTATAACGCCTTTTTGTTTTGTGTTATTACGCCTTTTGGTTCGCGTTATTACGGCCCTTTTGATTCGCATTATAAGGCATTTATTCGCGTTAAGTAACGCCTTTTTGATTCGCGTAATTACGCCTATTGTTTTGCGCTTATAACGCGAATCGCAAAGGCGTAATTACGCGAATCAAAAGGCGTACTAACACAAATAAAGGCGTTATAACGCGAATAAAGGCGTTATAACGCGAAACAAAGGCGTAATAACGCGAAATAAAGGCGTTACAACGCGAATCAAAAGGCGTAATTACGCGAAGGAAGGCGTAAAACAACGCAATCAAAAGGCGTAATAACGCGAATTAAAGGCGTTATAAACGCGAAACAAAAGGCGTAGTAACGCCTTTATTCGCGTTATAACGCGAAACACAAAAGGCCGTAATTACGCGAATAAAAGCGTTATAACGCGAATCAAAAGGCGTACTAACGCGGATAAAAGGCGTTAATAACGCGAATCAAAAGGCGTAATAACGTGAATAAAGGCCGTTAAAACGCGAATCAAAAGGCGTAATAACGCAAACCAAAAGGCATAATAAACGCCAAAAAAAAAAGGCGTTATTTAAAGCTAAAATTTAATTTCCATATAAAATTTCCCAAACCGTGGGCCCAGGGAATTAAGATGGAAAGGGAAAAATTTTATCTAAATAAATCGGGTCAGAAGTCAGTTTTATTTTCAATTCCTTTTCGGATTACATCCTAAAGGGCCCCCAGTCGATTTTTAAATTTTTACCCTTTGGGAAAAAACTTTCGTCAGATTTAAAAATTAACTTTCCCCCCCAACTAGAGATACTTTCTACATTTAAAAAAGAAAGGAATGGGCTCCCTTTTGTGAAATTAAAATGAAAAAACTATCCCCCATTTACTTTAAACAATAATCCCCCTTTAATTTTACTAACTTTATACCTTTTCCTTTTCCCAAAACTTTTTACCCATAGCAATAATTTACCTATAAATGTTTAAATTAGGGAAACATTTTAAAATAAAATTTTGAAAGATTTCTAATGTTTTAAGGTAAATTTAAAAAAGGATTATCCGAAGATTAATTGAACCCTTTTGACCCCACCCTTAAAAATAAGAAAATTTAAAATTTTAAAAATAAAAAGAAAAAGATAAGATAAAGAAAAGAAAAAGAAATTTATTTAAAAAGTTGGGAAAGGTTTTTAAAAGGGAAAATAGGAAAACCCTGTGAAATAGATTAACTGTATTTAGGGCCAGTCCCCAAAGGACCTATAAAGGGACACAGACCCCCTTAAAAATTTGGGAAAAATTTCAAGAAGGTTCATTTTTGTTTATGACAAAAAGTTTTTCATTTTTAGGGGCAAATGAATGTTAGTTATTTTTAAATTTTATATTTATTATTTTTCAGGAAATTGGGATAAAAATTTAGATCAATATTTGGGCTTGCTTTCTTACGTTTTCAAGGCCATTTTTATTATAAAAAATATTTGGGTTTTAAATTTGGCATTATAATCCGTTTTAATTGGCGTTAGTACGCCTTTTGGTTCGCGTTACAACGCCTTTAGATTTTGTGTTATTTACGCCTTTCATTTCGCGTTATAACGCCTTTATTCGCGTTATTACGCATTTTGATTCGCGTTATTACGCCTTTATTCGCGTTATTACGCCTTTTGATTTTGCGTTATTACGCTTTTGATTCGCGTTATAACGCCTTTAATTCGCGTTGCTACGCCTTTATTTGCGTTGCTACGCCTTTTTTCGCGTTATTACGCCTTTTGATTTGCGTAATTACGCCTTTTGATTCGCGTTTAGTTATAACGCCTTTATTCGCGTTATTACGCCTTTTGATTCGCGTAATAACGCCTTTATTCGCGTTATAACGCCTTTGTATTTTTATTTTTTATTTCATTTGAACACTATTAGGCTTTCGTACTTGAGCCCCTTTATCAGCTAAGGTCTTTAAATTGTAGCTTACATGAATGACCCCCAACCGTGAATACCCCCCCCCTAAGTTTTAAACAACCCTTTATTACAATTTTTTACCCGATTTTAAAAATTTGACCCGGCGGAAATCAAACCCAAAAATAACCCCAATTTTTTATTGCGACAAATTTTTCACCCAAAGTTTTATGGGGCCTAGGCTCAAATACTTTTGGGCTTTCATGCAATACAAAATTGCTTTTCAAAATTTTTCTAATCCAAATGCAATAACTCTGGGTATGCCTCTTGATTCGACAAGCCCAAAACCCCCCGGTGCAAAAAATTTTTGACCCCAAAAATAAAAAATTTTTTTGGAGGAAAAAACTATTTGGGTTCCCCGGGGTTGGGGAAAACGCCCGTAGAAACACAGGGGGCACCGGGGGAAATAAAAAAATTTTAAAAAATTTCCCCCTTCCCCCCCAGAGTGAGAGTAAAAAGGGCGATATTTTATCTTCGAAGTCAATAACTGATTTAACTAAACAAATATTTTTAGAAACATATTTCGCACAAAGCCAGCCCCACTTTTGTATGACATTTTTGATCTTTAACTGGTTAAAAATGATTAAGGCAAAGGGGCGGCGTGGAAACTTAAAAAAATTATATTGCTGATTATATTGATGAAGAGGATGTTGATTGTCGGGTCTGCTACTTGCTGCTGCTGATGATAATGATTGATATGTAGTTATTAACGTTGATCGTGAAGGTTAGCTTCAAACTACGATGAAATTTGTTTAGTTTCAACTGTGTAGAAATATTGTGACATTATATACGGGTCGTTAACATTTACTACCATATATTAAAAACGTGAATATGGACATAAAAGAGAGCTGTGTCTATATTCGACCGAAATATGTAGACACACATGAAAACATATTACGTTTGGTGCCCATACCGGCCGCGCACAGCATCAACAGCAAATAAATCAATAGATAAATTAATAATATTATTGATATTTGGCAACGTCAATATTTTCTTGCAAGTGTAAATATCATGCAAAAAAGAGAGAAAAATATCGGAGAAGTTATCTCCCCTGGCAGAGACTGATGTTTTTAGAAATAACTAAACATAAGTACAAAACTCACATTTTAATTCAAGAAATGAACATGTTTAGTAACAATTGTTAACATAAGAAATGTCAAGTCAAGCCTTATCCAGTATTGTTTTACTTTTCTTTCATACATCATAAATGAAGTACGTCAGTGTAACATCAATGTATTAATTATATCTTTTACTTACAGAGATAATAACGATGTAATGCCTATTAAATCATTTGATACCTATCTACATGTATATTGTTATGTACATCAAAGTTTATTAAAAAAGGGCGATTACCAATAAACAAACAACCGAGAAAAACAATGGAACAATTTGAAAAAAAGATATTCAAATAACAGAAAAATAGAAAAAGAAAATGGCAAAAAAACATCAAAAAACAAACAGCCTCAGAAGCTGGCTGTCCAAAATAATTGTATCATATATAAAAAAAAAAGAAAGAAAAAAGGAGATTGTCAGTAGTTTCCAAACTATAACTAAGTTAGTGACGCCTACGGAGTCATTTTATTTTGATCTCTATAGTTTTGTACATTCAAGCAAAAAATAAAAAAGAACGAAAAAATACGAAAACAAATAAACTACAAAGAAAAAAAACGCTTGAAAACTGAATTTCAAATTACAGAAAAAAAAAAGAAAAGGACAAACAGAGAAATAACCTAAAACGGAAAATAATTCCATCGTATAACAAAGAAAGAAAACAATAAAAAAGCTTCTCTCAGAAAAAAAACAACTTTTATTTAAAGGTTGGTTTGACTGAATGTCATATACATTGTTGGACGTAAAGGAATTCACATAGATAAATCAGTCCACAGTTCCAAAGTTTTGATAATATCGGTATTCCAGTATTATCATCAAGATATTATTTATGGTTCAAATCTTAATGATCAACATTATTTTTTGTTCAATCACATTGTAGTATTTTTCAAATTTATGCTTTGTCTAACTTTTGGTTAATGTGTACTAACTAAATAAAATTCACTTAATCTGTCGTCTAACCGCAGTCTAACAAATTTCAATAATGCATTATATTAGGGAGGAGTTAGAGGTATGGTTTACACTCTGATTTGTAAAATGTCAAGGTTAGAAAAAAAATGCCAACATAAAAAAATTAGTCGAGGTCAGGTGTTTCTAATGAGGATACAATCAACTGATTTATTACATAGATAATACATGTTGGGTACGCAGAGACAAATGATTGCATATTAACTTTTTATATCCTTTGAACACTAAGAAAAATGACTGTTATAAATTGCTGTCTGTTTTAAACTTTATATTTTATAGTAAAAGTAACCAAAACATTATTTTCTTTCACTTGATAGGAATAAACTGCATTAACAATCATTGATATCAAGAATACAATGATTACATTTTTGGCCGGAAAACTCATTGAAAATGGACCCCCTTCACACAGAAAAAAGAACTGCTTTTCAAATGAGCAAACCAATAGGGATTTTGAATGTTAGTGAATACCTTGAAGCTATTAACGAATTTGTATCAATGAATAATCTCTAATGCATTTTTTCTCACATTTTCCATTTATTTTAAAAGGATGTACACATTTCATTAACTCCATTGTTTTTTACCTAATTGCATCGTTTCCTCGCTGTTTTTTTTCCAGATATATTATAAACATGATACTGTAGACAAAGGTATAAATTCTGTGACTTTTCAGTAAAAAAATGTGCCTGGGCCATTTATTTAGCTTATCTAAATGTGAAACGTTAGAAACTTGACAAGGTGTAGACATGTTGTAGAGGGAAAGGGCAGAGCTATTGGTGATTTAGAGAAATGCCTTGTTGTTAGTTGAAAAAAATAATGTTGATCATTAAATAGGTTAATGTTTAATAATATGCATTAACAAAAATAATTGGTCGCCTGCCTGCGGCAGCCTTGACCAATTATTTTTGTTAACGCATATTATTAAACACTAACCTATACATAATGTGGCCTAATTACATGTGTGTATATCACATAGCCGGCAATAAATAGAATGCCGAGGACCACAGTAGCAATCAGCATATTTCGAGAGTGGTTTGACATTATCCTCGCATCTTCCATGTGCCCTTTACTCGCTAGAGAACTTGCCTGTGAAAGAAAACAAAACACATTATTTATAACATTTGGCTAACGTTAGTTTATATAACCCGATTGGCTACATGTCTTTTATTACATTACTTAAAAAACGACTGCAAAGACAATAACAAATAAACAATAAAATATCACAATTTATCTCAATTTCTTTATGATTTCACATACTATTCTCATGTAAATCAAAGAGAGCATGTTTTTATCAAAAATTTAAAAAAAATTAAGAACTGTTGACAAAGTTGTTATAAGTTTTTACTTTTATTTGAATTATTTTTAAAACTGAAATTTCTTATCATTAAGTTTATCCCTTTATAGCCAAATACGTATATCATTTCTCAACAGAGCGCCATGTCTGACAGTACAACTAGATAGGTTTACACTAAGTATTAAAGCACAATTCTCAACAGCGTTTAAATGAATAAAATTTGTGCATAACTTAGTCATAACTTATTAATAACTTATTCATCATAACAAACAAATTAAATTTTATACTTTACCACGCAAGAGAAAAAAATTGCAGAAATTCCTGTGGGCCAGAAACAGCACAAACAAGCCAGAATTGACGGGCATAGATAGTCTGGTGGCTTCTGTTGACTCGCACCAACAACCTGTACAGGTACAGGCTGGCAAACAACCTATTGCAATAATACTAAAATTTATATTGTTCCGGTTGTCAGGACTTTATATTCAAACAAGAAGAACTTTGTCAATCAGACGTATATTCTCTTTTGTACAGTTAAAATGATAAAATTAACTTACAACCTGTATTTCAAAGATATGCTATTAAATTACAAGAACATGAATAATTAAATAAATAAAATTTAAAATCAAACTAACAAAAAGGCTTACAATAACTTAGCATAAACAAATCTTTATATGCCATAAATAAATAAAAAAAACTTCTCGAAAGACTTGTATGTATACTTGCTGGCAAGAAATTTGTACAAAAACCATTCGTTTCACGATTTCACACATACACAAAGACCGTTAGATTATATACGTAGAAAAATTTAATAAAAGAAAATTTTACAAATATATACCACTTGGGACATTCCCTTTTCAGATCCTCCATTTGGATGGATATTTGGGATGTAACCAGACTGGGCCTGTAAAGGTTGATATCCTGGTTGGTAAGTGTACCCGTCTACGGTAGGATGTGGATGTGGTTGATGAGCGGGAAACTGTACAGTACTTGGCGTCTCAAGTTGAGAATCGTCTGTTACTGCTTCATAGGGTGGAGGAAGATCAGACTTGGAATCTTTAATATAGAAAACGAGCTATTTTAGTTAGTTAATTAGTTAGTAAGTTCGTTCGTTCGTTAGTTAGCGAAGTTAAAATATTGCAATAAAAATGAACACAACGTATGCATGTCAGAAATCACACAGGCTAGAGGTTTGTGTCTCACATTCCTGTCTCAAAGATTAAAGACACATTTTATAGTCATATTATTATTAACAAGTATAATATATTTAAGCTCAGTTGCAAAACATGTTCTTACAACTAATGCAATATTTTGAATACTTTACGTTAGGTCGCTGTGGATTCTTTTATGTGAGGAAGCTATAGAAGGTCGGTGGTTCTAAACAGGTGACCGCTGTATAGTATATAATGTACAAAGGGGTCAACAGAAAAATCGAAACAGATGCTAACAAATAAGCATTCCCCTGAAAAAAGTGTACTATTAACACTCTAAATATCTTAAACGGACTTTTTAGTGTGGACAAAAGTGTTGATCCTTTCACATTTAACAATACGTGACTGAATAGCGAAAGTTCGTAAGCTAGGTATATAGCTAGCTTTTTTCTATAAGGACCTGCCTGAATGAAGGGGCACCATTACTTATGTCTTCCTCCACAGGTAAAGTTAGAATGCCGCCATAGTGTCCTTGTGACATAAAATCCCAACACAAAATTACCTTGTTTTTTAATTGAACTTAATAGTCAAGATATTTCTCTTTCATTGTGCGCTTCTAATGGATATTGTTAAACTTCCTTTAAAGCGAATTTACTATAAAGAAAGAATATTTTGACCTTGAATATTTGATTATGCTTTCTTGGGTGCCAATATTGGATTTTAGTAACTTTCTTTAAAGAAGAAGAAGAAGAAGAACGTTTATTTCACTTAAACTACAAGTTTCTCGTGATTAACATATATACAAGCATACATATATAATGACATGAAAAATACAATGACATGAAAGCAAACATAATAATTCTATTGAAATTTAGTTGCGTATGCAAATATTTTGAAGGATGGTAGACCTGAAGGACAGTTGAATATACCTAGCTCTAAATTCACCTGTTTTTCAAAATGATGCATAGTGGATGACAACGCATTTGTTATGAGACAGTTTATTTAAGTAGCATTTAACTATGCAGGACACACACATTTCTTTAAAAAAATTATTCCTTTTCTCTATATGTTTGGTAGTTGATGACAGAGCCAAAAGTTAAGACCCTAGAAAATGATAGCGATTTCTGCCATTCGTGTTTTCGCCCTACAACCCCGCCAAGCGAAAAGTCGAGAATAAACAAGTAAAAATGACGGGGCGCGGGGCAAAGTTTAAAAAAGAAAAGCCAAAAGATTTAATAAAAGTTACGAACTTGTAGGCGGGGCGAAGTTTGTGTGTGTAGTGGGGAGGGGGCAATGGAAAGGAAGGAGAGGGAAACTTATTAAACATCAATACACATTAATTACAGGAAATAACTTTTTAAATTAAAAGTGTACCGAACCTCAATATTGTTTATTTCTGTAATACAAAACATTATCAATAAGCTAATTCCCCGCCAAGCGATATTCTAACAAATGTCATAATTACACAGGATGAAATAATAAAAAAACCCACAAAAATGACCATGTAAATACGATGAGTAGACCAAATGACCATAGCAAATGTACTCAATGTATTTAAGAAAGGCATCACAGCCAAATACCATGCATGTGCTGGTACAAGTCGTCTACGACAAAATTAAGAAAACGAAATCAATTCCACTTTTAATGGGTTTCAACAACTGCCAATCGTAGTCTTGCATCTTGATTTGATTAAAAGTGGAAAGCGTTGCGTCTAACTTTTAGCGTGTTTTCATATCAAGCATCCACAGTGTTTCATTATAATTGAATCATGGCACGATTCATGATTTGATAATTTCAACAAAAACAAATGTAAAAATACCATAACCCAAAATCATACGCAGTTTATAACAAAGCACTTTTGGACCTCAATTTTTATAAAGCATGTATGTCACAAAGTATGACATATACTTGCGACTATCTAAATTACGGTCGGACAAAAAAATCATACGAACATAAAACTATATGTGTCACACCTCAAAATCTAATTAAAAAGGTGAAAAATATAAGATTATTTTAGTTCGTACGCATGTGTCACACCTGCAAGTAAAGGTTTTGTCTCACATCATAGTCTCAAAGAACGGCACTAATGGTTTGCCCACCGTTCGTCTGTTCACACTTTTGTCCTGGTTATGTGTATGTTATGCTCTTAGGAACTTACATTATATCTAGTGTTAAGAACCTTGATGCGCAGTGTTGGAGTAAAATTTGTTTAATATAAATATGTACTGCAGTATGCATATTATTGCTCTGATATGCGCCATGAAATTAAATACCAAATCAGTGAAACAGGTCCATGATTGTGGGCAGATGGGGTACATGTAGTATGAAGGCATTATATAACATAATTTTATGTTGTCATTTTATCAGGTTATTTTATTGTCGTTTTTTTTTTCATGGAAATGAAATGAGGAAGAAATGTGATAAAAATATATAGACCCTTTCACTCGGACTATAAAATGATGCCAATGTAACAAATAAAACTATTTAAACTATTCATTTGCATGTTAATGCCAATGGTTGCAGCCTAGTCAAATTTTATACTCTATATGTTCTATCGTAAATCAGTTATATCTGAGACTTAATTCTGGAGTCAACTGTTCTTGATGAGTTAAAAACTGTGTTCAACTTTAAACATCAACACTATCTTAGTGAAATGAGGCCCGAAATAGAACAAGCTAGCATTCTACTCGTTTTCAGTTATCTTCATTCTGTTGTAACACTGATAAAATTCACCACTTTAAAAACTCTGATTGCTGGCGGGTAGGACATCTTTAATCTTTCCTGATTAAAACAACTTTTAAGTCATATAACAAACAAAAACTACAAAGGAAATCTTTATACATGAGATTGAAAACGGGACTTATTGAAGGAGTACATTATGTATTTAGATCTAATATGGATGTTTCGGACTCTTAAAATGAATATGAGACCTAACTAATACAATATAATCCAAAAGTGATCCAATGATAATTCATATTATGCAAACATGACTGAAAGCATTTCATAAAGGTTGAAATTAAACGTGATAAATTGCACATACATGTAGATTGATAATATTTATTTTAACCGAAACCGGAAGTTTAAATAAAACACATTTTAAACATTTTTTTAAAGAATGCATATTAAGTGTGTCATTAGAGTAATGCTTACCACTCAACCTGTACACTTAACTATTCTTTATTAAATTATCCAGTATAAATGTTTAAGTTTAATACTAGTTTAACACGTCTAGGATATGTTAGAATAAGCGGAATTATAAATGGTATAAATTAAAGATGAACTTACCCATTAGATTGTCAGTACTCATTTTCAATTGCTGGAAACTTAGATAGTCATTGAAAATGATTTGAAAACACAATGTTTTTACTTTTCTCTTAAACGAAATATCCGCACTCCTTAAACCTCGAATGTTTTAAAAAAATTGCGTTTACATTGATCGGTAATAAATGCATAAAAGAAACATGATATCTGGGTCACGTGATACTTAAATTGTGCGTTAAGTTATTTATATACTACACGCTGTCATCGATCGGAAAACAGTAACTGAGTTTACTAAACAATAAAAGATTATTAATAACAATGTAAATATTTTTGTTGTAAAGTACGTGTAAAGCAGTAATAAACATAAAATTAAGTCGGTAAATAAAAACGCTACAACGTATACCTTGTGTGGTATATTTCACAAGACAGTCCAGACAAAGCAATAATTGTTGCATTAAAATATATTTATAAATGTTCTGATTTTTTCCATTTATTCTGTTTAAGTTTAGAGATTGAAATTCATTGAAACAGGTCATTCAACATTTCCTTTAACGCGAGGAAAACTCTTAAAGTTACTTCCGTGCCATTATTATATTAACTGATTTCGTTAGTGCATTTTACACTGAAAAAAAATATGTTTGACGTTTTAACAGTTTATCAATTTATTGAAAATGCTAGGCCTCTTAGAGGCATCAGTCACATATACAAGAATATACATAGAATGTGAATTATCATAAAAAGATTTCCACAAAATATACTTATGTACTAGATGGCATATACAAATCAAAAACCATGAAAATTAGCTTAGTTATCAGTCACTTAAATGCTAATATATTTTTACAAAATACTTTGGTGGCTGATTTGGAACGCTTCTGTGCGTCGTGTTGGCGTCAGACTGCGCGGATGCGCAGGCTGGTCTGGATCCATGCTGGTCTTAAACCAACATTTTAACATTAAAATAAACCTGATTTTTTTATGCACTCGTTCAAAAACTTCTGCATTCATAAACCCCCTTACGTCACATCGATAAAACCTAGGTGTCAAATAGATTAAACATAGTATTAACTGGTACTTTGTAGTCACGTAACAATTTTAACAATGAATATAAAAGTCTGAGCCCTTTATCAGTTAAGGTCTTTAAATTGTAGCTTACATGAATGACCCCCAATCGTGAATACCACACCTAAGTAGTTATAAAACCATTTATTCATATTACCAAGTCTGCCACCAATTCTGAATACAATTATTTTGGTCTTTTCAACAACAATCGTCAAGTTCCAACGATTACATTAGGACAATAAACCTAAATCGGAATTGTCGGTCGAATATGACACACTCTTTAGCCGAAAACGGAACATAAAATCTACCATATTCGTTCGGGTTGAGTTTTTTCTCTGCTCACCAAAACGTGTTTGTCACTTACCATAAAAAGCGCTTAAAAACTGAAAATACTAACTTATGCGTCACATGTGTTTTCTTTTTACTTAAATAAGCCCGTTTTGCACAACACCGTTTATTTTAAATAACATGCATGACAAGTTGAAAATAGCATATTTTGACTAAAAAATGGGCAATAACTCTGGTATAAAGGCAGAAAATCGACAGGCAAAACCAACCGAATGTACACAACTTTATATCGTCACCATAGTGCAATAACATAATAAGTGCTTTTAAATTTAATAGCATTTATTCAGTTATTGCACTAAGGTGACGATATGCTGACAATTATTCACCTTAAGTTTCATGACCTAGCTCAAATACTGTTTGGGCTACATGCAACACAAGTATAAATTGCAAATTTGCCTAAGTCAAGGGCAATTACTCTGGTATGCCTCTCCGATTCGACAAGCGAAACCCCGGGTTCAAAATTTTATGACCCTAACTAAATATTTTTGGAGCAACACTATAGATTCCGGGATGGACAAACGCACGTAGACAGACACAGGCGCACGGACAAGTAAACTGTTTAAATTCCCCTTCCCCTCAGAGTGAGGGCATAAAAAGTCGATATTTTATCTTCCAGTCAATAAATATCAATCTCTAAAATATTTAGCACATATTTTCGACAAAGCCAGCCACTTTGTATTGACAGTTTTCATCTTACTGGTAAAATGATAAGCAAGGCGGCGTGGACTTAAAAAAATATATTGCTCATTTACAATGACGATGTATCATTGATGATAATGATGATGTGATGTCGTTGCTGCTGCTGCTGCTGCTGATGATGATGATGCATTATTATGTTGATGAAGGTAGCTTCAAACTACGATGATAATTTTAGTTTACTGTGTAAAAGGTGCTTCAAACTACGATGATAATTTTAGTTTACTGTGTAAAATATTGTGACATATACGGTCGGACATTTACTACCAAATTACAAAAACGTATATGGCACATAAAGACAGCTGTGATCAATTCGACCGAATATGTAACACACATGAAACATATACGTTTGGTGCCATATACGGCCCGACACGGCATCATCAGCAAATAACAATAGATAAATAATAATATTATTGATATTTGGCAACGTCAATATTTTCTTGCAAGTGTAAATATCATGCAAAAAAGAGAGAAGAATATCGGAGAAGTTATCTCCCCCTGGCAGAGACTGATGTTTATAGAAATAACTAAACATAAGTACAAAACTCACATTTTAATTCAAGAAATGAACATGTTTAGTAACAATTGTTAACATAAGAAATGTCAAGTCAAGCCTTATCCAGTATTGTTTTACTTTTCTTATATATATCATAAATGAAGTACGTCAGTGTAACATCAATGTATTAATTATACATGTATCTTTTACTTACAGAGATAATAACGATGTTATAGACGCCTATTAAATCATTTGATACCAGTCTATATTGTTTGTACATTAAAGTAATTAAAAAGACGATTACCAATAAACAAACAACCGAGAAAAACTAACAATTTGAAAACAGATATTCAAATAACAGAAAAATAGAAAAGGAAAATGGCAAAAAAAACATAAAAAACAGCCTCAGAAGCTGGCTGTTCAAAATAATTGTATCATATATAAAAAAAGAAAGAAACAAGGAGTTTGTCAGAAGTTTCCAAACTATAACTAAGTTAGTGACGCCTACGGAGTCATTTTATTTTGATCTCTATAGTTTTGTACATTCAAGCAAAAAATAAAAAAGGACGAAAAAATACGAAAACAAATAAACTACAAAGAAAAAAAACGCTTGAAAACTGAATTTCAAATTACAGAAAAAAAGAAAAGGACAAACAAAGAAATAACCTAAAACGGAAAATAATTCCATCGTATGAAAAAGAAAGAAAACAGTAAAAAAGCCTCTCTCAGAAAAAAACAAAAACAACTTTTATTTTAAAGTTGGTTTGACTGAATGCCATATACATTCTTGGTCGTAAAGGAATTCACATAGATAGATCAATCCGCAGTTCCAAAGTTTTGATAATATCGGTATTCCAGTATTATTTTTATCAAGATATTATCTAAGGTTCACATCATAATGTGGTCTAATTACATGTGTGTATATCACATAGCCGGCAATAATAAGAATGCCGAGGACCACACTAGAAATCAGCATATTTCGAGAGTGGTTTGACATTATCCTCGCATCTTCCATGTGCCCTTTACTCGCTAGAGAACTTGCCTGTGAAAGAAAACAAAACACATTATTTATAACATTTGGCTAACGTTAGTTAATATAACCCGATTGGTTACATGTCTTTTATTACATAACTTAAAAAACGACTGCAAAGACAACAACAAATAAACAATAAAATATCACAATTTATCTTAATTTCTTTATGATTTCACGTACTATTCTCATGTAAATCAAAGAGAGCATGTTTTTATCAAAAAATTTAAAAAAATTTAAGAACTGTTGACAAAGTTGCTTTTATTTGAATTATTTTTAAACCTGAAATTTCTGTTCGTTAAGTTTTTTCCCTCTATAGCCAAATACGTATATCATTTCTCAACAGAGCGTCGTGTCTGACAGTGCAACTAGATAGGTTTACACAAAGTATTAAAGCACAATTCTCAACAGCGTTTAAATGAATAAAATTTGTGCATAACTTCTTCATAAATTATTCATCATAACAAACAAATTAAATTTTATACTTTACCACGCAAGAGAAATAAATTGCAGCAATTCCTGTGGGCCAGAAACAGCACAAACAAGCCAGAATTGACGGGCATAGATAGTCTGGTGGCTTCTGTTGACTCGCACCAACAACCTGAACAGGTACAGGCTGGCAAACAACCTATTGCAATAATACTAAAATTTATATTGTTCCGGTTGTTAGGACTTTATATTCAAACAAGAAGAACTTTGTCAATCAGACGTATATTCTCTTTTGTACAGTTTATATGATAACTTTCAACCTGTATTTCAATGATATGCAATTAAACTACAAGAACATGAATAATTCAATAAATAAAATTTAAAACCAAACTAACAAAAAGGCTCACAATAACTTAGCATAAACAAATCTTTATATGCCACAAATAAATAAAAAACTTCCTGAAAGACTTGTCTGTACTTGCTGGCAAGAAATTTGTACAAAAACAATTCGTTTCATGATTTCACACATACACAAATACCGTTAGATTATATACGTAGAAATATTTAAAAAAGAAAATTTTACAAATATACCACTTGGGACATTCCCTTTTCAGATCCTCCATTTGGTTGGATATTTGGGATGTAACCAGACTGTGCCTGTAAAGGTTGATATCCTGGTTGGTAAGTGTATCCGTCTACGGTCGGATGTGGAAGTGGTTGGTGAGCGGGAAACTGCACAGTACTTGGCGTCTCAAGTTGAGAATCGTCTGTTGCTGCTTCATAGGGTGGAGGAAGATCAGACTTGGAATCTTTAATATAGAAAACGAGCTATTTTAGTTGGTTAATTAGTTAGTAAGTTCGTTCGTTCGTTCGTTAGTTAGCGAAGTTAGAATATTGCAATAAAAATGAACACAACATTTGCATGTCAGAAATCACACAGGCTAGAAGTTTGTGTCTCACATTCCTGTCTCAAAGATTAAAGACACATTTTATAGTCATATTATTATTAACAAGTATAATATATTTGAGCAAAACATGTTCTTACAGCTAATGCAATATTTTGAATACTTTACGTTAGGTAGCTGTGGATTCTTTTATGTGAGGAAGCTATAGAACGTCGGTGGTTCTAAACAGGTGACCGCTGTATAGTATATAATGTACAAAGGGGTCAACAGAAAAATCGAAACAGATACTAACAAATAAGCATTCACCTGAAAAAAATGTACTATTAACACTCTAAATATCTTAAACGGACTTTTTAGTGTGGACAAAAGTGTTAATTGATCCTTTCACATTTAACAATACGTGACTGAATAGCGAAAGTTCATAAGCTAGCTATATAGCTAGCTTCTTTCTATAAGGACCTGGCTGAATGAAGGGGCACCATTACTTATGTCTTCCTCCACAGGTAAAGTTAGAATGCCGCCATAGTGTCCTTGTGACATAAAATCCCAACACAAAATTACCTTGTTTTTTAATTGAACTTTTAATTGAACTTAATAGTCAAGATATTTCTCTTTCATTGTGCGCTTCTAATGGATATTGTTAAACTTCCTCTAAAGCGAATTTACTATAAAGAAAAAATATTTTGACCTTGAATATTTGATTATGCTTTCTTGGGTGCCAATATTGGATTTTAGTAACATTCTTTAAAGAAGAAGAAAAAGAAGAACGTTTATTTCACTTAAACTACAAGTTTCTCGTGATTAACATATATACAAGCATACATATATAATGACATGAAAAATACAATGACATGAAAGCAAACATAATAATTCTATTTAAATTTAATTGCGTATGCAAATATTTTGACGGATGGTAGACCTGCAGGACAGTTGAATGTACCTAGCTCTAAATTCACCTGTTTATCAAAATGATGCATAGTGGATGACAACGCCTTTGTTATGAGACAGTTTATTTAAGTAGCATTTAACTATGCAGGACACACACATTTCTTTAAAAAAATTATTCCTTTTCTCTATATGTTTGGTAGTTGATGACAGACCAAAAGTTAAGACCCTAGAAAATGATAACGCTTTGGTGGCTGATTTCTGCCATTCGATTTTTCGCCTTACAACCCCGCCAAGCGAAAGTCGAGAATAAACAAGTAAAAATGACGGGGGCGCGGGGCAAAGTTTAAAAAAGAAAAGCCAAAAGATTTAATAAAAGTAACGAACTTGTAGGCGGGGCGAAGTTTGTGTGTGTAGTGGGGAGGGGGCAATGGAAAGGAAGGAGAGGGAAACTTATTAAACATCAATACACATTGATTACAGGAAATCATTTTTTAAATTAAAAGTGTACCGAACCTCAATTTTGTTTATTTCTATAATACAAAACAGTATCAATAAGCTAATTCCCCGCCAAGCGATATTCTAACAAATGTCATAATTACACAGGATGAAATAATAAAAAAAAAACCCACAAAAATGACCATGTAAATACAATGAGTAGACCAAATGACCATAGCAAATGTACTCAATGTATTTAAGAAAGGCATCACAGCCAAATACCATGCATGTGCTGCTACAAGTCGGCTACGACAAAAAAAAGAAAACGAAATCAATTTCACTTTTAATGGGTTTCAACAACTGCCAATCGTAGTCTTGCACCTTGATTTGATTAAAAGTGGAAAGCGTTGCGTCTAACTTTTAGCGTGTTTTCATATCAAGCATCCACAGTGTTTCATTATAATTGAATCATGGCACGATTCATGATTTGATAATTTCAACAAAAACAAATGTAAAAATACCATAACCCAAAATCATACGCAGTTTATAACAAAGCACTTTTGGACCTCAATTTTTACAAAGCATGTATGTCACAAAGTATGACATATACTTGCGACTACTTAAATTACGGTCGCACAAAAAAATCATACGAACATAAAACTATATGTGTCACACCTCAAAATCTAATTAAAAGGGTGAAAAATATATGATTATTTTAGTTCGTACGCATGTGTCACACCTGCAAGTAAAGGTTTTGTCTCACATCATAGTCTCAAAGAACGGCACTTATGGTTTGCCCACCGTTCGTCTGTTCACACTTTTGTCCTGGTCATGTGTATGTTATGCTCTTAGGAACTTACATTATATCTAGTGTTAAGAACCTTTATGCGCAGTGTTGGAGTAAAATTTGTTTAATATAAACATGTACTGCAGTATGCATATTATTGCTCTGATATGCGCCATGAAATTAAATACCAAATCAGTGAAAACAGGTACATGATTGTGGGCAGATGGGGTACATGTAGTATGAAGGCATTATATAACATAATTTTATGTTGTCATTTTATCAGGTTATTTTATTGTTGTTTATTTTGCATGGAAATGAAATGAGGAATAAATGTGATAAAAATATATAGACCCTTTCCTTCGGATTATAAAATGATGCCAATGTAACAAATAAAACTATTTTAACTATTCATTTGCATGTTTAATAATGCCAATGGTTGCAGCCTAGTCAAATTTTATACTCTATATGTTCTATCGTAAATCAGTTATATCTAAGACTTAATTCTGGAGTCAACTGTTCTTGATGAGTTAAAAACTGTGTTCAACTTTAAACATCAACACTATCTTAGTGAATTGAGGCCCGAAATAGAATAAGCTAGCATTCTACTCGTTTTCAGTAATCTTAATTCTGTTGTAACACTGATAAAATTCACCACTTTAAAATCTCTTGCTGACGGGTTGTACATCTTAAATCCTTTCTGGTCAAAACAATTCTTAAAGTCATATAATAAACAAAAACTACAAAGATGCACGCCGTGTGACAATTGCGTTTTGTGAAAATTGAGGTTCAACAAAGGAAATCTTAATATATGAGATTGAAAACGGGACTTATTGGAGGAGTACATTATGTATTTAGATCTAATATGGATGTTTTGGACTCTTAAAATGAATATGAGACCTAACTAATACAATATAATCCAAAAGTGATCCAATGATAATTCATATTATGCAAACATGACTGAAAGCATCTCGTAAAGGTTGAAATTAAACGTGATATACTGTATATACATGTAGATTGATAATATTTATTTTAACCGAAACCGGAAGTTTAAATAAAACACATTTTTAAACATTTTTTTAAAGAATGCATATTAAGTGTGTCATTAGAGTAATGCTTACCACTTAATTATTCTTTATTAAATTATCTAGTTTTTAAATGTTTAAATTTAATACTAGTTAACACCAAATCACACGTGTAGGATATGTTAGAATAAGCGGAATTATAAATGGTATAAATTTAAGATGAACTTACCCATTAGATTGTCAGTACTCATTTTCAATTGCTGGAAACTTAGATAGTCATTGAAACACAATGATTTTACTTGTCTTTAAACGAAATGTCCGCACTCCTTTAACCTCGAATGTTTTAAGATTTTTTGCGTTGTTGATCGGTAATAAATGCATAAAAGAAACATGATATCTGGGTCACGTGATACTTTAATTGTGCACTAAGTTATTTATATACTACACTCTGTCATCGATCGGAAAATGTTAAACAATAAAATATTATTAATAACAATGTAAATATTTTTGTTGTTAAGTGTATGGCAGTAATAAACATAAAATTAAGTCGGTAAATAATAACGCTACAATGAATACCCTTTGTGGTATATTTCCTTATGCGTCCTTTCCCACAAGACAGTCCAGACAAAGCAATAATTGTTGCATTAAATATATTTATAAATGTACTGATTTTTTTCATTTATTCTGTTTAAGTTTAGAGACTGACATTCATTGAAACAGGTGATTTAACATTTCCTTAAACGCGAGGATAAAAACTCTTAAAGTTACTCCCGTGCCATTATTATATTAACTGATTTCGTTAGTGCATGTTTACACTGAAAATACATATGTTTGACGTTTTAACAGTTTATCAGTTTATTGAAAATACCAGGCCTCTTAGAGGCATCAGTCACATATACAAGAATATACATAGAATGTGAATTATCATAAAAAGATTTCCACAAAATATACTTATGTACTAGATGGCATATACAAATCCAAACCATGAAAATTAGCTTAGTTATCAGTTACTTAAATGCTAATATTTTTTTACAAAATACTATGGTGGCTGATTTGGAACGCTTCTATGCGTCGTGTTGGCGCTAGCGAAAACACGACAAAGCCCCAAACGGCGCGTTTGGAAACTTTCGTCTTGTCGTTATGTCGCTAATGATGCACGCCAAACGGCGCGTTGTCGTGCGGCGTGTTGTCGCGATGTCGCATTGTCGCTTGGTTCAAATCGAAGGATTGGCTTATAAGCCAAGCGACCGGGCAACATCGCGACAACGCGCCGCACAACAACGCGACGTTTGTCGACAACGCAACGCGCAGTGTACCAAATCAGCCACTATAGAATACTGCAAGTTTTAACAGTATACTCCTATCTGTGCTATTCAATAACATAGAAAACTTGATTGAATTGACATTAGTACTATATACTCTCTAGTAATATATTTTCTTTTTTCAGTATCAAGAATTGGCAATTATATAAGTAATGATATTTATCTCCAAGTGAGCTAGTATGCACAAGCATTGCTTCGATCCATCCCTTAACATGTAAATTATTCCTTTGAATTTGAATATTTTTTCTTTTCTTAAAATCTAATTACAAATTTCTCTAGTTTAATTTCTTTGAAGTCAAATCGTAAGTTAGGGGTTCTAAATTTGAATGATACCTCTTTCATATAAAATTCCGGGAGCTTTATTTATTGATACCTCTAGTATAACTTAAGGAGGCCTATGTCTTTTAAGATACATCTATTAAAACTCTCGTGATAGATATTTGTATAGGAACGCAATTTCAGTGTAATCGCAAAGGCAGAGCAATAAAATGATAGAACAAAATAACAACGAATTTTAACAAATTTATTCAATTATGGGTTCATTAAATTAGCAATTGCAGGTTTCAATGAGCTTGGGAGGAGCACGTGATCTATAATGTGGATGACTCCATTTGTCGCACTGATATCTTTTGAAGTCACACGTGCACCATCGACACTAACCTGATAACCTGAAAAAAATGTAACATTCGTAATTTTATTTATTTTTATAATCTGCTCCATATCTTATTTTCCAAAAATACATTATCATTCAATTGTTTTGATTGTCAAGGTACTAACTACATACGGTTAACTGTCATTTCATAACTTTAATTAGTATTTTTATTTCAAAGTTCAACCTTGGCGATTTTAAAACATTGTACCACACACAAATGCTAGTCTTGTCAAAACAAAATTAAAGATGAAATTGTATCTAATATTAATTTCTTGCTTGAAAAGAAAACCTAAACTTCTTTGAATTGAGACGACTTATTAGATAAGAATGTCTATACCTCCAAAAGAAGCAACAAGTCTTTCACTGTCTACAGCTTCTAATGTATGCAGAGCTCCAGAGTGCATGCCAGTACTATACAGAGTTCCATGTACCACATGGTACAGAAGAATTGCTGAAATGGTAAGAAAAATGCAAAACTAATAGATTACTAGATTCAATTCAGAACTGTTATTATCTCTACGCGCAGTAATCATAGTAAAGCTCGTTAAGACATAAACGACTGTTAGCTCACTGTCTTCTTTCTTATTATTGAGACAGTATCAAATCAGTATAAGGAATAAAAGAATAAACGCCACGAAAAGAATCTATTTCAGTAGTTTTGATATATATATATATATTGCAGTAAAACACAAAAATACAGACATGTACGAAGATAAAATTGCTAATGTATTAAACTTAATTGTGGTGTGTGATCTATCTAGAATGCCGTGACAGCCTTTTTAACATTTGAAATCAATTAAGTTGGACTAATATTACTAGGTATATACATGCCAAAATCATAGGACACGATGAGAAATGGTCAACACTATAATAATTATAATACTAAATATTTTTGACTTTTGTTGTTGTTGTTGTTTTTATAACATTATAAAATGGATCATAAATGAACCTACCTTTGGTACCCTACCATAATATATTATCCATTTTATTATGAGATATACTATTAAAAGTTTTATTTACATTGCAGAAGGTCTGTATTTCCGAGAAGTGCCTGTACGGTGTCGTTTCCAAGACGATCAAATGCTGAGTTTTTAGGTGCAAACAGTGTGTACGGTCCGTCTGGAATCAAAATAAGATAGGAAAATAGTTCTGACGCAATTGTAAACAGATGCAGTTTAACTTTCGAATAAATAGTATATCTTGTTTTTCTGTCCACTTCTAGCGTGCAACATAGTTGATTTAGTGTGCATGTAGCAACAATACGTCATATTCATCCGAATATAGCACCCATGGTAGACTTGGTTGAACTATTCGCTTGTGTAACAATTTCGATTTGTACGGGCCAACTGAGCTTTTGTATTCATTTTTAGTGAATTTATGTCATCAGAATTTGGCAATACAAGTTCATGCGAAGCTAAATTTACCCTGAAGTAATTTGATATTAAAACAATTACTACAATTACTGATTCTAACTAAATCCATGTCATATAAGCACAATGTTGCAAAATCATTTCATGACTATAAAGTTAACCATGGTCACTTATTTTAAACCGGCCATTTTATATACGTTTATTTTAAACCGGCTATTTTATATATATACGTCAGTAAATAAAATATGGCACTCACCGGCTAAGGCACTGGTAAGTCCGGCGGCATCAACTGCGGCTTTAAGTGTTGAAAGGTCTGGGTTTGATGCTAGAATATCAGCAATGGTTCCACTTGGTGGCATCATCACGTGATCTATGATATGAACGATACCATTGCTGGCCTTGAAGTTGGCACTTATAACACGTGCACCATCAACTGCTATGTGCTAGAAATAGGGTAAAAACATAATTTGTTTGCTTTTGTTTTAGAGTTGGAAAAACCGTAATGAACAGCGACCTTAATGTAACCTACGTAGAGAGATTTTATGTTCAAATCTCAACTAGTTTTAGATAACATATTTATAACAGAATCAAAAAGTTGTAACAATGTTTTGTGAGTAACAAATAATATGGAATATTTTACAATTTATCACCTGTTTCCATAGGATGCCCAGTCTCAATAATAATTATGGTGGAATTGCATCATTGTAAGAAAATGGATAGTATCAGACAAATTGTTTTGTTTATTTTTTTCAACGCGGTCGACGCGAAAATAACAAAAACCCTAGCCATTTTATGTGGCCTATTTTATGGTCGATAATCCTAAGTTATATGCAATCAACCGTTCACTGTTATAACCAACCCAACCTTTCAAAAGTCTGCATAATGACTTTATAGATAATTTGAATTACGATAATATAAATATCACGATTATCCAATGAAATCGATGTTACAAAGGTAACAGCAATGAATATTCAATAACCAATAGGCAATATCATTAAACTTTAAACATAACAATTATCTAATGGAAATCGACTTTGAAAACGTGCAGCATTCTGGTAAAATATTTAGCGCAGTCAAAGATTTAAGTACAGTTAAATGCTATTATGGATAATTTGTATCACGGAATTTGTGCCAAAGGATATGCAGATAGAGTGTAAGAGTCCATCCATTAAGAACTGACTACATTATGGGAATACTTGGTTGGTCTTCCCATCTACGTTATATAATGCAATAAGAAAACACAATTTTGTACTAGGCCTGTTTTGGAATAGAGATATTTTGAGATATATTGCATGTCTATCTTATAATGTCTGATGAGTTAGAGTCGATGACTTCTAATCCAGTTACCTCTCTGGCGTGGGTCCGATTCCCGGGAGCTGCTTTGGTAGTTTAGCGCGGAGGTAGGTAATCTAGTACTGGTGTAACTCTCCAGGAACGATGGTTAGGAAACTACTCGCCTGTATGACCGAAATACTGTTGGGAAAAGGCGTAAAATGAAACAAACAAACACAGTCTGACGAGTTCTAGGTGCTAGCTAGGGAATGTGTATATACATATATGTGTATACATAGGGATATAAAATATCAATACCTTGTTGTACATGTAGTAATTGACCCGAATCTTTTGTTGATTCAAGCTGTCTAACATCATTTCGTTAACTGTCAAATTACCGGAGGAATAAATGCCAGGGACTACATGATATTTGAGAATTTCAGCCAGTTTGGCGGGATCATTCTTCAACGCATCCAATGTGCTCGTCCCCAGTCTGCGGAAAGCTGTTTCACTTGGTGCAAAAATGGTAAATGGGCCTGAAATTCATAAGAAAATGCTATTCAACATTCAAAATATAGGTCAGGCGAATTCGTTTAAGTGTTGGCTATTTTCTTTTTGTAAATTAATAATGAAAGTCGATGTAAATTCCAATTAAATCAGCATGTTACCATATCTATATAATTATATATTCACATCATTTTTTGTTATCGACGTACTCTATCTCTTTGTATGTGATTTAAACTTTTGAACTAACGATTTTTTGTTATGTTTTACTCTTATTGCGGCAGATGGCTTCAAACACAGGTGTTCTATGTTGCTGATGTTTAGGACTGTTTATATTGTAATTACAAAATCTAAGTATCTATATAACCAGTATTACTTTGTATGTGATCAAATTATCATACAACAAGCATTGCTGGTAACAGTGCTAGACGGGCTTTAAGCTGTTTTTGTTACGTAGAGAATAGACTTCGGGAATGTCCTAGAAATATATTTTGACTACACATTTACTGCATTACATTTTGGACTTTGGAAAGTATACAGTTTTTCAAGGTTTTTGGAATAAAAGCTTTTTATAAGTAACATGTCATCGAACAATTAAGTGACATAAAGTAAGTTCTACCTCGATTTCTAGCTAGATTTAAAAGTTTAACGTCCTCAACAAGTAAGAATAAAAATCTGGAGCATATTTAGTTAGGTCTGAATTGTCATACTACAGAACATATTATGACACATATGTGACAACTGGTGTTAACAAACCCTATAACAAGTAGAGAAACTGATAGCGAACAGCATGGATCCTGATCAGACTGCGCGGATGAGCAGGCTGGTCTGGATCCATGCTTGTTCGCAAACGCATTACGTTGGTTTTTACATGACGTGGCTAAAAATCATCATGATCATTGCGTTACGGTTTAATTAAGCGACATACCATCTCCGGAAAGTGCTTGCTCCAGACCAGCTGCCTGTATAAGGCTCAACAATGTGGGCTCCCTTCTTGTCTTCAAAACATCAACAACTGTTGCAGACAGTGCTCCAGCTACACAAGCAAAAAGAATAAATAATTTCGCCATCTTTCTTGGCTCTTCCTTTACAATATGAAATTTAATAACTAGTGAACTTTTAAAACGATGTACTAGACTAATACTCTTATCTATGCAATATATCTGAAAATGGAAAACAGTGATGTAAGAAAGGCTAACTTAAATGTGCAGTAGATAAGAAATAAAATTTGTCCTACCGCAAAAATTGAAAAAAGGGTCACGACAGGGATTTTCTTATGAAATAGCCTACTGTTTGACGGTGTCTCGTTTTATATTGTTAATTGTCTTATGCCTTAAAATTTGGTTTCCCTTCAGTGTGCCTAGAGAAACCTTGATATACGTGCCATTCTATCACGTTTTATAATTTCTGACGAAGCTTTCTTATCTCTTCGCTTTCAATACAGATAAACGAGTGTAAAATTTCCTTAACTATCTCACTTATAATTTTTGATCGCTTAGAAGAACGAAATTAATATGGTCGGACTCAAAACACTAATTGTTTTTGTGAACGCTTTGGCGTTTACTGTAGCACTTCCAAATATTATAGATACGCTAACAGCAAACAATGCTTCAACTTTAGTAGGTCTTATTGATCAAGCAGGTCTTACAGACACACTTAAAACTAAAGGTAAGGATTTTTTTCTATACCTAAACATGCATTTTTCTCACACTATTTCGTATATTATTTAAAACCAAAGCAAAAGTCATTTAGTAGATACGATTTTAAAGTACACCTCTTACATCAAGTCATCAAAATTGATATGACATAAAATCAGACAAGGAAACTATTTAAAAATAGGTAATTATTTCGTTGAAATGTGAAAGAATCACCCATTTTATTATCTGGTATTATATTTGACTTATCAAAGGTAATAAGGAAAATAATTCTTCTTTTTGCATTTCTTATAGGACCATTCACAATCTTTGCACCAACGAACGCTGCGATTGCCAAAGTACCTGCTGCAGATCTCCAAGCATTAGGTAGCGATGTAGATGCATTGAAAAACGTTTTGTTATACCATGTCGTCAATGGAGAAATCTTCAGCTGGGATTTAAGAACAGGCGAGCGTCTTAAAAGTCTTAACAACCACACCATTAGAATATACAGCAGCGCCGGGGTGAGTTTTTAATTAAACTTCAATTTTATTTCTTTATCAGGTGAAAAGACCGAACCATTTAAAGATTTTGTTTTTTTTCTCTTTAGATAGGTACAGTACTAAATAAGTTAATACCGGTAATCTATATATAAATCTTATAACATTCAATTTGGAATACAATCTTAAAGTTGTGGAAAAAATTTTCTTATTATTGTGTTCATATGATCACAGACCAAGCATAGTCACGTGCTTATTGAAGACTAGACTATCTTTGTTTTTGTTTAATTTGATATGTCATCTGCTTTCAGAAGCACTACTTTAACCAGGCACTGGCTGTAGTAGAGGAGATCCAAGCGTCCAATGGTGTTATCTATCTTATTGACGAGGTACTTAATGTGCCCGAGGGAACTATTTGGGACATTCTGAACAACCCTGACTACAACCTGACACAGTTTGCTAATGTTGCTCAACACGCTCGTCTTGACTCATTATTCAAAACAATTTGTAAGTACTGTTCACTTTTGCTTCTACGTATTCTTGAAATATTTGTCAACTAATAAAAAAGATGCATTTCACCAATAAACTTTCAAAGAATGAAAATTTATACTCATATAATGCAGCTTGGGAGTTATGAAATTAAAGTCGTTGAAATTCTTTTAAAAGGCTCCTTTTTTCATATACATTGTAAATACAAAAAAAAATACAGCAAAGATATATTAGCAACAGAACATAGTTATGTTAAAAATAACAACGGAATTGTTTGATTGTGGCTAAACAGCAAACCTACTTAGATGCATTGTAACCGATTTAACAATCTAACAAATATAACATACATTTCAGCTAGTACTAAACGTTACACTGTGTTTGCACCCATGAATTCTGCTTTTGAGAGTTTGCCTAAACAGCTTCTGAACACCATTGCATCAAGTACTACCTACGGAAGATGTAAGTAAAACCATTCTTGTACATTCCAAATAAGCAGCATATTCTCGCGTTCAATGTAATATACTGACGAATATATGTATGACCATTGTATCAAACTTTCAAATGTTGCTTTCTCTGAAGTTTCAGATGTCATTAAGTACCACAGACATGACTTATGTAACAAACATTCAGAGGCCATTGATGACTTATTATGTACTATTTTTTCTTCAGATGTCATTTGATGTAAATTCATGACTGATGTATCAAAATATTCCGATATTACTATTACATGTACATTCATTGCTTCAGTTAAGAACCTTCAGATATAATTTATAAGCACGTTTATTATATACTTATTAATGAAATATTGAGAAATATTGATGAAATAAAATGCGTATTTTCATTTTCCGTATTTTCACTGTTAAAATTTATTTTTCACTGCAGTGAAACATATTTTCCGTATTTTCACTGGTGTCTTGCCGGACTACTTTCTTTTCAATTTTGCCAGTACACAAAATTTAAGGGAAAGTCTTTCAAATTTTAATGTCAAAAAAGATAAAAATGTATATAATAAACAGAAAATTCAAGTTTTTTCTATAAATACATGATTTATTTTCATCTTGTGGTATGAAAATTACCATATTTCACTCGTGGCTACCGCCACTCATGAAATATTTATTTTCATACCACTCGATGAAAATAAATCATGTATTTATAGAAAAAACTTGAATATCCTCTATGTATTTTCATGAACTATGCATTTATTCTTCAGATGTTATTGGCCATCCAATTTACGATTTATGTGTAAAACATTCAGATGTAATTGAAAATGATGTATCAAACTTTTATGTGTCATTCATAAGCATATTCATGTGTAATGTATCAAACTTTCAGATGTCATTGATTATCACATTCATGACGGTACACTTCATGCTGCAAGCTTGTCTAAAGATGGTACTGTGTCGACGTTACATACCGGACACACGATCACTCTCACTCATGATGCAAGTATGTAAACTTAAAATCAAAATTTGGCTAGCAACATTATGAAATCTGTTCAGATTGCTTGGCTGTGCAGACTGGCAAGGCTTTTTAATCTGGTGACATAGGAAAGTGTTGCTTTTCTTTGGCACTCTACAAGTTAATATACTTTTTGTGTTGGAAACTTTACTTGTTCACAAAATATTTCATATTTCTTATATTGACTTCAAATTTTGACTTGGTGCGGCGTTTATGTTACATACACGTTTTTTTTATAAATAAACATTGTTGTTTCTGAACACAAACATAAATGTATTTAAGTCTGAATTTGCATAAGGGATAGAAGTTTTCATAGTTTGAACTCGAACACTGCTTGCACAAGGGGAGCGGTGGCGAGCATTTCATTTTTCTCATTGGGCAAAATAAATAAGTAAAACTAAACTTCACTGCTTGCTATATGATTTATATATCAATTTCACATTATTTATGCAAGTCCTCCTTTCTATTTCAGACACTGGTGAACCTCTCCTGAACAAACTAGCCCATGTTGTTATACAGGACATTGAAGCTGAAAATGGCGTTGTGCACGTGATTTCGCACGTGCTTATCCCATCAACACTCGCGGGAATCGTTGGTTAATTTGATTTATTTTGTATAACAAGTTTTCACCCGCAGGAAACATAAATAAATTGTTACAAAGTTACTTTCATTTTTACCATTTATTTCTATCCAATTATGATAGTGTATATGATACAACATCAGAGTAGTTACATTTATATAGATGAGATGAAATATCTCAAAGATTTTCATTTTTATATGACGTCTGTGTGTTGATAATGAAGCATTTTTATTGAACGTCAACAATTATAAAATTCAAAGTTCACAATTTTTTTTTTTTGGAGACTGACTTTGTCTACTTTGTCACAAAGTTGTATACATAAATCCACAAATTTATCAGTTCAATTAAGTATTTAAAGTAACTATCATTATATCATATATAGAGATGGTTTTAGTCCATCTAATTTGAATAAGTATTATTAAGCTAACAAATTGACCCTTTAGAAAATGGAATTGCCTAGATTTTTTTAGATTTTTATTGATTTTTTTATAAATTTTATTTTATTTGAGAAAACATAACTTCGACTTAAAATGACTCAAATGAACTTTTTAGAATATGTTTCCGATTGTACATTTTGATGTAGATCTAAACCAATAACTTGTGAAAAAATCCCAAATCTTTCACCCTCGCCTTTTTCCAGAATAAGTACATGTAGTTTAATTGTAAAAATGACTTTATAGACTTTTGGACATCAGTGCGGTTTCTTTAAGCCGGTGCTAGGGAGTATGAGCGGTAGATTTGCCATCGCCGTCCATGAACAGACTCAAGAGGAGCGGTGACCTGGTGGTTAACGTGACTGCCTCTCAATCTAGAAAGCATGGGTTCGAACCCCAATCGTGTCATGACCATGTTTCTTCATATGACAACAGTACTGGTTGGTTCCAGGAAGCGGACTCGAAAGTGATTAATATCAGTTGCAAGAACTTGTTTCGTTATCGAGCTTTAATACATATGTTTAACCCACAAACTCAATAAAAAAACTGAGCCTGCAACATTTTTTATTTTGTAGTTAATGTCATTCTTAAAAATTGCCCGAGTTATTCCAATTTTCAAATCTGGACTGAAAGATGATCCGAGCAACTATCGACCTATTTCTATCTTGCCTACAATATCTAAGATTTTTGAACGTCACATAGCTAATCAGTTACAGCATTTTTTCCAAAAAACAAATATTTTACATAATAAACAATCAGGATTTCGAAAGAATCATTCATGCAATACGGCCCTAATTCATTTGATAGACTCCTGGCTAAAAGATGTTGATAGTGGCAAATATATAGGTACAGTATTTTTAGACCTGCAAAAGGCGTTTGATTTAGTTGACCATGAAATACTTTTATATAAACTCAAACTTTATCACTTTTCTGTCACATCATTAAAACTGTTTCATTCGTATCTGTCTAATCGTATGCAAATAATTCAAATTGGAGACTTAAAATCTGACGTACAATATGTTACCTCTGGCGTTCCACAAGGCTCAATATTAGGTCCTTTACTGTTTTCTTCTTTATATAAATGATCTCCCAATATTTGCGAGGATGTTAACATAGATTTATATGCTGATGATTCCACGTTGCATAAATCTGGAGATGACATATCAGTTATAGAAGAAAAACTACAATATAGCCTTAATATGATTACTAATTGGTGTAAAATAAATAATATGCTTTTACACCCTAAAAAATCTAAAAGTATGCTGGTAGGTAGTAGACAAAAGCTAAAGATTGCAAAAGCAATACATTTGAAAATTAACGACTCAACTCTTGACAATGTAGAATCACAAAAACTGCTTGGTATTTATGTTGAAAATACACTCAATTGGCACTGTCAGGTAAATGATGTGTGTAAAAAATTGAACTCTAAAGTTAATTTATTTAGGCGTATAAAGTACTTTTTAAATAAGGAATCTCGCATGCTTTTTTATAATGCATACCTTCTTCCTATTTTTGATTATTGTTGTAATATATGGGGAAAAAGAAAACAAAAAATATATATGCCAAATATACAAAATACAAACACGAATTTGCAAAATTATTCTAGACCTTCCAATGAGAAAACAATCAGAAAATTTATACAAAAGATTAAAAATATTGCCTTTCAAGAAAAGATGTATTTTTCACAGCGGTGTCCAAGTATATAAAGCATTGAATAATATGTCCCCTCAATATATCCGAGACTTACTTACCATATCTAATAATCAAAAGTATAATCTAAGATCGATATCTCACGGAAATTTAATTTCGTCTTACAAACCACGTACTAATTATTTTAATGACACATTCCAATTTAATGCCATGGTTATTTGGAATTCCATACCACTGACTATAAGAAGAAAAACAAAATTGTCAATATTTAAGAAATGTTTCAAGAAATACTTATTTAATCAAATTTAGCACGGTCCGTATGTCTTATATATACAGGATACGCTCTTTATATTCATACATGTGTTTTTTTTATTATTATGTTTTCTAATAATGGGTGTCTGTCTTAGTTTCAAGTTTTTTGACTGTGTTAATTTTGTAAGTTAATTTTACTTTTTAAATTGCAGATTAAAATGATGCACTGATGAAAGTATTATGTTTAATGATAAATAAAATGAATTGTATGAATGTTCAGTATATGTGTTAATATATGTTAAAATTGTGATAACCATTTAATCATTTCTTTTTACATGTTATATTTTCTTTGATTGATATGTGTTCTTTTGTGTGTGTGTTTTTATTTTTATTTTAGAAGGCCGCATTGTAAATAAGATGTTGCAATCTGTATATGTCTTAATGTGTTACCTTCGGTAAATAAAGTTATTATTATTATTATTATTATTATTATTATTATTCTTAAAGGTTTCCTTATCTTACATTGAGCTCGAATGAATATCATTATCAGCCAGGTAGAATTCTGAAATAATACCAAGAAATTTTCAACAGATATACAAGTTTATATCGATTAAACAAATTATATTCGCATTTAAGAATCCAATTGTAATCAATCATTTACATCAATTACTACGTCTCAAGTTTTTCATAGTACCAAAAGCAGGTCGCTGACAAAGATAATATATTACAAAGATCTGACAATTATTAAATGTGAACGATTATGACGATTAAATTGAAAAACGAATCGACAGGGGTCGCAAACATTTCCCCTAAGAATCTTATATTTATACTGGTATATTGTTATTGCATTGCATGTAGTTAGATTTACTTACATAGCAAATATTTCAAGTTTATTTATCTTAAAAAAAGGATCAAACATCAGAACTCTTTGCCCGACTGACGTTTCCTTACCCCGCTCTCCCTCCCTATCTGCATCATTGTCATGGTGTATGTGCTTCTCATATCAGACTTGTTATATAAGATAATTTATATGTCTGTTAAACAGGTCAAATCGGCGTCCAAAAAATAACAGACGTTTACTAGCGTTTCATAAGCCATATTGCATTATAGAGCAGTATAGATTTAATAGCCATGATGGGCACCTAACAACCTTTTTCCTTTTTCTAGTCCTATATTTTAAACAACCAGATAAGACTAGTATATCCTTTATTCAGACAGTACTGATCATGATCGCACTGAAAATGACCTACACTTGCTTGAACTGAAATAAAGCTGGATATCTACCATACATTTGAATAGTCTTGTTTTCAAATTCGAACTCGGATTATAAATTATATTGTATCAACGAAAATCTTCAAATACAGTTGACTATTCCTGATAATTTCCTATCGTTGATGTGTCCATATGTTATGTCATTTTAGAGTGATTTGCTGGCGCACTTATCCATTCTTGATCCTGAAGGCTATATCAAAGTATAGTTCAAACATTTCTTCATTTTAATTTACGATTTGAATGGGAAAATAGATATGAACACGTCGTTACTATGTCCTTGAGAGCTAGATATCACGAATTCTGTCTATTTGTTCCAGTTGTAACTGGCGATCGAAGGACACAATATGTACTAACAAGGATTGTTCAATAACAATATGTACACTATATATAAAGTGTTATATGGGTGTAATAAAGCCAAATTCTTTGAAATTATTCACTATTTTCTGACGGTTTATTCTCTTCGTGCATGCTTTGAGTTGGAAAGTAATATTCTTTAGATGCCCATAACAACACTTAGAGACAATACTGCCTTCCTAGAATTTAACCACTGACAATCGGAATATGTTCTATTGTTTATACCTTGGAAACCGATAAATGTCCACGGTGAACAGAAAAATCTACATGTCAAGCATTCTGACCAACTGTGTGCCGAGCATTTTAGTATTTTTGGCGAAAAAACTAGATAACTCTTTCAATGGCATTTTTACTACACTCCTAGTCGTCCTGTGAAGAGTAAATTTTTAACGCTGTTTATACCAGACATTAACTTCTTTATTAAATGTATAACCATCTTATTAGTACATTATTGTCTTGTCTCTGTGGAAAAGTGCATGTATTCAAACCAATTGTAGCTGATATTATTCTTTTTCATGGCAATCATTTTAATTAACATGTCAGTGTGTGGCAACTGTAGTTCTTAGACACCTGGTCGAAACTGAATCTACCCATGAGGTAAGAGCAAATCAAAATCCGTGTCATCTGACCATGGTCTGGCACTGTTCGCCACTGCAGTAAGTACTAATTTGAAATTTACCATAAAGTTATCAATGGTTTTATTCAGACTGAAAGATGAAAAATCCATTCACGATATTTATCGTAAAAATGCTTCAAGAAGGAGAATGCCCGGATGTATTCTATGTGAACTCAAGTCTGTATACACATTGTTGCCTACTGAACACCCCTCATGTGCTCAACCCAAAATGTATCTATAAAGATTATATTTGCCCTTTTCAAATAATCACAATTTCTATTTAATAAAGGATGTGTTCTTTCTTTCAACCGTTTTACATAAATATGACAGACTTATCAAATTACATGAACATTGACCTAAGGTTTGAAACCTTACTTATCTTAACCTATCTGAAACCTATTTCTTCAGACTGTACGTCACATAGTGTTATTGACCTTTCAGTCCTCCAGAATTCCATGTCAATTTGTAATAAATTTGTGCAAAACTTGCTTTGTTTTGAATTCGAACAAGTTCATTGCCATTTTATAATATCTAAATATGACAATACCCGTACTTGAACTGGCTACAAATACATAATGTGCGCCAAATGGCTGACCAAACCCTAGGAAGATATGTTATTATAACCATCGGCTTTGAAAGCTTAAAACATTTAATTGCGTAATTGTTAATCGTTGAAAGAAAAACATATACACGTTAAGACAGAAAGGCGTTTATTACTAAAATATTGTTCCATACCATCGAAAAGGGAAAAGAAAATTTAATGTTCATCTATCAAAGTAAGCATGCCGATACGACAAAAACTGTCATGTGGGGATAAAACTGTCATAACCCATGCGTAATAGTCTTATAACAAGTTCTTATGGAGATCACATGGAACTAAATGTGATATTCACTATCAGTATTATGAAATCAAATGACCACATTTCTTTATAAATGAAGACAAAACATTTACACAGTGTTTAAGCAGAACAATAGTAAGAACAAATAACAAACATGAAGACATTAGCTCTAATTCAGGTGAGCATCTCTTACTAACCTCATCTACAAATTACTTATTTCTTGTCAATATGTTTTATATATATAGATATATTTGGAAAATATTAATTTTTGTCTTTTATTTGAAATCAACAATATTTGATAAATTAACTTAATTTATTCAGTCAATTCAATTATTGTACACGGATAAAGTATGAAGTTATTTCGCTATAATTATTCAGGTATTAACGATCTGTGTCACTCAGGGTTTTCTCTTATCATCTGGCGAGCCATGCCAAAACCCTCCGGTTGCAGCCAACTTCACAGCCAACGGTTACCAAGGTCTCTGGTACGAAATAGGTAAGGAAGTGAACCTTTGTAATATTCATACAAAGTGAATTCTACTTCTCTTTTTCACATTTTTATCATATCTATTTCTTGACAATAAACATTGACAGAAAATATAATTTAGAAATGTTACGTTCGCCAAACAGCGGAAATCGGTACTCCCGTCTAATACAAATCCACCATACGGCATCTTGTAAATTGCGCAGACATTCTTATTTGAAACTTCCGGTTGGTTTAACGTAAGCTATGTTTATTATTCATTATATATGGTACATTTTATCTGTGGAATTGATATTTTTTCCATATTGACTACATTTACTGACATGACATCATTTTAGGGAAAATGCAGACTGCGGGTGGTGCTGCTTTTGAAAAAGATTGCGTGTGCACGACAATTGATATAAGCCCAGTGAAAGGCGCTACAAACGGTGACTCTACGGCAATCAACAGCTGCAGAAAGTTAGCGCCATCCGGGGACTTCTTAAATGCGACAGGTAAATTGCTATGATTACAAAATGTCAGAAATAATTTGTTACATTCATGACAAAGTGTCGAAAAGTCTTGGGCAATGAAAATAAATTGGATATTAGGAGAAGGTTATAACGATTTGTATGATTTATCATGTAACATAACATATGCATTATGTTAATAGAAGTAAGGCATATAGTCCATGTAAAATTATTTTCATCTATAAAGATTATTGTACAAAGCAAAACATATGCTGTATTGATGTCTCAGTCAAAATATAGATTACTGTAACAAAGTTTAAAAATAATTAATAATTTGAGCCGCGTCATGACAAAACCAACATAATGGGTTTGCGACCAGCATCAGTTTTTCTACTTGTAATAGAGTTGGTAAGCGAACAGCATGGATCCTGATCAGACTGCACGGATGCGCAGGCTGGTCTGGATCAATGCTGGTCGCAAACGCATTACGTTGGTTTTTGTCGTGACGCGGCTCATATATCTGGTAGACTTTGTTTTAACTTATGTTGAATGATATTGATCTTTTTCTTATCTTTACTAAACAGGTAATTTGGTGAACGAAGCCGTTCCTGGACACTGGAAAGAGAGGTTCTTTCCATTTACTCCAAAGGTGAAATTTTCCTGTAAAATTCATTAGTCTCTTTCATACATTAAACATAGTTAGTTACGACTGCTTTACTAAAATAACATTAGCTTTTTCCACCACTAGCATGTTGTGATATCTAAATAATTTGCAATGAACTGTTATTAAAAAGAATGATAACAAGAGTTATAGGAATATAAAGTTATTCTGTGTAGGCACAGTTGCAATAATAAATACTTCCTCATCATAGTGATATGTCTATATCATTAATACGAATAAATAACCAAAACTTTTCAATCTCTGTGCAGTATATTCATACGAATAAAGCATAACGAATAACCAAAATATCTCAATCTCCACGCAGTATGTGTAACTAAAATGGACATTAGAAATGTTACAACACCGTGTAGATACACTTAATGAATGTTTAATATACATGCATTTATAAATATATTATAGGCAAAGCAGCCCTACGTCAAATACGTTTCTTCGATTTCCTCTTCTGTTGTAATATTTGTAATTTTTACAATGTTCCAGGCTGACTACAGGATTATCTACCTTGACGACCATCTTGCTATAGAGTATGATTGTACAAGTGTTCTATGGATGACCAACTACTGTGTTCACCTCCTCGCTAGAACACCGTCAATCAGTGACACGGATGAAAAGATGCTGCTTGATTTTGCTAATAACTTAGACCTTAATAAACAAAACGTTCCATATCAGAAAACAAAACAAGATGGATGCTGGTGATTAAACCATTCAGCTCACTAAATTGTGTTAAGATATATTCCTTTTTACATAGATGGTTAAATAAGAACTTGTTAATGCGTTTATATTTCAATATTATCAAGACAGTTTTTTATATTTTATTTTATGTTATTTTGTTAAATTTTTTTTGAAAAATATTGCGTATGCACGGCAACTGATTTGGCCAAGAAAAATGGCAAATAATGGAAGCAGGTGTCATTTTGTATATTTGTAAATATATAGCTTACATTGTTCTTTAAATTTACTTCCATGTTAACCTTTTTTTATATTTGCGGATATGAATAAAATAATTATGATTATTTGGTTGTTTCGTTCACGCATTTTAGTTCACATCGCCATTCATGGGCCATTGAAATACGTACTTACGATTTATGTAAAATTAAACGTAAGCGTAAATATATGGCAATACCTACGTTTTTTTACAAAACGTTGTAATACTGGTCCTAGTTGGTATGGAATCAGTAAAACCAAGGTATATAATTTGATGCACTTCATTACAGAGTTTTTTGTAAAAGATACGATAAAAAAGGTAGTGAAAAAGAACTTAAACCCCTTTCTGGATTGCATAAAAACAGTATTATTAAAAAATTAAGGATTAAACTGTTATTATTTTATTTTGGCATCACAAAGAATATTACACGGTACAAACCGGAATATCTAGATCGAAGGTTACTGTTTACGACGAAACCTGTCTACGTCGAGTTTCCGTTTAACAATATTTCAAGAGTTAGATATTTTCGTATGGTATTTCCATATGTTAAGGTTTGATACTCTTTTTTTGAAAACCACATATAAATCGTATTTCGTTAAAAAATCACGAAAACTTAAATTACTCTTTTTTACTCTTTCCTTTTGGCTGCGTATGAAATTACAAGTTAATTCATACCTGAAAATTATAAAAGGAATTTTCTCTCCCTTTAACCAATAAAGTATACGTATGTATATTGAGTTAAAATAGGTACTGCATCCTTTGGTCATATAGGGGTTATTTATAAATTAAATAATATTCGTATTTAAACAATTTTTAATAAATAATGTCTATAGAAGCACAGTATGTTAAAATAACTTATTATAAACATTATGACAAAGATATCATAGGTAACAACAAAGAATACTCTCTTATTTTGTTTATGAGATCGAACAAAATAATACAAAGGATTATTAGTAATGAAACATTGTTTCCAATTACACATCCAATCTCTCTAACAGTCTATGACAATACTAGTATCGCACTGGCAAATAACTATTCCTCGCAAACTAAGCAATTAAAGGCTATTCAAAAGAATATATAAATAATGCCTGCTACAACATTTGGGCTATAATTAAACATTTATAGCTGAATACTGTCTACATGTACTTAAGAAAACTAATATATTAGCAAACGCTGTCAATCACCATCATTACAGTTGCAACTCATTTTCTTTATAAACATAGAATGTTCATTATGTAAACGCCTCCTGTAAAACCTCTTCAATGCCAATATTCGTCCACCTTTAGAATCATGACATTCTCCGTCTCACGTGGTTGATTTTAACATACATATCTGTTACGGCATCTGCTAGTCACTTAAGCAAACGTTTATACATTTCAGAACTTTGACACAATTATGCTCAACCAACAGTTTCTGCATACTGTTAAAGCCCATTATATAAACATGGCTAGAATAAAACTTAAACCTTATGAGACTAAATCAGATCTATTAAGTTTGATTCCCAGCAGCGGCAATCTCTTTATCTGTAACTTTTCTTCTCATAGAAAGACGTCTGAGAACTTTGCCTTTTCTTATTTCATTGACAATGTTATCAACAATCTTCCTGTCTTCTGGTCCGGGTGGTTTTAAACCAGGTATTCCGTGAGCTGCCTGGCTACCTAGAAAAATAAGATAAACTAAACGTAAGTAATGTTCAATAAATAATTAACTTTCTTAAATGAAACTACAACAATAGAAACATAATTATCATCATATAAATGTATTCAAGCTTCTGACATTGTACGTACATACATCTTGAAGGATATCCGAGTGTTTGACTCTTACATTTAATTGATACACCAAATGTTATTTAAACCAACCTCGTTTCTGATGTTGAAAATTTAAAATATACCTAAATAAAGGGTGATATATAACTTTTTACATTGATCTGCATATTCTAATTTCAGTATAAAAGTGAAAAGAAAATAGGTAAAGGTCATACTTCTGCGTCTTTCTGCTATTTCTTCTTGTGTTTTCCTCCTCTGTTCTGCCTTTTGGGCATTTATTCTCCAAGTTTCTAGGTCTTGTTCACATGTTTTAACCTTTTCACAAAAGTCTTTAAAGCACTCTAAAAATGCATCAACCTTGAAGGACTTTTCGTTTTCACAGTAATGAACTGCAAGTTTGTTAGAGAGTTTCTTCACCCGTTCAATTGCCTCCTCTGTGTCCGCAATATCGTTCTCTGCTACCTAATAATTAATTTGATATCAATAATTAATTAATTTGATATCAATACTTTACAAAACAAATACACCAATATTGCAAAAATTAACCTTTTACAGTGTTTTATTCTGTATAATTTAAAGCGGCATTACAATTATACGGTATCAAAAAACATTTTGTCTGTCTGCTTCTTGCTTTAGCAAATCTCTTAGATTTCAGGTGTCCAGAACTCAAATGACATAGCACATTTACCAAAATCACCCGAGCAATTCATGCAATCATTATTACATATTCACACCAATGTCTTAAAATACTTAATTCTAATATTTCTAAATGTTATGCCAATGAAATGAATAAAAGGTACATACTGAAATGAAACTTGTAAATTGTTTCTTCACGTCGTCATCAGCATGTTCCAATAACCCTTTCAGCCGATTAACATTGGACTGTAAGCTCGCAAATTCTACAATCATACCATCCAAGCTGAACCTGAATATATAGACAAATAATGAAATTTATTTATTTCAGCAAACATGCCAGATAAACAAAACCGCTTTCGAATTGTATATTTGAGTATTTTCTATTGAATGTCGCTTAAAACAACTAAACATATTAGTTTTCGTTCGATCCAAATGCAACATTCCAAACCAAAAAAAGGGCTTAAAACGTATATAAATAAAATTCGTTATATTGCAAAGTGTTTTTTTTAAGTGTCTAAAATAACTACATGCATAAATAAACTAATATTATGTTACTGATTACTAGTATTATCTCATTCTGTCACGTTACATTCTGTTATCTTTATGACTGGCCATCCGGTCTATTTGATAACACGTTCTTGTTTCCAGTAAATAAAATAATAAAATACAAACCTTGATGCCTTCTGAAGTGGTTCCAGTAGTTCGTCAACGAAACCCAATGCATCATTATTTTTCTGCTGCGCCTCTTCAACAAGATAATGTAACAAAGTCATCTTAGCGGTATTAGACTTTGTCATTAGAAGTTTATTGAGCGATCCTATACGAAAACCTATTGCTCCTCCAGAACTGCTTCCCTATAATGAACCGAACATATACAGCTTATTTTGTATATAAATATATTTTTTTTATCTTATACAATAACAATTGCTGTCAATTCAGTGTCAAAAGGGTCATTTGTTTTACAATCCAGAGTCGTCGTCGTCGTTCATCTCATTTGCTTTATATTTTCTTTTACAAAAGATCCATAAATCTTGTTTGTGAAAGTTTATAAAATATCAAGATTGTATAAGAAGCAAATGGTTTGTACGTTATATTATTTGTACCAACATCATTACTCGTAATATCCTCTATGTAACTAATACCGTACCTTGTTAAGGAAGTTTCCAGCGTGAAGCACAAATCTTAGAAATACTTTGAGCGAATCATTGTCCATAAGTTTTCTGCATACAGATGTAAGCACTTGGACATTTGGACGGATTGCTCCGAGCTGTGAATTAAAGTCCCCTTTAAGGAGCATCATTTCTAATCTCAATTTAAAGTCTGACAGTTTTATAAGCTGATGAAAGAATTTCTCCGCATTCCCAAGTTTGTCAACATCTCCTTCATAGCCTTGGATCATATCAATCTAAAATCAAAACGTAAAATTTACACATTACATTGCAGTAAGCCTGAACATGAACAGCAACAAATATTTGAGCAACTTCATTTTAATAAAATAGAAAAAATCAGAATCCCTAAAGAAAGCCCAACACGGCACAATTGAAAATGTTGCATGCTCGGTTTGATGGAGCCTGATTATGGACGGTACTGTCAAGTGCAAACTACAGTCCGCGCCCCCTAGCACCGGCTTAAGCAGAATTCAACATTTAAACGCATAAAATGGTGAAATTTTGAATTTAGAAACATCCGCAGATGTGTTCATACGGCGGTTATCATGGAACCTTCAATGTGACATAGTGGTGCCATTCCATGAAAAGCGGCGTATGGTACATCATTTATATATCAAGTAACGTCTTAGCTTCGGCTTTAAACATGCTGTTTGTGCACCAGCCAATAACTTAGCTATTCGGGAAAAAAAGCCGTAACACTTTTCAAAACCGTTTAACTTCTGTTGAGAAGTAATACTTTCTCTTTTCGTTTCCGTTAAATTCATTTGGCTTTAATTTTACTATTTCTCTGAATGCAACCATTATCTCTTGTATGTCTAATATTTCACAATCATTATAACTTTCAAGTGTTATGAAATGTGTGATATACTATATTACGTATTATTACTGCATATCATCAGTCATGGACAAACTATTTACACTTAAATATCGGATATTATTGGTTGATATAATAAAGCCTGTGACATTTCATGATATAATCTTAAGTAATAAGTTTCTCTTTAAAGTGGTTAACAAAACTTAAAAAGTAAAACAAATGACATTCACACTAAATTAAAGGCCCATTGTGCACCAGAAATGTTTTCATTTTTATGTCTCAAAAGCATTTTGTTTTAGGTGTACTTTTATAGTCACCAAACGCCACTCATTGGCCAATTACCTAAACCATCATTTTCTTCTATTGCTATTTGGCAATTACTAAAGATATAGTGATTTAGTATTTTGTATGGAAATCAAAATACTTTTTGTTACATTTTGTTTCTTTTACAACACATTCTTTCAAATTGATCGCTACTTTCTTCAGGTAACAAGCATCTAGCATGCTCTAACACCATTATTTAAACGTTATAAAATTCAAGTATGCCCTTTCTAAAGAAGTACAAATTTATTTGTTTCTGAGACATAATGTGCCTTTGAAGGTATATATGGGAACCATATTCAAAAATTCTAAATTATGATTACATTCGCTTCTGTTTAATCTTTTTTCTATTTTCAAAGCTACTTATTATTGAAACAAGTTCAAAGTCGAATTATCTATTACTATATCGCATAGATGTAGCTAAACCAACAATAGTCTCTTATAACATAACATAGTTATACCAACAAGTTACTAATACCTTGCTTGATTTACAAATTTATTAGAAGTCAAACTGTTTTTGTAACATACCTCATCTTGTTGTGGAAGAAGTTTAACGAGACCCTTAAGCTTTTCTACACCAAGACCTCTTGCATCACCTTCTTGGATAAGTTGTATAATCACTTCAGTTGGTTTTCGGAATTGTTTCAGGAATATGTTTAAGTTCATGCTTTTCTTCGGATCCAGAAGTGTAACCTGAAGAGGCAACATAATTGTTTAATTTATCTATAACATAAATTATTTTGATAAATGTGATACATGTGGATGTAAAATGTTATGTCACGATAATATGTTTTATGAAATTAATCATTATTACACATGAATTCAGTTGTAAAAGAAACCAATACTTTCTCCCAAAATAGCATGGTTTAATCAGCATCTCTTGTAAATGTAAGTCATATAAATTCCCTTTCTTTGTAATATTATCTTAAGGAAACAATCGTTTTGTTATATGCATCAAATAAAAGGATATCAGAACTTATTGAAGAACATTTGCACAAGTATATAATATGTTAAAACTAACATACATACATCACATAGAAGGATATTAGAACTTATTGAAGAACATTTGCACAAGTATATATGTTGTAATTAAAATTCTATTGAACGTTTTCATTTATAGCGTGTTAAAATAAAAACTGAAGACCCCTATTCAAATAGAATTCAACTACATGTACTTCCAGACAGTTTAGAAATACGATATATAAGTAATTAGTATCCGAAAATATTCGAATACCTCTTGACTGTGTGATGAGTTTCTCCTAGTTAAGCCTTTGTCTTCGCCTGGTGATAGGGTAGCTTTCGTTGATGATGTTTCTTCTTTTTGAGAAAACATTTCTTCAAATTTATTGTAATCAACTTCAATAGAATCTTGCATATTTAACACCTCATTCCAAACGCTTTCCTCTGTAAATTAAATGACAAGAAAGAAATATGAAAATAAATGCAAATATTATTTCTATTATATCCAATTAAGAGATCTTTTGATAAGAATTAGACTCTGAAGAAAACATAACTAAAATGAAAGTTATGATTAGGTGTCAAACATTTCTTCGTTTATGAATTCATAAATATAACTTTAATATGCTTACGTTTAAAAGCATATGCCGGAATTTTGTTCCATGTTAATGTTCTCAGTTTTTTGGACGGCACTGGTGTATCGATTGGTTTAGGCCCTGGCGTATCTTCAGACGGAGCTCCTGGTAAACTGTGGGTGAACCCGGAGGCTTCGGAGATGGTGGCGCTCCGGGTACAGCTGGTGGAGGAGGTACGCCGGGAGAAACCGGAGGTGGAGGCGGTGCACCTGGCACACATGAACCTGGTGGTTGTAAACGTATTCCCGGTATTCCTGGAACCGGTGGGGCAGGTGGCACCCCTGGTGCACCAGGAGGAGGGGGTGGAGGAGGCGGCTGAGGTACCCCCGGAAGTTTTGGCACAGGAGGTGCTGGAGGGGGAGGCGGAGGTTTGGGTGCACTCGAAGTTTCAGATGAAGTATTTTCAATATCTTCTGTTTGGCTTTGTTCGTCTCTCGTTGACTTTGCCCGTTCTCTAAATTTCTGTAAAAGTGTTTCGCCATCTATATTGTTATCGCTATTAAGAACCTCTTGTGCCAATCTTTCAACAAGAGTCCACGTGCTTTCACTGAAATAAAACAAACATTTTTAAGGAACGTTTCAAAAGATGGAAACAATCAATGAATCAATATAATAAGATAAACTAGTGATTTTGTAATTTCATTCTCACTGTCGAGACTTGAAAAATATATTGCAGTTTATTTCCATCCTAGAAAGAAATCTAAAATATTGCAAAAGTCGAATTAAATTTTATTCAAGTATTACTATGAACAAAAGTCGAATTAAATTTTATTTAAGTATTACTATGAAGGCAAATATAAATATAATATTGCTAGAACAGATATAAAGTTACCTATGGGTACTGTGAGATTCAATTTGTAGAAGGGAATGAAGAATTCCAAGTAGAGTGGCATTCAGTGGTGTACCTTGTACCTGTAACAAATACACGTAATAAATACACTTCAATATCACTAATAAAGTACAAAGAAAAAAGATCAAACATTCATATGTAAGTACTTCTGGAGTAAATAATAAAAATATAAGAACACAAAGGGCATTGCTTGAACATTTCACAGCACATGATTTTGTTCTCTCAATAGAATCTTTGTTGTTTGAACAAAATGTTCTTATTACGTCATCAAACTAATATATCTGAATGATCAAAGACAACGGTAACGCTTCAGTAAGGCAGAGAAAGCGATTGGAGTTATGTATTTTATCCTCTTATTTTCTGTCTGGAATATTCTATGCATACGTTTTTGTTACTGGGCTCTAAATGCATAATACGTACATTTGTTTTAATTGTAAAATTAGTGCTACATTAATGCTATGATTTTGCATACATTAATAGTTACTTGACACAGGTCTCCGTCTATTTTGTCAGAGCTGTTTCGTATCATGATTTTTGTATAAAATTAACCCTTAACCTGCTATATTTCTATAATGGATCTGTCCATTTTTTGAATTTGAACAGTCCATTCAAAGTTCAAGGGATTTCAATACAAAAATACAAAAACAACAGCTGTCAACAGTATAGAGGCTGGTCAGTCTGCACAGATGTGTTCGGTTCAGTACGGAAGTGCTTGAAACAATAGTTACATGTCTTTGCTAACAGATTAGAGTCAAGCAAGACTTAATCTGTTGCTGTTTATGGCCTGATCCTTGCCATTTGCTGCTCATTTATTATGCTTTTATATTGAAATATCTTAATCGACTTATAGACAGTTCTATAGTCAAAACTGGACAACTATTTCACACCATATAAGAAAAGTTAGGGTTAAAATATCGTGATGAATTAAAGGTAATTAAAGCCAATACGAATCAAAAAATGAAATTACCTTTTTATGTACTGCCTGGAATACAGATTGTGGATCGTTCAGATTGACAGAGCCTGATTTTATATCCTGAAGAGCATCAATATCAGCGTTATACTCTTCTTCAAACACGTCACATTGAACTATTAGATCGTCATCATCCTCACAGCGTAGACTGCCGATTGTATCCAATAGGTTCAGAGCTGTTTCATTATAGAACAACAACTTTAGAATGTGCTTGTGTAATAAATTATTGATATGCATCTAAGTTTATAAAATTAAAAAAAAAGTATGAAATATCTCGTAAAATTTAAAAAGTATCTAAATATCCTATTGTAAGGTCACTTCCATAATGTGAAACTTGTGCAAGCACTTTGGTCACAAATATTTTACTTTTTATTATTATTATTATTATTATAATTATTATTACTATTATTATTACTTATATTATTATTATTATTATTATTATTATTGCCATTACTTTTTATTATGTTTAGGTAAAGATTATGTCTTCACTCAAAGAACTCACTTTCCATGTTATTATTATCATCCTTTCCAACCACCATTTTTTCCAGATTTCGGTGAATGCATAAATTTAACACTATATTTATATGCGACAGAATTACAAATGACAACAAATCAGACATTTTACCTTCTTATATCATCACAAACCTCTGGGGGTGTAAGAATATTTTTACCATTCAGATATTCAATCTAAACATTTAAGTCACCGCAGCAAGCTTTGTTTAGTAACTTTAGTTACAAAAATAGTAACATTTGTGGACTTGCTACTCGAGAAACGCTTGAAGAAGAGGAGTTCATTTCCGGTCAAACCGTTTGACTTACTATGAAGCTTGTAACATTTCGTGGGAAAATGGGAGGAGATTTTACGTTAATAAATTACTGAAATATTTCATTGAGATTTGTTTGAGTAGGCCAGGAGGGCAACATGAAGTACATCTGTAGATAGATGATACTCCATCTTTTTAAAATGTCGGGTCAGTATAAAAAGTTGTTTCACTATTTAGAAGCTGTATGTTAAACCTTTGTACTGATACTCACGTTCATAGCATAATGAAATATCTGTAACGACTGGCTGTACTTTTTCATAAAAATACCCTTTTAGATTACAGAATTTCTTTAGAATAATTACGACATACAAAAATAGAAATAGCTTATATAGACTGAATGTAATTCCCGATACCTTCTTTAATGAAATTCGGTTTGTCATAACAGAACGAAATGATAAATTTCGAAACACGAGCTACGTTGACCAGCATTTATATCATTCTATTTTTGAATATCAGGCTTAACTAGTCTGAAAAAGGGAAATAAATGACATTTTTAATCTATTATCAACACTACATCAGTTAAGGTCAAAGTCAGACTGCACACCTAGATGTTTTACTAGCCTCCAACTTTTGATAATCTAACAACAGAATGATCAAAACTAAAAGTAGGATGTTCCCGCCTCGTAAATTTAGAAAATCTGGGGCTAACGTAAACGCTTAGTTTAATACATGATAAATGTAGATTTCCGTTTTTGGCATTAAAGTTTCCAACAGTTAAAAAAGATTCAAATATGGATATACACACCTAAGAACTCGTTTCGTATTCTCACTCTATCTCTGATATTTTCGTTGGCGAAGATGACTGCGTTGATGAGAGCCATGATGGTTGTTTTATACGTGGCTAGCTCGGCTTTCCTTACTTCGTTCACCAGTAAACTCATTCTATACTGAAGCTTTTGCCAACTCTGAAAAAGCAAACAGCTTTTGTCCAAGTACAAAAATCTTAATGAGTCATCACATTTTTATTACGATATTTCAAAATTAGTATCTGGCATAGTTGACTTATTAACATAAAGAGAAAACTAATTAATGCCGTTGTACTGTTGCATACAGAACAACAAAATATCAAGCTGTGTTATTTGATTTTACAACAAACTACCAGGTATGCATTGTATGTATGGTGCATTTCTAAAACTTAATTGTTATTGTCATTAATGTAATTTATCACATCATATATATATATACAAATTTTAAACATAAGAGATCTATCATTAATGCAATGACGACCCCGGCATTTTATTTTTCAAACGTAAATGTCAATATTAATTTATGACGTCACACTAGCACGTGGAAATCATGGCAAAATGGTTTCTTGATAGTTACGAAAAAGAGATAACAAATCGCCGAGGGCATTAACATCTACAGAAGCCCTCAGACTTATTAAATTCTCAAAAAAAAAAACTCAAATTTTGCCAGGTATTTTGATCAGCAAGGTGATGGAAGGCCGGCATCTTAGGTTTCCTATATGATATTTACGGTGTGACTTTACACTCATCACAAACAAATATTAATTTCCACGTTCAATATGCAAGCTTTAGGCCTATATATCAATCATATACAAAATGTATAATATTTAATATACATGTCATCTGTTTCATTTTGCAAATTCAATGCAAATAAAGACGTCAATTAAATGAGCAGAATATATTTGGATGAGTATGACAAAATTATGGTCTAAGCTAGATATCAAATATTTTGGCATATATATAATGTTACACATAAATGACTGACCTGTATCGTTAACAAACTCATGCTAATAAAATAAGTATGAACCCTACATTATGAATGTACGTCTAACTTGAAATATATGTATAGAAATATACATGTTCATTGTATATCAAATTTACCATTCAATGTACATATTAAGTTAGACAGTCACATTAAATACATTTTAGTGGAATGTCAAGAGGTCATCGTTGTTAAATTTTTAAGTTATTACGCAGACAACTTTATACATGTATAAGTATGTTAAAAAAGTAAAATTTTGAAAATTTACCCTGTATCGTTCGAGTGCGTCTAGCGTCAGATAATAACCGTCTTTGGAGTATACACAAAGTGCAGACAACAGCTCAAATATCTGCATCTTCACCATGAGATTTTTAGTTTCTAATGCTGAAAGAAAGACAATATTTTGTTTATTAATTGTACAGTTTAAAGTACAGAGTTCATACTGACAGACGGGCAAGGAAGGTTGACAAACAAACGAACAGCATTTTTAAGACGCCCTCCAATTACCTAAGTGGTAAAATATAATATCGTTAAAACTTTCTTGAATTCCAGGACATCAAAGCAAACATGCGTGGTTTGTTGTTTGTTTGATTATTGCACTCTATTCAAATACTTTCGTTCGTTCACTATATGAGCCGTGTCACGACAAAACCAACTTAGTGCGTTTGCGACAGGCATGGATCCAGACCAGCCTGAGCATCCGCGCAGTCTGATCAGGATCCATGCTGTTCGCTATCAGTTTCTCTACTTGTGATAGGTTGGTAAGCGAACAGCATGGATCTTGATCAGACTGCGCACATGCGCAGGCTGGTCTGGATCCATGCTGGTCGCAAACCCATTATGTTGGTTTTTTCGTGACACGGCTCATATATATAATACCCAGTTAATGGTGATTTTAATTAGAATTAAATGTACATCTTTCCATACTTCAGTAGAATGAATTTTGTCAACGAGACTTAGTGAAGATGTCGACAGGTAAAACTATTTACACGTGCAGGTGCTAACGCGTGAAACCCTCTATGCAAAAAGAAATAAATAAATAAAAAAATAAATAAATAAATAGCATTATGAGGTTTATAGACGTAAATATGTAAGTACTTGTAGTTAGGAAAATGCAAGTATGATTATGGTATAGGCAATACAAGAAATTAATATAACAGATTTACTTTTGAATGTATTGAAAGCGTTATTTTTAAAAAAAAAATGTGTACGCCCTTTTCGAAAAGGACAAAAAGTGCAGTTACTTGAGTATGTGAATAATAACATTGTTAGTATTAAGTAAAACAGTTAAGCAGTATTTACCACAGCGTGCAGATTTAACAACATACGTCATAATTTTTTACACCATTCATTTGTCTTAAACTTTCTTCAAATAAGTACAAAACACTACAGCATATTGTAAGAAATCGAATGAAAAATCGTATTTAAAAGAGAGAGAGAGAGAAAGAGAGAGAGAGAGACAGACAGACAGAGACAGACAGAGACAGAGACAGAGAGAGGGAGAGAGGGGGGGGGGGTAAAGCGTATTTATTTCATTTTATTTTACTGTATTCATTGAAGTTTCGATTACAAATTCATAGAATCTACCTATAGATCATATGATCACAAATAATTTAAAAAAATTCCTTCTAAATTTATCATACAAAAATACAAAATATACATCTTGTCATGTGTTTCATTAGATATATGCTTAAACATTTGAAATTTTGTTGTTCGGCACAGCGTGAGGAAGTATTAAATTGATCGATCATACGACTGCTTGATTTATTTCAAACATGCTGTGACTTTAAAGTTTGTATTCTAAAGGTGAATGAACTTATGTATAATGTTCTATGGCGACTGATTTACGCCATGGTGTATTTTCACTTTTTTTTTGCAAAAAAAACAAACTCTGATGATAATAATTTAAAAAAAAACAGGAAGAGACGATAATATTAAAGTTAAACTTTGTCGTGTTTTCGCAAAAGAAGGGCGACAATATAACGCATGAAATGTGACTTTTGCATTACATCTGTCGTTGCTCTGTTTTTGTTTTTTATTTTTTGTGGCGGAAATATCGCCCCATCGTGTTTTCGCATTTTTGGTTGTTGCACTTTCGCTTTTTTATAATGTTGCGTTGACTCGTTTTTGCATCGATACATTTTTGCATTGGCCATCGTGTGCACATGAATAAAAACAAAAGCGCTTGTGAAACGTGATAAAGTAGTTGCTTCATGTGCTTTGGCTTATTCTATATGTGATATAAATATGCAATGGCGTAAACGAAACGAGAAAAAGCAAAAAAAATAAATAAAAAAATAAATAAATAAAAAAAAAATATAAAGAAAAGAAAAAACAAAAACAATAAGAAAGCAAAAAAAAAAACGTAATGTGAAAATTTGAAAAGTGAAAACATAATATGCAAAATACTTTTAGACACGACAAATAAAAAGCGAAAACACGACACATTTATCTGTCGTATATTTCCTTAATTTTGTCGTTCTTTTGCATTTTCTTCGCCTCGTAAATGTAAACGCACGAAAGGACGACAAAGGCACGATTTTTCGCCTTTCGTGTTGACAGACTGGTTATGCCACAAATGCGAAAGGAGGAGTGGGAACTGACTATGTAACATACTTTGAGACTGACTGGCTTCACAAAACTCATAACTACCTAGCCTAGAGACCGGAGATTTAAATACCTTCGAAAGGCTACAGGTCGGTTATCGATCAATAAAGTAGAAACAATTTGTACATAATACATTGTATATAATATAAAATATAATCTGAGTGTTTGTACATTTTTTTGTTTGTTTTGTTATAATTAATATTTGAATACCATCTTAAATCTCACTCGAGAGCATTAGACACTGGCAAATCAACCATCTTTCCATAACATACGGTGTCAAACAGTGTAAAAAACACACCGTATATTTTTGTTTGAAGTTTCATGCATTATGGATGAATATTTGTCATATACAACTCAGATTTATTGTTGTATATATAAAAGTCGGTTTCCATCAGATGTTTAAAATTTACTGTACTTTAATTACACCTACGTAAACATTTTTTTTTGTAATTCATGAAGAAACCCATGCTGAGAAGGAAACAGTGCACGCATATAATGTAATATCATTTTGATTTTTCATGACGCGCTCGATTTATCTTTTCTTAATATACAATGGCTTTATGTAATTAAAGTCGCTGCTGGTTTTATTTACAAGTTATGTTGTTTATATTTACGGCTATACTGAAAGAAATTATCAGTGAAAGTGAAACTACATTAGTCATAGAAGTGATAAAAGAGTTAAAATTAGAAAAAAAATTGTACATTATATTATGTTTTCATATTGCAGTTATTTTTAATGTTGACGTCATGATTATGGTAAATGATGTACAGCTTTTGTACGATTACAAAATTAATAAAGTGGGTATGTTCTGTGCCTTTTTTTATTTCATTATAATTGCATTTTGAACAAATTATACATGAAACAATATTTAAATTACTTTATGTAAATGAAACACAAGCCACCCTGAGGTAAAAAAATAAACCCTAGAAACATGTTATTTGAAAAAAAAATAATTAAAGGTCCATTATGCCTCAGGTATGATAATGATATCATTTTTATTTCTCTTTTTTTTCTCTTTTTTTTTGGTATCTTGTAACAGTATTAAAAAATTTGCCATAAAATGAACTATCTTTGCTTCTTTTGCTTTGTTAGCAATTGGTATTAGTATTAATTAGTTTTTTGTATGGAATATACACTCTGCTTGCTTTACGACACATTACTGCACATTCAGTGCTACTTTCTTCATTTGTTAATAATCTAACATGCTCTAAATCAAGTACTAAAGCATTATCTATCACATTTTTGACATTTTTAAAGAATTTAATAAACACAATGTATGTATTTTTGAGGCATTTTGTGCCTTAAATAAAAAAAAACACATGCGCAAAATTAAATTAAATCGCGATTCTTTGCCACATTTGAGATAAACGCGTTAAAACGCTTTTCATTTTCATGTCATTTTGCAAATATACACGTAAAATAGATTAACCTGGTTAAAAAAAAGAGTAAACTAATGAGCGAATGATCAGAACTTTTCCACACAAGTTATTGGTATAGAGACTTACATCAAATGTAATAAAGATACTTAAAGTCCCGTCATATCAAAAAATAAATAAATAAATAAAATAAAAAAATAACCTGAGTGGTGTCCCTTTAAAGCTGCATGCCTCCAGATGAGTAAAAAATAGTTAGATAAAATCAAACTTGAGAAATATGTAATAAGATTTTAGGTAATGTAAAATGACTCAAGATTCAACTTATATTTTACATGTTATGTGCGATTGATGACGTATTCTTCAGTATTTACAGCTATATTTCTACTAAGTTACTAACGCAGTAAAGGCTATTTATGCATATTTTGACCACTGTTTGGTAATTTACGTGGGTTATAAGTGTCATTGATAATGTGTTACTAATTGCTTCCTTTTGGTAATTACACAATATTATACATTCAAATACATTTCAGAATTTTCATGAAAATTAGCATGAATCTGGAGCGTGATGCTTTAAAGGTAAGAAATGGTATGATATACAGGTACGTCTAACAGTTGGTTACATTTTGTCGATTTGGTATGACAAAAATCTACCTGAACCAGACTCTTGATTTAATCTACCCACAAAATAACTGTTTTGTGTTGTCATGCACGAAAATGAAGGTACATCTTTCAAACCAGGAAGAGTAAAGTAAATAATAAAAGGTATGACTTGTTTAATAAAAAATAAAAACAAGGAAAAACAACCAGTCAAGGTGAAGAGGAAAAATAACAACAACAACAACAATAATTAAACGATAAGTGAAATCCTACTTTTTCTTTCATCAATAAAAAAACCCTCTTACTTAACAAAATGTATATTATGACGAAAACCCATGACATGGTATTAGTAAGATCACAAGAACTTCATATTTTGTCAATAAATAAGAATTAAAGTTAAATATGTACCCCTTACATAATAAATAAACACATTTCATCATATAGGAGGTTCATATTTAACTTAATTTCTTATTCATTGATAGAATATCAATCTCCTGTGGTATGATATAATAAATTATATCTGTACATTACTTTTTCTCCGGATAATGCCTATGTACTATTGTGCATATGATCAGAGATAGGTCCAAGATATGTAACATTATTATATGATCTAAATATAGCTGCAATCTCATTGGTCTACAGAACGTTTTATACAATCATATTCACTGGGTGTAGTATCATATTTCACTGGCTAAATTGGATTTCCTCAGTCTAAAAATATATTGAGACTCATATTCAATGACCTTATATCGTAGACTGTTAATTACGCGTGAATATCAAAAAAAATAATTGTTGCGTTTTGTTCTTTATGGTATATTTCTCGGTTAAAATATCATTACTTTACTATTATAGTTAAACGTTACACCGCAATGATGAGTATAAACTTGAATTACTTTTGTATGCGCAACGTTAGCGTAGTTGTTGCACGCCTTCCACGTGCGTCTTTTTTCCGCGCTTCAACGAAACAGACTAAAGTTGTACATGTATAAGGTTGTACTTTCTGTGACTTTTTTAGCCTATCCATATAATAAAACATTTATTGACTAGTGTGCCATTAAATATGATGTAATGTTCACCGGCAGAAAGTCATATTGACCTCGGCGATATGTCATCTACCGGTAAATATCACAGCATATTCAATGGCTCACTAGTCAATAATTGTATAATATCTAATGTTATTGCCCAGGTTAGAAAAATACACGATACACTTTTATCGGTTACTGAGTAACTCCTGATTACTTACATTCCAGCATGATTCAAGAATGAATACCGTACACATGGCAACAAATTGTTTCATAATTACTAATCTATTACTTTAGAATCATTATTGTCAGTGGATTATTATCTAGTTTTTTATCTTTAATCTTTCACCAAGCAGTTTCTTTTTTGTAACTTAATTTCGACAGACGTATGCTAGTTTTAAGAGAGTATAATTCAAAAAAGCCAAATCAGCAGCAACAAAAAACAAACAAACAAAAAACACTAATCAAAGTGGTTTTGAATCATCTCTACGTCTGTAGATATAGCGTCATATGTGGGTAAGTGGTTCGAGTCTGGTTCCTGCTCGAGACTGATGAAATGGACAACCCAATGGTCTCTTAACTTTTCCTTTTTCATGCTCGAAATGGGTACAAGAAAGCTTGAAAGTACTTTATGATCGACTCCCACGACGTATATACCCCCACGCCAAAACACGCAAAATGCATTAACCATTAAATTAGTTTGTTTATACTTGACTTTGATCAAACACATATAAAGGATTATTTTTGTCATGTTAGTAAACTTAAGTGTTAAATTAGATGTTTTTTATCGTTCAGGCCAATGCATTTAAATTCAAATTAACAATACATTAAGTATGCAAAAATTAAAACCATCAGCATCGTTAAACATTAAAACTGCCTCGCAGCGTGAGAAAGAGCATATCATTACAAAACTCCATTACTTAACTACGCTGATCAAACATACGTTATTTGTAATCGATCTTTTTACAAGTTTGAATTTAAAAGGTAGATTTAATGATGAAACCACACTTGTGGTTTATTTATGAAAATTTCATTTACGCCTTTATTAAAGTGGGAACATAAATTTGTACATGCTAGACGATGATTCACAGATTTAATGTACATAACGGTGAATGATTTCATTAAATAGTTTATACTGAAACTACTGTTGCCTAGTACAAAATTGTACGTGAATCAATACAACACCGATACTTGTATACAGGCCAGTAAATATCAGCAAAAAATTCATTTGTAGATGGCGGCGATTTGTTCTTCTTCTGACCTTTAAGTACTTGAAAGTGCCTGACAATTGAAACGCTAAAACAATAATTCTGTTTTCTGCCCGTTATGTTTTGTTTCTTTTGGCAGTTTACAGAAATCTGGACAGACATAATTATACTGTAAGTGTAGTAAGCTTGTCAAAATCTTCATTTAAATGATATAATCTACTTGAATAAAGTATGTAGGTGTTTACAACTGATATCGTTTAATTAACTGTCACCTTTGGTCCTGCCGGTAACAGTTTATTTTGTCAAACTGTATGAGGGGTAGGTTTTTACTGATGGGTAGATTTGAACATGAAATTCCTCTAGAAAATACAAGTGCGGGGTGAGATAGAAAGTTTTGCCTCGTATTACCAGTATTTACAAAACAAAACAATAAAAAATGAAAAAATAACATCAGCTAAGACAAACTAAAATGGCATTATTTTACAAATGAGCGTAAACACCCGAGTTTCTCGTAATAATTCTAAAGACATATGAAGTAACATAAATATTACTAAAGCACAGCATCGACTTCTTAAATTTTTTATATAGTTCAATACGTAAACAATGAAATACACATGTTGATTTAATAAACAAATTTGACTGGACTATTTGTTAATAACATACCTGAGGCAAATCTTCGACCAAATATGTTATCCTTCCGTCCTTTTATTTGTAAGAGACAGTCCAGTCCCGTCTGGGAGTTGACAACTTCACGTATACACATTATACATTCCATCTTCAAAACCATGTCCGTCAAATGGAAGCCCTGAATAGCACTGAGATCCTTTAAGCACTGAAAGAGCAGACCAAGTCCGTCAAACTCTAAAAACTCCTTCATCCAATCTTTGTCATTTGTCTTTACAGCTCTTCGGAGTTTAGCCAGATTTTGTAGCGTCGGATTTCTAATCCATTGTAAGAAATTTATCGCGTCGCCTAGAGAAGGGTCATTTTGAAAACCTTCGTCTTCTGAAGAATTGGCAGCCATTTCTAGTGCCAGCATATATCCATCCGATCTATGGCGTTTGGCGCGTTTCTGTTTCCGCATAGCAAATCTGGTTGGTTTTCCATCATTTTTAGCCCCTAATTTAGGTGAATCACATGTAAATCCTTTATCCATTACTTCTGAATCTTGTTTGACTGTTTCTTTTTCTTGTTTAACTTTTTCTATTTCTGGTTTGACCGTTTCGGTCTTTTTCTTAACGGTGTCTTTGCTAATTTTGCTTGCATCGATCGTGTCGTTAACTTTATTCTTCCCGTAACTGTTTACACCTGTCGTTGATTCATTTGACTGCATGCATGTTCTGATAGGACTAGGATTGCTCGCTGTCCTTGAATTTACACCTATATTTCCCAGGCATGCTTTACTTGTGTATTTTACATCCTTGTTATTTGAATCTATCGGCGATTGTTCTGGTTTGGCATTCACTCGTTGTGTCATCTTTGGAGACTGCTCTTTGGGCTCTTTGGGTTCTTTTTTCTCACTACTTTGGAATGTATCCTTTTTAGCATTTAAACGTCCAAATTTCGGTGTCGTGCTACCCGCGTTAGATACCGTTCCAGACGGTGAAGACTCCTTCTGTACACCCCATCGTGAAGATATCGAACTCGTGTCCTTTTTTGGCATTTTGTCGGCTCCGTTGAAAGAATCTTTCTTCACATCGCCGTTCATAAACGCTTTTGTCATCATCTGTACCCTGGAAGCCATGATTATTGTCGTCTTGAAACAGAATTATTTAGTCTATATCATCCAGTTGATATGTCGCTTATGTACAGAAGTTATTTTAACTACATCCGATTGTAGGCATCCCTTAATAGTCCACTTATAACTGACATTTCGCACCAAACAATGCCTTAACTGTTTAAATCTTCTCCCCTCCTGTATAAAATGTATGAGTAAATATGTATTACTAAGTGTTTTGCCGAAAATGTAATAAAATACTGCATTAAAGAACAAAAGCCTATCGTGTTATGGTCATATTGTACTAATTTGCTATATAAAAAGGGAACAATTCATTTTACTTCAATAACAATAAATCACTTTCAAAATTAAACTAGCTCAACCGAGAAATTGTTTTGACCTCAATCATCACAAAAAAACCGGTCAGTATGTGAATAACGTTATAAATGATTAACAAAAACAACAACAAAAACACAGTACACATATCTAAATAATATATATCCTGTGCCTGTTTTTGTCTGAATCTACAAAAATCAGCGTTAGATAATATATATGTTAATACGGGTTATGCAAACATTGCAAATTAAACGATGAATTAAACAATTATACGCTATGTAATCGTAGTTACGGTTCAGGTGTCGGTCTCGATTTTATTAGCGTCTAATTTTACTAAATAAAGTAGATGGCAACAAATTAACTAAACACGCTACCACAATTTGTCTCTTTTCTGTCATTTCATCAGGTTTAAAATGAAATTTAAAAGAAAGGATAATGTGTTAAGGTTTACTACTAGTAGTTTATATATCTTTTGGTTTGTCGCGTATGATGAAATACGTGTAATTAAGTCAACGCTTTATACCACTGAAACAATTGTAGTGAATCAGCTGTTTCATTGATTTTTTATTACCCCCCTTGATAAACTGTAGCGAGCGTTACCCAATTCACGATATTCAAGAAACTTATCAGAAGTATTTATTTACCTATATGATTCTAAATTAATTTGTCAAAAATAATGAAATTAAATAATTTCACAATGTTTCAATCTTCATTTAATTAATACTATTCTAATATTATGCCTCTAGTTTCTATATGAAATGCGATAAAACAGCAAAAACGTGCCTTTTTCTTTCCTCTTTAAAATTCTTAATTAACATTCAAATCATATTTTTTATGTACATTAATTATATATTTATCAAAATGAAAATGACCTCATGATGTTTAATTAAGAAGACATGCGCAGTAAAGTTTTATCATTGCCACTTCCCTGTAATCACTTATAAAAACCGAACAATTCAAATGTAATTTATCAATTTAAGTCAAACATCGATGTAGTCTAATTGAGATATTCCTATAACGTTATCCTCGTCAACCACATAACACATGTATATAAATTAGCAAATTTTGTTTCAATTAAACTGATCTCACTTAAGAAGAACTGTTTTGTTTATTTTGTTTACATCTCAAGATTCCCTTCCTGTACATGTCTTTCCTTTTATGTATTTTTTTTTAATAAGTCCTGTACTTTTTCCAATAATCTAATTAAAAATCTTCACAATTTTTCATTTGAAATATATTCCTACGAAACCATTCATTATAAAAAAATACGTAAAATACTGTGGAATATAAAAGCAGACAAAAATACCCAGAAAATTCTTACACGTTTTCGCTCTTCATTCCAACGCAAAATGTAATTCCGATCTATTTTACATTCCTAAATTTTGTATATGTGATGTATTAGTCAGCCTCACATACGGTAAAATATTCCGACAGGTAAGCAAAGTGCAATAAAAACACATTTAGCTTCTACTGTATACTGTATAGCATCAGATCACTTCTCAGATACTTATCATTCTTATCAAATTATCTTGGTCTTGAGAGATTTCAGCTCAACGACCTGTCAGACTGTAAATAAGATTACAAGAAAACACGGAAATGAAAACAAACATTTTTTTGAATAGCAATCGATTAATGTGGGCGGTGATATTGAAACTCTTCAAAACCATTCCTTTCTCCCTTTGTTTTTTTATTTCAATTTTAACATGTAAATGCCCACTATCTATATATTTGTCTAGGGTGTATTGCGTGTATGATTTAAATGTTGTGTAAGTGTGTAAATGTAATTGTTATGTGTTTAGCAGAAGTAGTACTTTAAAGGCCCATTAGGCCTCAGAAATGCTATCAATTTTTATTTCTCAAAAACTTTTTATATTTGGTATCTTGTTACAGTTTCCAAAAACATATTCATTTGCTATATACATGAACTATCTTTTGCATCTTTAATTTTGTTGGCAATTTGTATAATTATAGTGAATAAGTATCTTGTATGGAAGTCAAAATATTGCTTTGTTTACATTTTGTTACCTTAACCACACATAACTACATGTTCCGCGCTACTTTTTTTTCCAGTTGTAAAACATCTAACATGCTCTTAATCCATTTATTTAAACATTCTGAAACACGTGAATAAAAAATGGATTTCGGACGCATATTCAAATAAACATTTAAAAGTAGGAAATACAATGCACCATTTTTTTCTCAGTTATTTTCCTGGTTAAAGTATTAAAATTTCTGTTTTAAGATTTGCAAAATCCGGAGAAAGAAACAAGAGTATACAGACTGATATCAACTTTATTGAACCTTTAATAAAAATATATCAGGCTGGTTTCTATACTATAACTATAAGTTCATGTTTTATTGCATCTTATAACTTGAATGACCATAAAGGCTATGAGACAGGTTTATATACATTTTGTATTTAAAATAAAACATAATTAATAATCTATAGATTCATACCACTTATGTATTATGTACAATATATCTGTTATACGACGTCACATCATTAATTTGTATAGTATTAATTTGTATAGTATTTATTTGTATAGTATTCATTTTGCTATATAAATACAGGATTTATTTTAGTATATTTTAGTATGAAATGTGATAATTTTCACATCACATTCAACAAAACGTTCTTCTCAAGTGAGACCATATACCATATACTTTTTTCCTTTTTTTATCTGACAATTCAGGAGACTTCTAATTGGCTGAATTAAGAAGCAAGACACTAGTGAAAATACGAAAAATATGTTCCACTGCAGTGTAAAATATATTTGTTTTTGAAAATATGGAAAATGAAAATACGTATTTCATTTCAACAACATTACATTTATAAGTTTGCTATATTACACAATATGTAAATAACGTCAATCCTGTACGTAAAGGCCAACTGTTGATAAGTTAATGCGCAGTATCCAAAATAACAAATACAACTTAGAAAACTGCATATATCCAGTTCGTTAGTTGATATTTTAGTAAAGGTCCAACCACCTTCATGGACAGCGTATACATGTAAAGTCATATAATATAGTGATATAATATAGTCATATAAGCTTTAATGCAGAAGACCCTTATTTAATAGAATAATCCTTATAATATTTTAAACCTTTTAAACCTTTAAAAGAAACCTTTTACATTTCCCCATTCCGACAATTTTTTCTTTATATTTCATCACAAATTTTACGATTGCATTTTCGCTTAAATTCCCTTTTTTATTATTAAAATACTAGCACATATACATGTATTTGCAAGAAACATATGTTTTGTGGTGAATATTGTTCAAAGACTTTCATTTTCTATGAGAAGTTATATTACATCTCAAGTTAAATATTAATACCTACCTATGAGATCACGGCTACATGTATCTCGAGTATTTGCTTCCGTGTTTTATATAGATGTATAACGTACATAATTGATAAAATCTGTATGCACGTTGCTTTGAAAATATTTACCTGTATTATGTAAGATGTACAGTATTAATTTGTAGGTTAAATAAAGAAATTAATAAATTATAAACAAATTATAGTAAATAGCATTGTATGTAGGTCTGCCCGTCTGCCTGTCTGTCTGTTTGAAGACATAATAATCAATCCTGGAGACGTGAGAAATACAAAAATGTACATCTTATTTGACGGAAATCTTTTTGTTTTTACGTCAGGTATTTTCTCCGTTAAAAAAATCAACATTATCGTCTTGAATATTTAACAGCAAAAATATTTTAACCTTCAAGGTCATTTTTGACTGAAGGACAAGGTATTTCTGCTTAACTTGAAGGTCTTTCCTAAAAGATTGTTGAGTACAAGTTTGAAGACAATCCATAAAAAATAACTAAATTTTAGCTACTTTTAGCAAAAATCAAACAAAATTCAGCCAGTTGACATTGAAGGTCGAGGTCATTTATTAATGTCATGGTTAGACTGGTGTACTTGAAGGCCTTGTCTCAAGGGTTGTTGTGGCCAGGTATGAAGACAATAACCAAGAAATAAAACAAGGGGGGCATTGTCGAAAAATACGCCCGTCACAAAAGCTTTTGACAGAGATGTGGGCATTAACCCTCACCCCCACGATGAATGTAGAAGTTTGGCTCCGAAAAAGCATTTTTCAATGACCAATAAGTGTGACCTTAATCTTTAACCAACAGACCTGGTTCATGCACTTGACACTGCTTCTCAAAGTAGTACTTATTTTTATGAAGTTTCATAGAATCCCACCATGTGTGAGGGGAGATATGCTCTGGACAAAATATCTATATTTTATCATCTTTAGTAACCTTGACCTTGCACACAGTAACATAAATTACATGTTTCACACCAGTGGTTTTGATAATGACCATTTCTTTTTCAATCCCCCAATAAATGATTACTTAATGGTCCGAATACACAGTTTCATAATTTTACCTGAACTTTGACCCCTATGTGTGACCTTGACCTTTGCCACAGGAACCTAAGTTTTGCTCGCGACAATCCGACTCAGAATGGTGAACATTAGTGCCAAGTTATATTGAAATCCCTCTATGAATGTAGAAGTTTTACTCCGGACAAGCGTTTTTCAATGACATCTAAGTGTGGCCTTGACCTTTGACCTAGAGATCTTGTTCATGCACATGACACTGCTTCTAATAGTGGTGTACATTTCTATAAAGTTTCATTAGAATCCTTCCATATGTGTATGAGATATGCTCTGGACAAAATCTCTATGTTATATCATCTTAAGTGACTAGCGTCTTTAGTGACCTTGACCTTGCATTAACCTAATTACAGTTTTCACACCAGTAATCAAGAAAATGACAATTTGTGTTTCAATCCCTCAATGAATGATAACTAAATGGTCCGAATACACATTTTCATATTTTTATCTGAACTTTGACCCTATGTGTGACCTTGACCACAGAGTACTAAATTTTGCACGCGACACTCCGCCTCACAATGGTGAACATTTGTGCCAAGTTATAATGAAATCCCTCTATGCATGTAGAAGTTTTGTTCCGGACAAGCGTTTTTCAATGACCCCTAAGTATGGCCTTGACCTTTGACCTGGTTCATGCGCGTGACACGGCCACTTGTAGTGGTGAAAATTTCTATGAAGTTATATCAAAATTCCTTTATGCATGTACATGTAGGAAAGATGCTCTGGACAAAAATTGGACGCTGCCCGCCCTCCAGGGGCCAGGGGGAAAACTAAGACGACCCATTTTTTAAACGGGCGTATAGTGGCCACTTGGGTTCAAACCCTGTCAGGGGCAAGCCGTTGTTTCCTTGAGCAAGAAACTTTACATTTACTGCTTAGTACTGGTTGGTTCCAGGAACGGATTCCAGTGTTTCAATAAGCTTATAGCTTCCAATACAAACTTAAATAAATTTGTATAAACTAATCTAAATGGGAGTATGGAAAAATAATAATCAATGATAAAAGTTTACGATAGGCAATGACACTGTGTGAGGAAAAAGTTTTAAAAAAAAGTCAAATTAAAAATGCTCGAGAGGAAATAAGACTAGTTCTGTTCTGTCAAACAAACGAATACATGTACATACATTCCATTTTAGTGGAATAGCATAGACACAAGGTTAAATGTTACTGTTTTCATATGTGTCAAACAAAAAAGTTTGAGTAAGCAGACATGCCCGAGTGGTTAATGCTTTGGGCTAGTTTTCAAGGATCTTTAGCTGTGTGGGTTCAAACCCCATCAGGGGCAAGCCGTTAAGAAAATGGGTCAAAGACAGAAAAGGCCGGGTTGCATTTGTACACCAAATATCATGAGGCTGTGATGTTACGAAAAAAAATTACCATTGACCCATTAATGTCGAAAATTTAATTGAGTGGGTAAACAGGAAGTGGATGAGCTACACACCTAAAATCGAATCACACGGTATGGGACCATGTGTTACTGCTGTATGACAAATATCAAGAGGCTGTGATAAGTAGTTGCTGAGAAAACTGTTACGAAAATTCCCTACCATTGACCATTAATGTCGAAAAATTTAACTAATTTAACTAAGTGAATAAACAGGAAATGGATGAGCGACAGACCTGAAATCTGATCCCACGGTATGGGACCATGTGTCAATACTGTATGCCAAATATCAAGAGGCTGTGATAAGTAGTTGCTGAGAAAACTGTTACGAAAATTTCCTACCATTGACCATTAATGTCGAAAAAATTTAACTAATTTAACTAAGTGAATAAACAGGAAGTGGATGAGCGACAGACCTGAAATCTAATCCCACGGTATGGGACCATGTGTCAATACTGTATGCCAAATATCAAGAGGCTGTGATCAGTAGTTGCTGAGAAAACTGTTACGAAAATTTCCTACCAGTTACCATTAATGTCGAAAAATTTAACTAATTTAACTAAGTGGATAAACAAGAAGTGTATGAGCGACAGACCTGAAATCAAATCCCACGGTATGGGACCATGTGTCAATGCTGTATGCAAAATATCAAGAGGCTGTGATAAGTAGTTGCTGAGAAAACTGTTACGAAAATATTTTCCCCGCCCGCCGCCCGACATTCACCTTACTATAACCCGGATTTGCACCAGTGCAACCCGGCCAAAAATTAACACTCATTGCTCAATACTGGTTGGTTCAAGGAATAGATTTGAAAGTGTATCTATAAGCTTTAAGCTTCCTATACAATCTGAATTTTAAAAATTCTATAACTGAACTAACAGCTACAATATTATCATAAAGAAAAAAACATTGTTTGATGTTATAAAGATTTATTTGAAAATATCACAGAAAAAAACAAACATAATCCCATAAACACAATTGTAGTTTAGCTGTGGTGGTATTGAAAGAACCTTGATCTTACAGTCATAACTTTAGGGCATTAATAGTATTTCATGGGAAAGCGCATAAATGAAACTTTATACAGCTCGGGTAATTATTGAAAATAGCACATAAAACAACATGCACAGCATAATCTTTATATCTAAAACAAACATCTAAACATAACTGTTAACTTTAGACATGAATTTATAAGCACAATTATCATTACAAAAAAACTTTTTGCAAAATAAATTTCTGCAAATTTCCTTATTTAGACAGCATTAGCATATGATGACAATATAAATTGTTTTAGCTGTCACAATTTTTAATAAATGTCTAACAAGACCTGTCAAATGCCAGCCCCCACTCCTTCCCCATGCAGAGCAAACTTAAAGGGCCATGACTTTTGACTATAAACAAATGCATGGCTACTATAAAGGGAAGTTACAAGAATACCCAGAGTGACCTTGACCTTTGAGATATAGATCGTCATTACCATGTACTTTATGTACTATATCCATCAGGAATGAGATAATTGTTAACTGGGTGCGGCCATAAGTGCACTTTTATGAATAAAAATCATATCAGGACTTTCAAAATGAAAGTGTGACTTTGAGATTTGAGCTTGAGACTTAAATTCTTGTGTGCAACAAGTCTTAATCTTGTCAAACACACTTCAACCAAGTTACTTTAAATTCCATCTAGGAATGATAGACATGTAATTGTTGACCGGACACCTTCATCAGTGAATTTTAATAAAAATCCCTGTCATGACTTTCAATGTGACCTTGACCTTTGAACTACAGACCTAATTATTGTTGACCGGACACAAACATAAATGCACTTTTATGAAAATTTTCCTCTGAGGTCAATGTGTGACCTTTACCTTTAAGAAACAGACCTTGGTCTTGCATGCAACACATTGTCTCAATGTGCTTCACATTTATGCAAAATCATTTTAAAATCCATCCATAATTTCAATCACAAAGTTATGGATCAGTCACGAAGTGTGGATGGACAAAAGGGAGAAAAAAAGAAGGACAGACCAATTCTGCAAAAACTATATGCCTTCTTAAATATAAAAATTCTTTCATTTTTTTTTAAAATCATCAATATCTAGTTTGATTAAAAAGTTATCTAAATTAACATCAATTAATGAGTGAACTTAACAAATAAAAACTAAAGACTTGGCTTGAACTTAAGCTCTATAAATTTATAGCGCAAAATACATAAATTACACATAGTGCTTTAACCTGTTTGTTCTTCATTTCTACAAAAAACTTAAACTGATATACATGTACTTATTTGCTGTAACATTCATGAAAAGATATAGTGTCCTTTAAAAGTACTGCTTAGTGAAAATGTCACATAATTTCACAATTTGTAAAATATTGAAATGTTTCTGTAACAACATTAACTTATGCCAAAACAAAAATGTATCTTCTTCTAAAACGTATGAGCATTACGGCACACTCCACATCCGAGGGCAAATTCTTCACCAGTTGGAGGATGTTTAACATGTAGAGGGCATTCATCACCTTCAAGCTGTTTGCCGCGAGGGCCACATGGACACTTCGGTAGCTCGGATTTGGGAATACTCGTCACTTGTTGAAAGTTATCGTGACAAAGGTTACAGAAGTGGGTTGTCCCGAAACAGAAAAATACTGCCACAGAGCAACAGTAGCGACATTTGTATTCAAGAAAATCTGTACCATGCTTCGGGCACATCTGAAATTTTAAATAAATTTTTTTGTGTGTATACAAATAAAAAATGCTCATAATTAAATTACTGAAAAATATATGACCTTTCCTTTACTTATATGAATCAAAAAGTAATACATAAGTCGGTAAATGTTCAAAACAAAGTGCAGTAAAAAGCTTTTCTGCTTATCCTTGTATATTTGATAGAAATCTTGCTGTCTGAATCTGTAATTTACATATGATATATTTTATGTAACAATGTTTTTGATTGGTCGGCTATTACTCTATATATTGTAAAGCCATTAACGATTGGTATCTAATACTAGACAGTTAATGATATTCTATGATCATCCTTCAGAAAAATACTTTAATCACAGAATTTTATTGAAATATACGAAATTCTTGCTGAATATGTCTTATTTGAATAAAAGAATGAATAAACTATGTAAGGGAAGCAGCATTCCATTTACAGGTCAAGTAAAGTTTGTCTATTCTTAAAAAAAAAACTGCCTGTTTTTTAAATGACACTATATATTCATATATAGATATGAGACAACATATAGTGTGTAGAGTTTTAAACACAACAAATCTACTTTGTGTGGAGTCAAAACATATTCATTTCATATTTACAAAGACACTGTGCAGCAATTATCAATATTTTCTAATATCAAATTTGAGCATAGTATACCTTTAAATTTAGAGCCATTCTTTATGAAAAGTGTGAAATAAGATCTTACCTGAGCCATGGTAACATCCGAGCATGCCCCACACACCAGTTCAGTAGGATCAAACTGATCTCCACCCCCTATCTGCTCATCACAGCGAGCCTCACCTCCATAATATGCCTACAAAAATTAATGTTTTATCTTGAAAACAACCGCCATATCAACATAATAACCTATCAGTATAAGAACAATCAAACAAATTTTTAGCAAACATTAAAAAAAAACTTCAATGTCTAGCAAAACAAGAATGACATAGATATAATATTATAAACATTAAAACTATAAATACATGTTGCTTTTCTTAACATCAGTCTATATAGCCAAATAAGAGGCTCCTTTGGACTTGATGCAAGAAGTTTGTAAAACTCTACTTTACCACAGTAACACTGAATGAATTCTGAAAAGTGTCATTTTGGTACAGTTAAAAGTTAAGGTAGTCTTACTGTAATCCTTTCCTGCCATAAAGTCTCAACATTAGCCAATATCATAAGAAATTGATCATTTTGGGACAATATGTTTCACAATATTGGTATTCAATAATTTTAACAGATTTTAACTAGTATTTAGTACAAAGCGATAAAGGATAACTGATTGTAAATAATTGAATGCCCAAGATTTTGACAAAATAGCGTTCTGGAAAAAAACGGATTTGCACCGATATTGGCCTATGTAAGAATTTCTTTGGCATGAAAGCATTACAGTAAGACTACCGTAACTCCTATTACATTCAACATCTATAATGACTAAATTTTCTTACATATTGAACAATGCAAACAATTGACAAATAAAACCTAACCTTTTTGCACTTATAACAAACATAGTAGGCATATCTGTCCATTGCAAAACCAGCAGGATCTTTGTAAAACCTAGCTCCTGGTGTGATGATAGCATCAGCTTTGTGTAACCCTTCATACTCCAGCCTCATTAAAGCCTTCCTATGTACATCTTCATACAGCTGTTGTATAGGTCGTAACAAATCTCTTAACACCGGGTGATCAATATTGCTCTGTAAAATAGTGTCATATTACAGATAAAGACCTAATAAATGTTGTAAAATATTGTCATATTACAGATAAAGACCTTATAAATGTTGTAAAATAGTGATAAAGACCTTATAAATGTTGTAAAATAGTGTCATATTACAGACAAAGACCTTATAAATGTTGTAAATTAGTGTCATATTACGGATAAAAACCTAGTAAATGTTGTAAAATAGTGTCATATTACAGATAAAGACCTAGTAAATGTTGTAAAATAGTGTCATTTTACGGATAAAAACCTAGTAAACATTGTAAAATAGTGTCATATTACAAATAAAGACCTAGTAAATGTTGTAAAATAGTGTCATATTACAGATAAAGACCTTAAATTTTGTAAAATAGTATCACGTACATTTGACGTAGATATGTTAAAAAAATATATGTCATAGGCAACATTTTTACTCTTAAAACCATTTGAATGCTGTGATAATAACTTCCTTACACTACAAGTAAAAAGGCAGGCCTATCATAACATTTGTAGAGCCTGTCTACTGTTAAGTATTATGATAATGAAATACCCTTAACACCAAACTAAACAAGAAATGTCTAACAATACATATGCCCCCCTTTCTAGCCCTTGACTCACATTATTGGTAATATTTTGTTATAGAACTTGCCATAAATGGGAACATGGAAGTGTTCAATTATGGAAAAAAGAAAAATAATGAAGACTTTTCAAGATAATGAGTGGAAACCATTCTGACATTTAAGGCCCCTGTGACCTTTGACCTAGTGACCCCAAAATCAATAGGGGTCATCTAATAGTTATGACCAATCAATATAAGAAATATGAAGACTTTGTGATAAATAGCTTTCAAAGATGATAAGCGGAAACCATACTAAAATTCAAGAACCCTGTGACATTGACCTTTGACCTAGTGACCACAAAATCAATAGGGGTCACTTACTAGTTATCGGTATTAAAAATATGAAGACTTTGTGCTAAATGGTTTTCAAGATAATTAGCAGAAACCATTCTGACATTTAAGGCCCCTGTGACCTTTGACCAAGTGACCCCAAAATCAATAGGGTCATCTACTAGTTATGACCAATCAATATGTGAAATATGAAGACTTTCAGATGAATTGTAATCAAGATAATGAGCAGAACCATTTTGACAGTTAAAGCCCCTGTGACCATGACCTTTGACCTAGTGACCCCAAAATCAATGCCAGTCATTTACTTGTTATGACCAATCACTATGTGAAATATGAAGACTTTGTGAAAAACATTTTTCAAGATTATCAGCAGAAACCATGTGGTCGACAGACAGACCAACATCAACAAAACAATATACCACTTCTTCTTCAAAGGGGGGCATAAAAATTTAAATGGATAAGTCCATCTTTCAATCTGGGCAAAACTATTCATCATTTTTAGGAAAAGCTTCAAAATATGTATTAAATGAAAAGCAAACACAGCAGAACACAATCTTGGTCTGCACTGATCAAATGGGTAAACTTTCTTGCCCCTAGGAGGAGAATTAGTCTAATACAACATGTACATAAACTTTTCATAGAAAGGGTTACACAAATATAGAAACAGAACTGTTTTATTTTTTTCACATACCGGTATATCTTCTAGTCCCTGTGGCATGGTTTAGGTCAAATGGCAACTTTTAGGTTTACATTGAGTCATGGGCAGGTGCGTAGGTTTCTATAAGCCAGATAGATGACTTCCTCAGCAATGATTTATACATAATGTATACAATTTAGGTGATTTACATAAATGGTGAGCATCAGCAAGTAAAAATATCTATGCTAAAAATGACGGAATATTCTTACCTTACAAATAGGACAATGTGAGAAACCAAATGTAATTCTAGGACCGACCCATCTCTTATCTAACACCATCTTGGTACAATGGTGATGGAAGACATGACCACACTTTAACTGAAATACAATAATACATAATGCAGATATTAGTACAAGCTTATAAAATTTAGTCACCACACTAACTTATGATATAGAAATTTATGTACAAGAGTAGCAACAAATGTATAACTATTGCATGATAAAAACAGATGTGCTTGTGCATTGTTACGGGTACAGAGAGACATAAGAGTGGTATTATTAACTTTCATATCAACATTCACTATCAGAGATGAAACAAAAGCTGTCTACTATTCTTAGTGCTTGAAAACAAGAGCCTGGATAATGTAGAATTTTTAAAGTTGAAAAAAGGGCCATAATTCTGTCAACTCCATAAAAGAGTTATGGACATTGAACAGTGACCTCCTATTATGTTTGGTGAAACCAGTTTGAGACTAACAAGAACAGACCAGTTTTGATGTAGATCATTTACTTCAAAAGGTTTTTTGTACACAATCTTGAATTGTATGAGAGAAAAAATATATATATGTACCAGTACAGCAGGAGCAGCCGACAGCGCTTCAGTGAAGCAGATCATACACATGTCATCAGAGTCTTGTTTCAATATTTCCTGGTCGTCTGCACGACAACGATGTAGGCAAGGTAAGCATGGTTCCTCACTCTTAATACCACCACACATGTGTCCACAAGATAATGTCTTATTACAGGCATCTTCTGCATAGGCCTGCATACATACATCAAAAGATGATTCATTTGTAAAAATTAGTTTAAATATATTTATCTAAGCTCGAATGCGAAACAAGTTCTTGCAACTTATGAATCCGCTCTCTGGAACCAACCAGTACTGTCGTCCTTTGAAGAATAATGGTCGTTGCCTGATTAGGGCTCAAACCCATGATTCTGGGTTGAAAGCCACTAGGCCATCATCGCTCCCCTTATTCATGTTATACTTAACAGAATATATCAATGTAAAGACTTCATTCTTGCAACTTCATATATATTGAATTTAACATGCAAGGAAGATTCATTCAAACTATACGATGTAACACAGAGTTCTTTAGTTAGATAACTCAAAACATAGAATAAAAACCAAGCCATATACTCATGTAGTGTAAAGAATTAGCAGATGCAATGAACAAATGTAAAAGTTATAAAAGTAAAACAATCTATAAAACAAACCATACCTGACAGTCTGGGTCTGAGCAGACATTACCAATGGCCAGTACACCAGTGTTGCTTGTGGTACCGCAGAATCTACATGTTCCTGGGCCAGCTTTGCCAAGTGCTGTGGACGACTTACCTGTATTAACATACATGATATTAATTATTTGTGATAACCAATCAATGGAATCTGTTTGTCTACATTTTGATAGAAATATGACTACCAACAAGCATTAATAAATGCTGCTGCAGGTAAAATACCTTATACTGATTACAATTTCAAATGTTTCAGAACTGACCAGTAAACATAATAATAAGTTTGTAAACATTTTGTTGTTTTTTTACAATATTGATTGTACAGAATAAGAATCATGAATAAATGAGCCGTGTCACGACAAAACCAACATAGTGCGTTTGCGACCAGCATGGATCCAGACCAGCCTGCGCATGCGCCCAGTCTGATCAGGAGCCATGCTGTTCGCTATCAGTTTCTCTACTTATAATAGGGTTTGTAAGCGAACAGCATGGATCCTGATCAAACTGCGCGGATGTGCAGGCTGGTCTGGATCCATGCTGGTCGCAAATGCACTATGTTGGTTTTGTTGTGAGGCGGCTCAAATGTAATTTAAGTTACCTTTCCCTTCTCTGAACTCAACCATTGCTTTAAGTGTTTTTGAGTCAGCTAAAGCCATTATCCAGAAGAGTTTGGTTCTACCACATCCTTCATGTAAATCTACTTTAATAGCTTCTTCTTCCTCCTTAAACACCTACAATGATAATACATTTCTAGTTTTAAGTCTAGTACAAAAAAAAGATTGAAGTATCTGCATAAAAAACATAAAAACTTTCATCAGAAATCTGGATGTGGTTGCTGATGCTGGGTGAGTAGGACAGCTCTCAAAATACTCCCCATAATCGAGCTTAAATGATAATACTGCTATCTATCCATATTTCAAGTTTGTTATATATATTTTCAGTACTTTTTGAGTTATCACAAATATTGTCATTTTTGCTATATTTTTGTCTATTTGTTGTCATAGCAACCAAATTTTTCAACATAGGAAGAAAAGAAAAAGATGTGCATTGCCATAGGAACCAAATTTTTCAACATAGGAAGAAAAGAAAAAGATGTGCATAATCACCAGACTGCCATCTACCCATATTTCAAGTTTCATGAAAATACTTTCAGTACTTTAAGTGTTATCATGGGATCCAGTTTTGTGGATGGATGGACAGTCCAACGGACGTGATAAAAGTTTGGTATTTACGTGGTGACTCTTTTGTTCTCTCTTTTGTTCTTTAAACCTAAATTCCTCTCTGGTTAAACTGCTAGTTGACAAATAATGGGTAAAATCCACAGATGCCTCTCATTGCAATCTTAAAAACCTATTGAGTTTAAAGTTCCCTGGATACCTTAGCATTTCATGGATAAATCAATGTTGCTTTTGGAACTTACACAAAGAGCAGCAAAGAGCAAAACAATTTTAAAAAAAGAACATTAATGCATTGGCGTCTTCCCAGCAAATATTTACCCATAACAAATATCTTTACTAAAGTTAAAAACAAAAGTAAGAGGCAGTAATATTAACTCGAATATCATGCTATAGTACAATAGATGCACTTCTGACCTGTCTTTGATGTGCACGTTTACTTCGGTGAAGATGTAGGAACCTGTCACAATCAGCACACAGATTACCACAATCCGAACACAAGATGATAGCAGGTGTCTCGGCATCGTCATGGTTATCACATGTTGGCCGTGGCTGCCCATGGGTACCATTTGGACTGCTTACCCATTCACCGGAGGTTAGACGTTCAACATGATCTTGATTCAGCACACACAGTGAGGCCAGTGCAAGCCATACCTGAACAAGCAAATAAAATTCATACATTGAAACCCAACCTGAATAAGTAAATAAAATTCATACTTTGAAACCAACCTTAACAAGTAAATAAACTTCATACACGGAACCCAACTTGGAAATTGTTTTCATAAATTACAATTCTTCATTGATATCCACAAACTGTGTACGTATTTTTATCAGAGTTGGAACATGATGATTCATGATAATAATTTGATTAATTCATCCTTATAATGGCTTATAGAAACAGGCATAAGATACAATGTATGACAAAACAGTACAGTATATGTATATATGAAAGATAAACTTACAGTAGGAGTTTTGATACAAGACTGTGGTACTCTAAGTGTCTCTTCCAGTTTAGTTAATGCTAGAATAGCTTCAGCAATGGCTGCCTTGGTAACATCTTTCCAATTCTCTGATAAATTACCACTTGCCATATCTTGAACCAAGGATATCACATTGTTAGCAAGACTACTGGACATTCTTCCTCTCAACCACCAGCGAGGTCCTGTTGCACTGTTTAAAGATAGAAAAGTCAATTTACTATTTACATGTAGTTACTAGTATATCAAAACTCATCAAGTCAAATGCTTTTTGAATAAAGGTACTAATAGTGTACAGGTAATTTTGCTTTTATTGTATTGTATTGTATTTTTATTGTATAAATTCAAAATTATTTCAGCAAATATTGATAAATCAAGAAAATAAGCTACTATGATATTATCTTTAAGCATTTGGTTGATAACTTTACTCAAAAATATCTATTATACAGACTTAGTGACACTTCATAGCATTTTCTAAATTCAGTGTTAATGTTTGACTTATCAGAGAGTAATTCAATAAGGGAAGCATGCAATTATGCAAGATAATTAAATTACGTGATCATAGACTGTTCTGTTATTGCATCTGCCAACATTAATGAACTGATTCCCTTGTGTGGCCCTGCAGCCTTGACCTTCATCTGCACTGTGAGTGCCTTTGCAATACAGGCAAGGAACACATCTAGGATACATGGCTTCTGAGGATCAAACCCACGGTCTCCCTCTTCTTTACTGGCCATACTGACTATACTGTACTCCACTGGTGGTAGTGCCGGTACTGACAGAATGTTAGCTAATGTCTGGGGCTTCACATCAGGTAAAACACGGCGTAATACAGACACAACCTGTAGATAACAAAAACAAATAATACCTCTTAAATGTTGTATTTATATACAGTCAAATCTCAATATAAGTATAAGTGGATATTTCCATGAGTCAAAATGTTAGCTAATTTCAAGTTCCAGTCATTTCACATGAGGAAATTCTATCAAATTGTGCAAAGGTAGAAAAACAGGTTGGTTGATATTTACGATTGAGGAAATTTTAGCCATATTTGTTTATTCGCCAGATTCGCCAATATTTCCACAACTCTTAACAATTTATACAATAATGACCTACAATTAAGGTCATTTCAATTCCATATTTTTAACAATTCATATTACTAAATAAGTTGTTTTATAGGACCATACAATTACAAATACCAGAGCTTATTTTAATATTCCCTGAAGAATCTATGTCAGCATGATTTACAGTTAAATTTTGAGCATATGAAACACTAAATATACATGTATTTCAAAACACAAGGCTTTATTCAATTCATGCAAATTTAAGTAGCACAACTTAGTGGCTTATTTTCTAATTTTAAAGGTATGATATATTTATCACAGAGAACCAAACCTTTGACACAGCATTTAAATTTAATACAAGGAGGCCATGAATGGGCCCCTATATCGTTTAACCCTTTAAGGAATGGGATCTTAACTGGATTTTTCCCTTTATTTAAAAAACAAGCAACCCATGTTTAATAAAATTTAACTTTAATTGTTTATTTAGTTAATGTCAAATGAAAAAGTAATTTTTGTGCCAAAACAGAAAACAGGAAATTTTCAATTTCAAGTGTGATAATGAAATTACCTCTTTTTTCTTTTTTTTTAAAGTATAGGTTTTGCTAAAAAAAATACACTGCTTGAGGTGTGTTTACTTTCATTGAAAAATTTTTTAACAATGACATCAATAATTTAAAACAAGGCGAAGTAACAAATTTTTGGGATAATTACTTAAAATAAAACATGGTCGTAAAAAGACAAAAATGGCCCCGGGTTGCATTTGCTATACCAAATAACATGACTCATGAGGCTGTTGATGTTACAAAAAAATGTACTACCATTGACCATTAATGTCGAACATTTAACTAAGTCAGTAAACAGGAAGTGGATAAGCGATAGACCTGAACTTGGGACCACATATTAATGCAGTAACATTACCAAATATCAAGAGGCTGTGTTATGTAGTTGCTGAGAAAACTGTTACGGAAAATTCCTTCCATTTACAATTAATGCCGAAAATTTTAACTAAGTCATCAAAACGGGAAGTGGATGAGCCACATACCTGAAAATCATATCCCATTGTATGTGACTACATGTTGATGCTCGTATACCAAATATCAAGAGGCTGTGATAAGTAGTTGCTGAGAAAATTGTTAGGAAAAAATTCCTACCATTGACCATTATTATGAATTTAACTAAGTCAGTTAACATGAAGTGGATGAGTGACAGACATGAAATCAAATCCCATGGTATGGGACAATGTGTTAATGCTGTATACTAAATATTATGAGGTTCTCTAGAGTAGTTGCTGAGAAAAATGTTACCCCAAAAAATGGCCCAACCAATTCGCCTGCCTGCCCGGAAATCAAGTCTCAATACATGATGGTAAACAGTATTTTTTTTGCATATGATTATGTAATTTTTTTTTGAAAACCAGTATTATAGTTGTACCAGATATCCCATTAGTGTTTAAATATTAAAATAATTTTTGATAAAAGTGTTTACTCAGGGGTAAATCATGTTGGGGACAGGATCTAACCCCAAGCATCTATGGTTTTATCATATTAGGACATCCCTTTCTAAAAAACTTCTTCCTGTTCACATGAGTGGCTCTATACACAGGTTTAATCATAAAATTAAATCATGTAAAATGTTATTAAAAAAAACAGCAGGGATCTCAGGAAGGTCAGAATTTCACGTGGCAGACTGTTTGGCCAAAAATTTTCATGAGTCAAATCAGTTTTTTTCTTGTGTTATTTTTCTACACGAATCATTTTCATGTTTTCAGATATTACTGTTTGGGAAGTCATTTAGAGTAGATTTTCAAGTTTAAATTGATAACTATTGTAAGGTTAGGCAATTATAAGCTTCTTGATTAGTTAACATGATAAAGATAATTAAGTATTTCTAGCACCATGGATAATTACCATAATTATTGTTCCATTTTCACTTACATTTATTGAGGTGATAAACACATGTGTACATGCAGGGGTAAAAGTTACAGAAACTGAAAATACTGAAAAAAAAAGTTGGGGGCCAGGGGGCCGCTAGGGCCCCCTGTGGGTCCAGGGCAATGCCCTGGCTAGGGGTTCAGGGGGCTGGAGGCCCTCGAAAGCTTTTGCAATTTAGTGAATTTAAAAGTTCAAAAAAAGGCTCAGATACATACTCAAGTGCTTTATTTATCTTCAGATGTAATTAATCTGATATGTTAAATTTACACAAATTCACTGAGCAATACTATTTAAGCAATATATACACATTCCACATAACAAATTATGTTCATTCTTTTTACTATTTTCAATTTCATATCTTAAATTTAATCCTTTTCCATTTGTTTTCCACTTGTTTAATGCAGCACACTTTCAACTGACTTGACAATTTCTTCAGATGTGGAAACATTTTGAATTCTCAATCCTAAATGATCCATTACTACTTTGACTAGTTTCATCATCAAAGTACTGAAAGATTATATTTCAGTACTTTGTTATTGTTTTTTGTTAGTTGCCTCATCCATATTCAAAGATATTAACTTATCTTTCACTTTTGACTTCACTCCATCCTTAACAGATTTGGCTACACCATGTGTTTGTTATGTACATTGCACTGGTTGGAGAAAGAGTAGTTTTTTCAAGAGCAGGCTTGTCTTCAGCTAAACGTTTGGCAAGATGTTAGAGATCGCCTGCTATGGAAAATGGCAGTCAATGTTCACTAAGAAAGGCAGTTGTGATTGCTCTCTGTTTGGCAATGCGGTCTTGCATACTTTCAATCTTTTTGTCCACAGCTTTTGATGAGTCTGGCAGTACCTGAAAAAGACAATTTTCAAATAAAAGATAAATTTTCAAATAAAAGATGTATGAAAACATATCAAATAAAATATCACACTCATAAATTGTCAATTTAGTTTGGAAACAAGGAGATAATCAAACTAAAAAGTTTGGAAACAAGGAGATAATCAAACTAAAAAAAACAAAGATAAAGAAAATCGTGTTCTAATCCTTAAAATAATATTAAGCTGGAAAAAATCTCCAGACCTATTAAAAATTTGGGCATAGGTTCCCCTGCACAAGGCCGGGGAAGACAGAAGAAAAAGAGGGTGGGGTAATGTGCATTATTTATTAACTACACAATGCACAACTAAACCTCTTTTCGTTGCTTACTCTAGATAGTGGCTAAACTACACAGAGAAATGATCTTACTTGGTCTAAGATTCTTTTAGTGGTCCTCATCTTCAGCTCATCCTGATTAAGAAGCACCTTTTTTCTGTTCGATTTGTCTAGTTGATCGTTTAGGAACAGACTTCACAAAAGCCCATTGCATTTGGTTTCTTTAACCAAGCATCCCATTTTTCACCTTTAGAGTCCTTTTCCGCTAACCACTCCCACCTCCATTTGTTTTTTTGCACCCTTTTTCAGATCGTTAGTATTAAAAACAGGCGGTAAACACTTCACTGTTGTTGTCATTGTATTTGTACATGTATTTTGACATCAAATGACTATGCAACAAACGATTTCATTGGCTGGTAAAAATAACGACGACCAATCAAATCTGATCTTGTATATTCTAGCTCAATTTTTCATCGGCAATCTCCGTATTGTAATTCTTGATAATAATTGTTTTGATTCGTATACAAACGGGTCTAAGATGGACAAATTTATTTTAAAATATATATCAAGCATTATCAAGCAATGTGCACACGCTAATTAATGAGGCATGCACACACACCCTTCCCGATTTCTCATCGGATTTACGTCATTCAGAAAAATGACCTCAGAGATCGCCGAAAACATGTATAATTTTAGAAATCATATTACGGGAGGTGATAGTTACATAAATACTAAATGTCATCCCTTAATACTTCACAAATAGTTAACAAAATACCTGTTTCAACGAAGCACACCGATAATTGTATTCATCTTCACTTCTTTGTTTTGAAAATACGAGTTTATGTTACAAAATTTCTCAATTTCCTTGTTCAAGGCCGCCATTTTGTCCTAATTCCAGTTTAGTTTAGTTTATAGGTCAGATTGATACAGATGTTTTCTAAGACTCAGGACTGATTGATATCCATTATTTAATGATTTGAATTGTATGTTTATAATCAGAATGAAATATTATGTCATAAATCGTTCAGCAGATTCAGTAAGACCGGTGTACATAATGTTGAAATATATGATTTTTCCCGCAAACCGGAAGGAAGAATTTAAGTAATATCCGCACTGTAAATTAAACTTTTATCTTAATAAAAAAATACAACATTTTTTGTTCACTTTCGTTTCTTTGTGCAATATCTTGCAAATAAAATGTGCAAGTCAATGTCAAGAACCAAAATACATTGCATTTTATTTCGGAAATGACACAGTCTCCTTTCTGATGATGTTACGAAATTAAAGGAAGAGTCCATTATTAAATGGGGAAATCAACTACACTGTATCTCTGAAATTGGGGCTATTCTGATTGACTATGTTTTGAATTAACATTCACATTCAACAAACTTTTCATCCTTCTTATGCTTTAAAAGAAAAATCTCCATAACAATGTCTGTTGAGACAAAAAATACAAGATACACTGTCTCAATTTATCCCTACAAAGAAAGTCTTGCAATAAAAAACCCTTTAACTCCCAAAATAGAGACCAATTTTCAACTTTAGACCATAATTTGAATATACTTTGTAGGAACTAACAAGCTAATGCCTTGTGAGAAATATCTAAGCTCTAGCCCTTTCCATTTTGAAGTATAAGAACTTTTAAGTTTTTTTTAGTTGCCATAGCAACCAGAGTTTAGCATGGAATGGCATTCTTTGAACAATCTTGATAGAGCTTCATACAATGAGTATTCCTGCCAAGTTTCATTAATATTGGCCAAGTGGTATTGTAGAAGATGTCGTCTGAATAAAATGTGGACGGACGCCGGACACCGGACGCCATTTGGTTGGCCATCCTAAAAGCTCACCTGCACTTTGTGCAAGGTGAGCTAACAAAACAATACAGCAAGACGTGAATGTTATACAAGTATGTCAATAAACAGAATATCTATTCTAATTTGGTACCTGTCTTTGTACTCTTGGAGAAGCTGTGTGCAAAAGGCTAAACAGATCCTGGAGTAAACCATATTGCTGGGCAAGATATGCTCTTCCTACACCTGAACCAGTTAATGCTGTTACCATTGATACCAACTCAAAACAAAACATATCACTTGATCTGTAGAAAATATCAATTTATTATTCATACTAATAGATACCAGCTCAAAACAAAACATATCACTTGATCTGTAGAAAATATCATACTAAAATAAACCTTTAATGGCCAATGAAAGTGAAATTTAGTGAAATTTAAATGTTTTCTTTTAAATTTTCTGTGAAAAGTTTTATTGCATTATCACAGCTTGGGACTTTTAATTTAAATCAACTAAATTAGTTACATAATATACATAAAGCATAGATGAAAAGTAGTAATTCAGACAGCCACTCTGTGCTTGATTTAGTTAAACAAGAATATTCAAAATTTGCAAAGAGACTATAAATTTAGCAAGATTTTATGATATGAGTTACAAGACATAGAAATTGATCTACATTTAAGATCCAGATGTCATCTGTGAAGTTTCAAATGAATTCATTTAGTGGTGGGAAGGATAGCACAACTATTCTTCAAATAGCCGGGCTTAAAATCATACCAAAGAATAAGTTTAAATTAGTACTTGGGGAGAACAATAACCAACAACATACTTGAGGTCTTGTTGAGACTCTGATTTGTTGAGTAAAGAAGACTCCCATTCATCCCTGACTCTCATAGTCTCCTTCTTAATACCTTGTACAATATGTGAACACACCTGTAATAAAAACATCTTACATTATAGCCATACATAAAAGCATCCAACATTTTCTGTTATATAAAGATAAAATCAGGCAGCTTAAAATGTTTGCAAATTCCATACACTGCAGTATTTTCTCACACTTTTAAATAAAAACATGTCAGAGTGTACCCAAAGTCTTGAATTACATAATAGTCTTCATTGTACTGAATAACTGCTATAGAATAAAATTGGCCATATTATTTTTGTTTCATTTTCTCGAAGAAATCAATGTTTTTAAATAACTTTGAATTTGAATCTGATTCCATCAATATATATGCCACTTCACATTCCAAGCATTAAAGCCCTATGTTCAGAAAAACAAGAGGGCCATGATGGTCCTGAGGTCGCTCACCGGTATAAAGGCCCCCAGGAGCGGGGCCAGTTTAAACCCCAGGGCTTTTATTTGAACAAACTTAGAAGACACCAATTAGAAGATGTTTCATGATGTTAAGTTTTTACTACACACATATAATGAAAAACAATGATCTCGCCCCCCACTTTCCTTCCTTCAACCCCCCCCCAGGCAGGGCCAATTTTAACCCAAGGGCTTTTGTTTGAACAAACTTGGTAGACACCCATAAGAAGATGTTTCATGCTAAACATCTAAGCTCTAGCTCTTTGGGTTTTTTAAAATTAGAACATGTTTCATGCTAAATATCTTAGCTCTAGCTCTTTGAGTTCTTTAAAAGAAATTTTTTTAAAGTTTTTACTATATGCATATAGGGAAAATCAATGACCCCCTGGGGCGGGGCCAATTTTGACCCCAGGGCTTTTATTTGAACAAACTTGGTAGACACTCATTAGAAGATGTTTCATGCTAAATATCTTAGCTCTAGCTCTTTGGGTTCTTTAAAAGAAGATTTTTTAATTTTTTACTATATGCATATAGGGAAAATCAATGACCCCCTGGGGCGGGGCCAATTTTGACCCCAGGGCTTTTATTTGAACAAACTTGGTAGACACTCACTAGAAGATGTTTCATGCCAAATATCTAAGCTCTAGCTCTTTGGGTTTTTTTAAAAGAAGATATTTTAAGTTTTTTTCTTTTGGTTGCCATGGCAACCAGAGTTCTGCATGGAATTAAATTCTTTGAACAATTTTTAAAGGTGACCACCAAAGGAACATTCCTGTGAAGTTTGAATAAAATTGGCTTAGTGGTTTATGAGTAGATGTCATTTAAAGTAAAAGTTTACAGACGGACGCCGGACGAAAAGCGATAACAAAAGCTCATCCGGTCACTTTGTGACAGGTGAGCTAACAACTAGAAATATGTTTCATCATTGAGTTTCGTATTAAGTGTGAAATAGTTTGTTTCCAAAGATTTGAGTTAGGAACTAAGATTTTTACATTTGAACATGGACCTATAAATGATAAAGTGACACCAGTTTATAAATAGCAGAAAACTTTTTTCAGTAAAAGCTAAAAATATTGTCTACTGGCAGTGCAAGTAAATTATCAATCACTTTTTGAAAATATATGGGAATGCATATAAAAACAAAATAACACCAAATTCAAGGCACATTATGCCTTAGAAATCCATTATCAAAAACTCATTTTCACTAAAAAAAAAAAAAAAAAAAAATGCCTTAGAAATCCATGTTATCTTAATTCTTTAGAAATGTCAAACATGTGTTTAATAATGTTTTTATAACAAATAGTTTTAATAATGGATAACGCGCATGCTAGATATTTAACAACTTAAGAATGATAGCATTTCTAAGGCATAACTGCCTTTAATTTACAAACCTGTTTCTGAAGATGCGAGAGTTTACCACTGCGACTGAAGAGAATTCCAACCATATGTTCTTTCAGGTCTGGTTCACTATCCGGTTGATCCCAAGAATCTGGTGTCTTCTTACTATCTAACTTGTCTATTAATCTGCCAAATACCTGAAGTTATATGTCTCATCATTAACTATTGGTAAGGTTATGGTCACAATGACACAGTTAAAGTCATATTGTGACTTTTAAGTTTTGTGTATAGAGGATACACCACAATTCCACAAGTGGTGGCATGGCTGAGAGGTTAATGCATCCGATTAGTAATCTAATGATCACAAGCCCCTTGTGTGGGTTCAAATTGGTTCAAACCCTGTAAGGGGCAAGTGGTTATTTCCTTGAGCAAGAAACTTTACTCTTATTTCTCAGTATTGGTTGGTTCTAGGAACTGATTCGAAAGTGTGTCTATAACCCTTAAGCTTCCTTTCACAATCAAACTAAAATAAATTCTGTAAAACCAATGCCACAATTTTAGGCATAAGTTCCCATCTGATAAGACACGCTGACCTGTAAATAGGCTGGATAACAACCTCACATAAAGAATCCACTTCCTAACATAAAATCCGAAAATCCTAGAGGGATTCAAACCCACACTGGAAAGGGGTGAGTAATTTTAAGTCAGCAACCTTTACCATTCAGTCTAAAAGACCCAATGAAAGGGTTTTCTTTCTTTCTCAGTCCACTCAAACAACTTGAGAAGATTAACCTTTTTTTTTATCATCCAAGATATCTTAAAATATATTTTCAAACATGATTTAAACATGCATGAACTTGCCACTTACCTGGGATGTGAGGAGTCTAAACACCTTCAATGTCTCTGACTCACAGTTCATCTGCTGTATCTGTGCGGCACTCTTCTTCACCGGCAAGTCTATCCTGTCACCTAGCACCTTTACCTGTCGTACTCTCAAACTATGATCAGGACCACGCATTGATAACTGGATACACTTACAATCCTCCTCGGGGATAGGACAGTTGATCCAGCCTATATGTCGTGTGTCAACTTCAGTCTGAAATACCTTCTTCATCTCTTCTACAGCCGGACCAGCACTGAATGTGATGTTGGATACCTTATTCTGAAATTAAAATTTTGCAATGCCTTAAAATTTTGAGAAAAAAAAAATCCTGAAATTTCTACACAGGGTCCTTCTTATATTTAAAAGACACTGATTTACTTAAAGAAAAAATGTTCAATAATCCAACACAAAATTAAAAAAACATAAAGAACAAATAAAACATAAATTGAAAATGGCATGAATCCTCAAAAATACCATATTATTAGTATATTTTTTAAACACACCTAGGCCTAGAGAAGAAACAAGGTGTATGCCACATGCATTTTTTAAATAGAATCACACAAAAATATACATGTAAGATTACAACATATTGTAATACACTTATATTAGCAGGCCTCCAGAATCATGGTTATTTTTCATGAAAATTTTGAAAATGTATTAAAAAGTAAAATACTTCCATGCAACCAAAGAATGTAATTTACATCATTACATTTGTCAATTTCAATCCACATTACCAAGTAAATGTCAAAATATACAAAAATATACACCCCCCCCCCCAAAAAAAAAAAACAAACCGCCCTTACTTCATTAGTCACAGTAAAAATATGGTGATAAATTCTGCAAAATCAGCCATCCATTGCATGTAACATGTAAATTATTACTTGAAATGTAAATATCTTTACTTTTCTTAAAATCTCAGTACAGTTTTCTAAATGTTGATTTTCTTGAAAAAAACTTTTCGGCTTATCTGGAGGCATGCAGCTTTAAAATATAAGACACCAGAATCTCATGTAAAAAAATACAGGTAAAGTTATATTGCTACTTACTGCAAGATCTCTGGTGTTATCTATGTGTACATATATAATTCTAGGATTGGCCTGACCCTGGCATGTTATTGTGATAGTCTTCAGTTTATTCCTGTCTTCATCTCCACTCTCCCAGAATGTTTCAGTTGAATTATCTACAATAGACATAGGTTAATTTGTCCAATTTTTTAAAGCAATCAACTTTTTGGGAGAACATAGCTACAATGATCTATTTGAATACATTACTTACATGACAATATAACTTTACATGACTATTGTGTAAGCTTCCATATCTACAGTTATCACATAAACTACAGCACAGGAGTGTAATAAAACAATATATCAAAAGCAATATAACATTAGTGTTATTAAAACCTTTGACTTGATGCCATTTGCGTTTTATACAAACACAGTGTTAAAGTTACACTATATGAATAATGACTCTTTTTAACTGTAAGCCATTTTTAGATTAAATATGTGATAAATAGAACATTATATTCAATACTAAATTTATTGAACTCGTTAAATAAATAATATTATGCTGGCCAGAGACTCACATAAAATATGATTTTATTAAACTCATTCAATAAATTTAGTAATCAACCCTACACTCATTTAATATTCTCTATTTACAATTTTGACTTATCTTAACAATTAGGCTAACAAATGAAATATGTCATATATGTATTTGAAAATATTAGGTAATAATTATACATGTAGGTGGTATTAAAAATGCAAAGAACTAATTTGTTAGGTTTTTAGTCATACAGAATTTTAAGTCACTTCAACACTGTAAAGATACTTTGGTAACCTTAATTCTATTCAAGACGCAGACCCCAGTAGCCCAGTAAAAGCATAATTGTAGCTTTTTCAAGAATTTAACATCATAATATCTGTAAAGTGGTATAAATATATACTGTGGACATGAAATTTTGTGGTTTTATCACAAAGAATATTTTTGTAGGTACTGCTTCTCCAGTAGCTTTTTTTCTCCAAAAATTAAAACAAATAAATCATTTATTCCACATTTGCCATGCACAATATTTACAAATGCAAATTTTACATTTAATACACTCACCTGTGAGACTAGCAATCATTGCCTGTCTACTGGAAGCTTTTATCTCAGCTGTTGGTGTAAGATCTTTTAGAGATATTATTTTGTACGGAGACTGAAACAGAAAATATGGTTTAATGTTGTAAGGATTGCCTACCAGTACAGATTGGAATATCTAGCTTGAGGGTAACTGTTTACTGGTAACAAGGCTCTGCCAAGTTTCCATTCAACGTTACATGAGAGCAAGATATTTTGGTCTGTTACGATAGCTGGTGTTTGTTTCATTTTTCTGGCATATTAATTAATTAATTATTTTGGAAAAAATTACTAAAAACTGATATTTTCATAAAGCACTTTTTTCTTATAGTACCATAATTCATGAATTTACAACTTCATTCATAATGGCAAAATAACGTAATTCTAAGAACACAATTCATTCATACTGTAAAAGGCTTGGGGGTGTTTTTCTAGCACCGGTGTAGACAGTAAATATTCCTTTCTGATATGCAAGAATTTTTATCTCTGTGTAACATAAATCATGTATCTAATTACTGACCAAAATCCACTTGAAGCAAAAACTAAAACCCAATAATATTTCACCAATTATGCAGTAACACAAGAGTTCGTAAAATGAAAATACAATACCAGTAGGTAAATAAACATTTCTCATACATTCAAGACTTCTGGATCTTTGGTAAAATTAATGGATGGTCAGGAAACAGGCTTATTTTATTAAAACAAACATACCTGTTGAAGTTCACCATTACTTTCCTCTGCTAATTCATCAGATTTACTCAGTATCTGACTGATGTTACTAAACACGTGACTCTCGTGCAGAAACTGGTGATCTGACTGCTGGAACTTCATACAGAAACAACGTAATGCCATTTGCTGAAATATAAATTAATATTGTATGATTACAAAACAACATGCCATTTGCTGTAAATGAACATTGTACAACAATATCAAAAGGTGTCATTCAAATAAACAAACACATCAGTTACTAACAAGTATTGTAGCATATGACATATTAATTATCTGTCAATGCAATATAAGTACATTTATTTTTTTATTTTTTAGTATAGGAAGACTGAAATGTGCCATAAGCACAAGGCATAAAAGGTTTCTGACATTTTGTTGCATTTAATTATTAATGCTTAAAAACTGAAAAAAATTCTGGTAATAAAAGACTGTACTCTTAAACAATTCAATGATTTTTATGCCAGCTACATTCTTAGCAGGATAAAAACAAAACTGTGGAAAAAAAAACAAATGATTAATATTAAGCTATGAAACAATTTCTTTTATATTTTATTGGTTGGGTTTTACATCGCACCAAAACAGTATAGGTCATATAGGGACTTTCCAGCTTTACTGGTGGAAGAAAACCTTGTGTGCCATTCTGTGCATTATTTCAGGCACAAATGGGCACCTGAGTAGAACCACGGATATTCCGTAAACTAGCTAGATAGTTTATTAACTTCTATTGTAACAGATTATAAAATTAATGAATTCCAAAATTCGCTAATGTATAACATACCTGTATAATACTGCCAATAGGTAATGACATGGTAACATCAGCTATAGACTGTAGGAAGGCATGGAAAGTCTCAGGTAATGGATCAACAGATTTACCAGCAATAGTAATATCTGCCATCGGGTGATCACAAACTGGAACCTCCTATATAACAACATTAAACTATACTTTCACAAAACTTGAATTAACATACGTGTAGGTTTGATTTCAAACTTGTGTGTCCCCTCCCCCCCCACAAAAAAAAATAAAAATAAAAACCAAAACTGTAAGCCTTAATATATATTGAAAATGTGCATCAGTTCAATTCATCATTTGCCTGTATTATTTTGATACACAATTTACTATGTTAAGTTATTTGAATTATTGTTTACACAATTCAGACTTTTATTAGTGAATGTCAGGCTGATATCAAATGCAGAGTTAAACCTTTATTGAGAGAACTGTCAAGGTTTTGTCTGTATTGTTACACAAACACTTTCTATATATTTTCATAAAACCAATTCCAAGTTTTCTTTATTAAATGGTTAATAGAGCAAATTCTGCAGTAATTACTAGTATGAAGGAAGTAAATGTAATATTACAGTGAATACTTTTAATAGTTCATACTAAAAAGCAAAATACAGTCGGCATCGTACTTGCGGCCACCTTTATTAAGCGACTTTTTTATTAAGCGGCCGCATAAAATCCCTCCCGATGATTTTTACTATTTAATTTAATTCCATTAAACGACTATTTTATATCGCGGCCAGCGGCCACTGAATGTCGGCCAAAATGTACAAAATTAAGTGTTAAAGTATCTATTAAACGGCCGTGACAAACAATCGTCCCTGCGGGCATTCTCACCTGTGTAATTAGCGAGTAGGTTAGATGTGTACAAGCAAACAAATAAATAATTTTCATGGTCATTGGTCACAAATAATTGTCGTTTAAAAACGAAATGAATAACAATTGCAATCGTTTCAAAATCGGATTTTCCGATCGTAATATTTATTGTGACATATTTTGTCAGAGCAATAACGTATCACAACACCGTGTTTGCATAGTTTTGTCATGTGCTGAGAGTGACCTCCCTTATCGAAAATGATGTCGGATCGAGCGAAAAAAAGACAGACAGACTAATAAGACCGGATAAATTGTATGAAGAAATCGTGCATGGAATTGAGTCTGAGTAAATAGCAAATGTCATCGATTGTAGTCGAAATAAAATCGTGAAACCTAGTAGACTAAACATTACAGAGCCGAGCCTTTCATTGCTGATGGTGTAGGTGCTCATCTGATGCTTTACAAAATACATGTAGTATCCCATTAAATATGACCCTTCGACAAAAAAAGGCAAAAAAATCCTAGATCTCTAAAAATCTTATTGAATTTGAAATTGGGGTAGTGTGAAAACTAATTGTTGAAAAAATCAAGAAGTTTATTAAAACTCATTGCATAAATAATTATCTGGAGCTCTGGCTGATGATTCTAAAGTATGTTCAGCAGGAGATGTGTATGAACATATTAAAAATATAAGACAATATGCTTTGTATCATGGTCAAAATGACCTGTTTACAGTATTATGAGCGTAAAACACATTTGTACACAAATTTCTACTAAAAATCAAAAACAAACAATATTGATGACTTTTTTTTTAAAAAAGACATAAATGTAATTATAAAACGGTAATACATACATAATATTGTATAGTTTTTGTTTTTATAAAAAAGATGTTATTATATCTATGACTTGTAATAAAAGTCTCGAATTTTCCAGAATTCTATTGAGAGACCACTTTATTAAGAGGCCACTTTTTGGCAGTCCCTTGAGTGGTCTCTTAATACAATGTCGACTGTACCATATCTGATCTGTTCTTATTATTCAATCTTCACAACCGTCAAAACTCCTTATATCAATATGAACATTTATAAATGTTCAACAAAAGGTTAAAAAACTGCATTATCATTCTAAAGTATGAAAAAAAAAAAAAAAAGAACATTGTTAAATAAAGTTGTAAAAATGTAAGCTCACCTCCTGATCTTTCTTTGGTTCTTTCTTTACTTCTTTAACTGCAGGTTCATTCTTCTGTCCATCTTTGACTTCCTCCAGAACCTCCTCAGACTCGTCTTCTCCAGGACTCAATGCCGACACAAAAAACCATAGTAGATCATGTATACAAACAGACTGGGTGACCATACGTAACAACCAGTTCATAGCCTGTAATATCAGACACAAAAACCATAGCAGATCATGTATACAAACAGACTGGGTGACCATACGTAACAACCAGTTCATAGCCTGAAATATCAGACACAAAAATCATAGCAGATCATGTATACAAACAGACTGGGTGACCATACGTAACAACCAGTTCATAGCCTGAAATATCAGACACAAAAAACCATAGCAGATCATGTATACAAACAGACTGGGTGACCATACGTAACAACCAGTTCATAGCCTGTAATATCAGATTCAAAAAACCATAGCAGATCATGTATACAAACAGACTGGGTGACCATACGTAACAACCAGTTCATAGCCTGAAATATCAGACACAAAAAACCATAGCAGATCATGTATACAAACAGACTGGGTGACCATACGTAACAACCAGTTCATAGCCTGAAATATCAGACACAAAAAACCATAGCAGATCACGTATACAAACAGACTGGGTGACCATACGTAACAACCAGTTCATAGCCTGAAATATCAGACACACAAAAAACCATAGCAGATCATGTATACAAACAGACTGGGTGACCATACGTAACAACCAGTTCATAGCCTGAAATATCAGACACAAAAATCATAATAGATCATCTATACAGATAGACTGGGCGACAGACTGCAACAACAAGGTCACCTACATCAGTCATGTTTTTTACATAACTAATTTGAGTGACAATGATCAACTTTTTTTGGTACCAAAATTATTTTTATAAAATATTTTTATGCTATGCTGAAACAAATCAATGGTTAACAATTATGGGACTTGGTGTGAAGTAGTAATGTTTCCCTAATTTTATAGCATCCATAATGTGTAGCAATCAGTTTAAATGCATTTATAGCCTGGAACAATTTCAACTTCATTTTGGATTTTGTACAATTGATAAAAACATAAAACCTATCAATTATACCTCCTATAGTAAAATATTTTTATTTCAAAACTGGTGGCAACAATACTAGTATCTGTTCTTTGAAATTCTCAAGCATCAACAATGTTTATTTAATATTTATTTTGTGTTTCCTTGGTTTTACAGTGCACTAACTCAATTTAGGTTATCCAGTGTTGAAACAAGAAAGATGATTTTGGCTATACTAGGGTGTTTAAACTCGAGCTAAGAGGGGCATAGATTCCTGTAATTCTAACCCATTAAGTCACCTCTTAAGATCATGCAGGCATAAACAGTGTCTGCAATTCTGATACCTCAACCCTTAAAAGCAACCCCTCAGCTACAAGGGGGTCAACAATGCTTTTAATGAAAACTCAAATATTTATACCTGTAAAGCAAACACTCTACATGTTGCTTTTCTCAGAGCTTGCCTCATAGCTAACTGTAAACCATCAAGGTCATGTCTTTGTACAATAAAGGCCATCACTGGTCGACTGAGAGCTCTCTCCTGACTGCTCATTGGTAACATGATATTACCGCTCTTGTCTACTGAACCAATCAATTTGGTCATAGCCGCTGACGGGTGCTTCAATAACGTGCCTCCATCTATTTTTTATAACATGAATATGTATATGAGACAAATACATAAAAAAGAATGTAAATAAATCTTAAAAAGTGTATAAAGTTTTATATCTGCTGTATGTAGTTAACTACAAAATGATTGTTTTGAATTTTGAAAAAGAATTATTCCAAAATACCCATATGATCACCATGGTGCAATTATTGGTTAACTTCTATTAAATCTAGGACTTAACCCATTACAGCACTAAGGTGATGATATAAAAAACATATCTTTGTTTATTTCTTAGCAGCGAGAATTGTGTTCACAAAATCATTGCTAAACACTTAAAACCCAAAGAATCAACCATAAGATTCTGGAAACAATATTATTTTTCTTAAATAAATTACAAAAAAAAATATTTAATTCTGCACAGCTTAAACCATTTAATATAATAAGAAAAATCTATTAAGCATAAAAAAATACAATTTTTTTACCATATTTTTATGTGATTAACAGTTTAAAGACTTGAAATATGTTATACATTGTACTTTGTTTTTGAATAAACCTGCAAATGAAGCAATTTTTGTCAGTTGACTGCATGATGTAATATATACCCACCACCAACACCACCACTATTATTTCTCCTCCGTGGTGAGAAAAGACGGCCAAGATTTTTATCATTTGTACTATCATCATCTGAAACAATCTCTGATATACTGCGCTGGAAAGCACTTTTCTTCGCACCCTCGGGTTCGGACTCTGGACTGTTACCATCACTGTGCAGGATATCTAATCTTCCTTCCTGTATCACAAAAAATATCAACTACAACATTTGGTTACAAAAAAATGGTTCAAAGACAGAAAAGGCCGAGTTGCATTTGTATACCAAATATCAAGAGGCTGTGATAATTAGTTGCTGAGAAAACCATCAATGTTGAAAATTTAACTAAGTCGGCAAACAGGAAATGGATGATTGACAGACCTGAAATCGAATCCCACAGTATGAGACCACGAGTTTATGTTGGATACCAAAAATCAAGAGGGTCTGATAGGTAGTTGCTGAGAAAACTGTTCTGAAAATTGTTTACCGCCTGACATTCACCATACTATAACCTGAGCTTGTGCACCTGTGCAACCCGGCCAAAAATGGAAATGGCATGAAAACTACAGACATCTTTTTCTATTATAACTCCTTTGTTTTCATGAAATAATAGTTATCATAGTGCTGTCATTAAAAGATCATTTAGGAAAACTAGTCTTTTTTTTTATTTCCGAAGAATAGGTTATTCAAATCTTCAAAGGCTTTTACAGTTTGTTTTTTTCTAAATACAGTTTCTTCTTACAAAACTTATCATATTCAAACTTAAATTGTTAAATTTTTACTAAATAAAAGTGAATGTCTTACTAATGGACTTGTAGGTGGAATACAAGTAGACATTGGTCTCTGGTCCTTGCCCAGTGAGCCTGATCTTGCTAATGGACTGTGTCTAGGTTCTGTAGGAAGTCTAGGTCGATAGGAGAGTGAATGGACTGGTCGCCTCATACTCATTGATCCAGATCGAACTCTTTCGTCTGCATCTATGTAAAATTCATCAGCGAAGGCCGAATCTGAACTTTGTGCACTCTGTCTTATAAGATATTGAAAAGGAACTTGAGGGAATGGATTTAGATCCACTCTATATTCTTCTATAACACTAGGCAGCAGTAAATCATGATTTGGCGACACTTTCTTCTGACTCTGTGTTGGTAACTGAAATCCTGAAGCACTTGCGAGATCCAGTAAAAACATAGCATTATTCTTCAAGATAATGTGGGGTTCTAGAGGTAGCATGATATTCTGTTGTCTTGACATGGTGTTCTTCTTCTTGCCTTTCTTATTTTTATCTTTTTCTTTCTGGGCATGCCGTTTCTCCTTTAAATATTTTTCCCGACATTTGTCACAGATAAGATACCAGCTGCTTCCGCCCACTCCACCCTCCCCACAATTCCCTGCCCAACCGTCACAGAAATTCCCTCCACTGTTGTAGCCCTTCCCACCTGCATGCCTGCCACACCCAGGATGAGCCTGTCTCATATGATAAGTGACTGGGTGAGGGAACATTCCATTGCACAGTTCACAATTAGATTCTCTCTCTACCCCACCTCCATAGACACCCATAGCTATTGCCTCAGCAAATATTCCAGCCCTTCCCATCTGCTTTACTTCTTTCTTCTTCTTACTTTTCTTGTCTTTATCCTTCTTTTCATCTTTCTTTTCAGGTTTCTTGCTTTTTATTGCAATAGCAGGACTAGGGTAAACAAGTTCTTGAACTATGACCCGCAATGTAGCAGACGACAATTCATCCCAGAAATAAACTAAATGTTGTAAAGTTGTTGGTAATTGGGTTTCTTTCTCAACAGTCATTGATTTTTCTGGCAGAAGAAAATGTTCAACAGTTTTTGTATCAGATTTATATTTACCCGAATCTTTCTTTTTCTCAGAGTCTGAATAATGTGTTTCAGGTTTTTCTTCAGGTTTCACCTTAGCATCAATCTTAAACCGGACTCGTGGTTCATTTATATTTTCCTTCTTTTTTGTCTGATCTTTACTTGAGTCAGTTGCATGACGCACCCTTTCCTTTTGTTTCTCTGGCTTTTTTGACTTGTTCAATAATGACATCTCTTTTGTTAAATTTTGATTAAATTTCAAGAACGAGGCACATGCCATGGCATCATGAACAATGCCCTCATGCCATAAAAAGGCAGCAAACACTGCACGTAAAGTCTCTGCTACTGATGGAGACATAGCTTCCTTCACATAATGCTTTGGTCTGTCCATCACCATGGAGGCAGAAAATGCCCGGGCCCTTGACACTGGTCCAAGGTCACGCTGGGAAGGTGAAGATGCCCTTTCTCGCTTGGATCTCAGTTGACGACCTCTATCTTTCCTAATATTTTTTGGTGACAGTCTGAAATATAAAATAAACCAGTAATAGAAATTTAAAAAAAAATATGCATTCATTATTTTATTAATAATCTTTACCTAACTGGCTCAATCATAACAAAGGCTATATGTTAATCTAAATAACTCATTAATCTGCACATATTGGATTAATGATACAAAAAAGCAACAAAAAACCTGTTCTTGGTACACCCAACTTATAAAACTTACCTTCCCGCTGTTTCCTCTTTATTCGTTGCTCCTATATTAAAGGCAACTTTAACACCTTCACCTCCTTGACCTGTAAGGGATGGTGACCCTGCCTGGGCTCGTGAAGGGCTTGAGCTAACATGTGGACTGCCTGATCTTCTAGGGCTTCCTTGTGGACTTAACAAAATAAAATTTCACTGGTTATGATATCATTCATTCAAATAGTGCAGTTAACACACTCCAACTTTGTCTTCTTAAAGTTTTTTTTACTGTATTGTCTTATCATTACACAACAAATCTTTTTAAGTCAATGAAAAACATGTTTGTATCAAAAACTCATTCTTGGCAATGCATAATTTAGCCAAGACATCTATCATGCAAGATATACGTAGCTTTACAAATTAATTATTTCATACAGTTTCCATTGTGTTTCTATATAAATACTGCATATAAATTTTACTTCCAATATCTTTTAGCCATAAGAGATAATTACTGCATTATAAATGTCATTCTAGAGACAGGTCAGCAGAATTGACAATTATTTTACTACCATAGCAAATTTAGTTAATATAGATTATAATTATACCTGATTCTGCTAGGAGATGAGAATCGAGGACTGAGGGTACCCTGACTTAGATCATCCCTCTGTTCAGTTCCTTCACTTGCACTGTGGCGGACCAGTGGTGACCCTGGTGGTGACACTGAAGGTCTGTCGATAGATGCTTCCTTCCTTAATTGTCCTGTAAGTCAACAATAATTCTAAGATGAAAACTATTCATTCAAGATGATCCCTAACTCTAAAACATAAACACCTTCTCCAGAAAAACAATTTGTCTAACACTGTAAAGTTTACACAAAAGTAATATAAACTTTACAACATATTTTTAAAACTGATAAACTGCAATTCAATTTTCTTTAAACAGGGACATATCTATATCTGTATCTATCTGTTTTTGTATAAAAGACCACAAATATCAAACTATTCTAAGACAAAAGGAAAATTCCATTGACAAGCACAAAATTGAACTGGCTAGATATCCTTTCTGACTAAGGCTTTGACATCACTATGGTGACTTACATAGGCATGTTAATTAAGTATTTACTTGATGTTTTGTACCATTATTACCTTTCCTTGTTGTCAAAGGGCTACTTGGTGGTGTGACAAAGGCTTGTGAAGTTTCTGAAGCTACAGAGCTCACTCTTGCTGGAGAATAAGATTGTTTTGGACTTCCACTTCTAGCAACTGGTGACCCTGACCGTGGTGAACCTTGAATACAAACAGTTAGTAAATCAATATAACTACGATATATTATTAGTTATAAAGATTTTTCACGGGTTTTATGGCACTATAATTAACGATTGTTTGTATATATAGCGTTACCCGAGCTGTTAGGCAGCAGTGATGTATATAAAAGTATATAAACGTCACAATTATCTATCATATCAACTGATGAAGCTTATTAAAGTGAAATATGTTTTGATAAACTTTGTTGGTTTGCGCTCTTTTTATCATTTCATACTCCATTTTTAATTGTTAAATCTTTTACCTTGCTTGTCTAAAGAGGTTTGTGGACTGGAACTGCGCGAAAGTTTCTTGGGTGAACCTGGAGGTGATGGGACAGGGGTAGGTCCATTACCATTTGCCTGACTTTCACCTGTAAATATATGTATTAGCAAAAACTTAATACTGGTAGCTATATTGTAATTTTAAACTTTTGAAACTTTTTTCATATTATATAGTAGAATTCTAATTCCTGTGTAGCCACTAATCTTAGCCAATCTCAACTACTGTACAACATCTGTGGAAACCATCTTCATCAGTGTCTATTTTTAGTTTCAGATCAAATTATCTTGAAATATCTTAATTAGAATATTGACATCTTGTAAGCATTACTGTATCAACATTACTGTAAAAACTGGATCAACACTTGAATAAACATCTTAATCAAATGGAACAATAAAGAAATATATCTGTAAAATGCCATTTAATACTAAGTAGAAGGATAAATAAAGTAAATTATGAATGTAGTCAGCTATCATATCTATTAATAACTATATAATCCACCAAGTTTCAACCTCCAACGTTTCAAGGGGTTAACCTTTTCCATCATATAGACGTGTTTTGACGATGTACTACCTCCACCTTTTTTGAGACCTCAAACAGTAAAAAATGCCCTAGTTAGGCCCCAAACACTGTTTTTCCTTTGAGAAATGTTGTTAAAAAAGTGACCACTTTTTCGGTGCCGCCCCCATCAAAATGGTACATCAGGGGGTTGCCAGAAGGGGGACGTGCCCCCTTCTGTCTGGGGATTTGAAGGGAGGGGGGGGGGGCGGCAGTCCCCCTCATCGCCAAGAAAATTTTGGACATGTGACAGGCTAAAAATGGCCTCAGGTCAATCTTAGGGTAACTAGTAACCGACGCTGAAAAACCCTTTACTCTATCTCAATTCATTGAGAAGTTGCAGCACTTTTAAATCAGTTTTGATGGAAAAAAATAATGCAAAATAGTGATTTTTCAAAATTTTGAGACATCCCCCCATTGCCATGGTAACAGGAAATTTACGATTGAGCATGCCGTTACAGAGGCTATGGTCCAGTCAACATTTGTGCCAAGTTCCATCAGTATTGAAGCATTTTTCATAGTTTCATAGCAGTTTGAATTTGTAACAGGAGGCTTTTCAATGAAAACGGCCATTTTTCACAATGCGCTCATGGGGTAAAACCCCTTTTTAATTTTTTCCAGAGTGATCATATCTATTAAGAACAAATAAATCAATGCACAGAAAATGCAATTAACAACAGCCTTTCAAGTTGTTATTCAATTTCAAATGCATGGTGAATGCATTTATATTTCACTGTTTGTTTGTTATACAACATAATTCTGTCTTTCAGGAACAATTGAGCCTCTTAATCTAATTTATTTTATGCAGTTTGTTTGTATGTTAAAGAATTAAGTCTGTTGTCAGAAAATAGCTTTTACAGCTTATTTTAACTGACTATAAATAAAGATTAACTTATCTTAAGATTCATAACAAATTTGTTTATGAAACAAAAATTGTTTATGAAATAATAAATCATGCCAAAGTATATTACAACATTAAATCACAGCCAAACAAAACATCACATTAAAGTAGCAGAACAGAAGTTGCCAATGAAACAACATCTAGGTCTGTAAATAAATATATAAAAAACATTAAACATTTTTATGTAAAATGCATTGCATTCAAGAAACTAAGAAATTAATGAAACTAAATAAAAATGCTCACAAAACTCACACATACTTGAAGCTAAAACATCTGCAATTATAATCAAGACGACCTGGTTTCTCCATATGTAAACAAGAGCACCGCTAGGGGGAGCATTATATGCCCGAAAGTGTTTTGTTTTTTTAGTAAGGATGAAGCATTTGTAAGACATGGGAATTAAATAAAGTATTACCTCCTTCAAATAGCAATCCTCCTATGAAGTTTGAATACTGTGGGCCAAATGGAACTTAAGTTAGGGTATAGAAACTGTTTTTAGTTTTAAAGTAATAATGACCTTGACCTTTGACCTTGTGACCCCAAAATCAATAGGTGTCTTCTACTAAATATGGACAATCATCCTATGAAGTTTGAATATTGTGGGCCAAATGGAACTTAAGTTATGCTCCGGAAACTGTTTTCAGTTTTAAGGTAATAGTGACCTTGACCTTTGAACTTGTGACCCCAAAATCAATAGGGGTCTTCTACCCCATGTGGACAATCATCCTATGAAGTTTGAATATTGTGGGAACTTAAGTTATGCTCCGGAAACCAAATTGCTAACGTACAGACGGACAGACGGACAGATTCCAGGGGGTATAACATAATATGCCAGAAATTCTTTCGGGCATATAATAAGGGACATACTTTAACTGGTTCTGTATATTCACTCCAAGAATGAATTAACAACATCGAGATAACTCTAAAGATGCACTTTCTAGATATACTGAACAACAACAAAATTATATATGATTCTTATAATACAGCAAATACAACACCTAAAGCAAGATGACCTGATGTATTTCACAAGAATAAGTTATAAGCTATGATAATTATCAATCTACTGGCACATAAATTAAGTCAGTCTTGGAACTTTCTTTATGCAGCTGTTGTGGCCCACTTAAATGGGATAGGTCTATTATGTTTACCAATTAGAGAAGAATATTGAAAGGAACTTAGGGAACATTGTGAAAAAAAGTCCAACAGTAATAAAAGAAAGTTATTTAATCACCTTTTTTTCTTTTTCAACTACAAGTATATAGAGAAAACATGGTTGACGTCAGAATGGAGAACGTTTATCTGGTGAGCAAGAAAGTATATCTTGGCGAGCTTCAGTGAGGCAGGATTCACAAATAAACCTTTTCCATCCCAACAAGAACAACCATGTATTCAATTTATCCTGCTTTTTATCTAATTCAATCATGTTTTTAGATCATCTTAATGGCTTCATTACACTTTTTCCCCGATAAAATATTGTCTATATGAAGTTTTGTTTTGCTGCTAACCATGTGATGTCATCTTAGGCTAACCATGTGACGTAATGACTGGAGATAGATAAGTTTATCCAGCAAGGCTTTATCCAGCTGATAATATAGACAGTAGCAGGATTAATAGCTTTATACACTTTAAATAAAAGGAATTATAAAATTTCTTGATAGAAGCCTCAGCAGAATAAGAAGTTTCTCCAGTCAGTATTTTCTGATGCAATGTTTCCAAGTACAATCAATCAACACCTGGGTATTGAATCCTCAACCGTCTGTCCTAATGAACCTTAATAACACACACATATATATATCTCAAAACAAATGTACACAAATAAAAAATAAAAATACAACAAAAGTAAAAAGGAACAAAAATAACCAAAAAGACATATGCACAATAAAATATCTACCTCTATTGTATAGCAAAAATCTACAGTTCTAAAACTGACATGTTTACGACAGCGGACACAAATTGTACCTATAAGCTGGGCAAGCTTTTTAGGACTGATGGCACGTGTTAGAGCACGGTATTCCTTTCCCGCAATATTTACTGCAAGACCACTTGGCTCTTTATTGAAGAGCCAATCCAGGTTCGACCACTCTAGTTGGTCAATTTGTGACTGGCCTATTGCAAAATAAACACAAGTCTTGGCAAAATGAAAAAAAGAACACTTGAAGAGAACACTTTCTCAGTTTAATGTTTCAATTTGTTTGTGAACAAAAAAAGGCATGTAATTTGTACAATATTCCCTAGAAATATAACACAGATCTTAAATTTTTTTCAATCAACACTGTATTTTTTTTATCATTTTCTATGTTTTTTATATGAACTAAGTCTTATTTAATAGAACTATAATCACAAACTTAAAATGAAACATTAAACTGTCTAGAATGGTCAGATGAACTTAATACAAAATGAACTTATCAAAGCTTAACAATAATAGAGTGCTTTCATGCTTTTACATGTACACTGTATATAATACTGGGTTTCCATGGCAACACATTCACATTAAATCAAAATATTCATTTAATAAATGTAGAAAAATTACATTTTTATATGAAGTGAGTCAAATACGCATAAAAATGAAAATGGCTTACAGTCTTGATCAGTCTGTAAATAAACATCATTTTTTTACAGAGAATACAGGAGGATAAATGTCCATGGAAACCCAGGAATGTTTGTAACTTGTGTGTGTCTGACTCACCACAATGATACTGACTATATCTCATAAGAGACAAATCCCTACAGCCGCATACTTTACATAATAATAAAACACTCGTGAAATTCTTAACATGCTATCCATTATCAGTCATACATAAGGTATATATATACAGGTACATATTTCCAGTATTCTCAATGTTACTTACTATTCTTTCATTATATGACTTATAAATCATTTACTAAATATTTTCAACAAAATATCAACAATAGAATATTTGCCAGCTCAGACTCAGGCTACCTATGTATAACAAAAATATATTTGTACAGCACAAAACTGGTTACCAAGAGAACACATATTCTTGGGTCTAATGCAGAATTATTAGACACAACTTATTTCCAGTAAAAACAAGTTTCAACACTGTTGTAACAATGAAATGTCTTACTTATGTTACATTCATTAGTGATGTTCCGATTGTCGCAAGTCGCCGATGATCAGTTACTGTTATGTAAAACGACAATAATCGATTCACAAAAATTTGTTCCGCGACGTCGTCGAAAATGTTAAAAGTATCGAAGGGAATTAATTTTGACGGTAATTTTCTTTTAGGAACACCTCGTAGATCGCAAAAAATCACTCAGAGACAATTTGGAGTTGAACAGGATCAATACGTGATATGAACAATAGTAATATAAATGTGATGTGAATGGTATTATTTGACATCCATTGAAAAATAAAATCTATTTCGTAAACTTATGACTATATAAGGTTAAAACTGTGTTGAAAAGTGCTAAGTGAAGTTCATGTTACTAAATATAATCAAGTGCCTTGGTAAGAAATGTTACTTCCCTATTTTATTTTAACGCGACTTTATTCGAAAGTTATCGATTATGTCCCATCCGACTGAACCGATAATCGATTGGGACAAAATTCATCCGTTTTCCATCACTAACATTCATGACTTAAACTTTACTATCTTTATACATATCTTTATTTCTTTCAGGAAATGTAGTAAACAAAATTACAAATGTTACAAAGATAAGTTTAAACGTTGAGAATACTGAGAGTTCAAAAGCATAAAGCCTGTAATGAACTGATGAAATTATTCTAAAATGATCATTTTGATGACATATATAAATAACACATAGGTTTGTGAGTAACTACAAAAATATCATCCCTCGTAAAATTACTGCTAAAGCCTTGTGTAACAGTATTTTCCTCAAGATGAAATTTTCCTGCTACTCGCAAACCTATGTGTTATTTATTTTATAATCCCAAACAAATACTTCATTTGGACAATATTTCTATAGTTTTTATTTTTCAGAATTTTATTGTGAAAAAGTACTGTTACCTATGTAACAGTACAAAATTTATAATCACATGGTACACTTGAATTAACAGTAAGGATAACTCCCATTGGCCTAAGGGAAATTAACATTACAAAAATAGTGAGGGGTAATAATACAATATAATAAAATAACTACAATTCTTTGTAAATAAAACTGACAACACCTGATAACTCAAAGGTTTATGGCAACACAGCAATAACTTTGTTTAATTTCTATTTCAGTATAGCAACACCCAACAATGGCAGAGGGATTGATAGATCCCCACTCTAACCTTTCATTTGAATGACAAAAGATTTAACCACAAACACTGACATGAGCTCTTTGTTAACAAATATGTTGTGGTGAAATTCTTTTTGTGTCAGCTAATCTGATAACCAGATTTGGACAGGTCAGGGATCTATACAAACAACAGGCCCATCTCTGCTTCAAAAAGACAGGCCTCCAAGTAGAACCATAAAATTTTGTAAGCTGGCTGAACAAAGGTTCTGTGTTGGATTTAAGTTCCAAAAGAACAAGAGCATGTGCTTCAAGATCCTTACTTGTACCATCTACTGCCAAATCATTATTATTCGTGAGGCATTAATTTTCGTGGTCAATCCTCGAATTTAAGATTCTACAAAATTTTATTTCGTCTGCTGTAAGATTACTTTGTATCACACTATTTACATTTTACCTTTTGGAAAAATACGCAGTCCACAAATTTAGGAAGCCATGGAAATTTCATGCCCACAAAATAGTGAATTCACAGTATACAGTCTTCAGATTTTTTTGATTTTTACCATTATCTTCACAACACTATTACAGTTTTAATTTTAACATAAATGCTGAATCTATTTGTTTGTACTTTGTTGCTAACCCTAGACTATGTGCTGATAAATTGTACATTCTTCCATAAGTCTTTAACATAATAAAACCTGTATGTGAGCTTAAACTTTCCCCTTTAATCGTTCCAGTATTATGTTATTTTATCACAGAAGCTCAAAATTATTTAAAAAAAAATTATAAATGCTTTCTAAAATTCTGATTGTGATTTACTTACTGATTTTCAATGCATATTAAGTATCCAATAGAACTTTTTCCCAAAAGAAAAGGTTTTATTCAGTTGATATTACAACAAAGTAAATAAATTGTTTAAGTAAAAGGAATTAAAAAATTAAAATTTTAAAAGTTACAACTAACTTATTAAATAAACCATTTTCTCTTATAAAATTAAAGGAAAAAAATCAAATAAATAAAAACTCAGGTGTAAGATATTAAAATAACCATTAAAAAAAACCATAAAAATTTTTCAGTGTGGTAAAAAAAGCTTTTTAAATGCGTAAGAATAAAGAATACTTACCTAAAGCCTTGACAGAACTTTCACGGAACACCTTGGAAGGTGGGGGATCCACTGCGCTCTTTTGGAGAGAATTTTTGGGGGGCCCGGGGCCGGTGACCTGGTCGAGGGAAACAGGAGAGCGTTTGTGGAAAGAATGAACCAGATCCAAATTAAAAAATAGGGGGTGATGTGTAGCTGAAATAACAAATTTTTTTATAACAAATAACTTTATTTATCAATACAATTTATATATCTTAAACTGTAACATTATTAAGAACTTTTTGTTGAAACAAAACTTTGTGTTATAAGAAATGAGAACTTCTTGTTAAATCAAATTCATAAAACAGCATGTTTGTAACATCACTTTTCATTAGATAATTGTGATGTTTATATACATTACATACAAGGCTGCTGTCTATATATGAGCCGCATCACGACAAAACCAACATAGTGGGTTTGCGACCAGCATGGATCCAGACCAGCCTGCACATCTGTGCAGTCTGATCAGGATCCATGCTGTTCGCTTTCCAACCCTATTACAAGTACAGAAACTTATAGCGAACAGCATAGATCCTGATCAGACTGCACGGATGTCGCAAACCCATTATGTTGGTTTTGTCATGGCGCAGCTCATAAGAAGAAAACTCACTCTTATTCTCTAAAAAATGATGCTTGCTGTATTATAAATTTGTTATGAATATTTCTGGCAGGTTATATGGCCGTATATAAACGGTGGTTTGCAATTATAATCCTTGCCTAGTGGCTCGGGTTATATTTTCAAACAAAGGTTTATACAATGGTTATATTTTCAAACAAAGGTTTATACAATATACAAGTACTTCAAGTTGAAACAAGTAAGACCTTCTTGTTATGTTAAAAAATAAAAGCTTATTAATATACTTCACCATTACATTTTAAGATACACTTTGAAAAAAGTCAAAATCAAATTTAAGTTAATGTACAAAAAGAATGTCATTGTACCTACAAAATGGTAAACAAATATCAATGCAACTTCTAAAATTATATTATGGCATTTATAAACTGTCTCACCAGACGCTGGCAAAGAATATGTACGTCCCATCTCACTTCTTTGGTATCGGTCAAAGTTAGGAATAAGTCCAAACCCATGTGGTAGACTGGCCTGTGGTTGTAATGGTGAGTTACCAAACACTGACAGATTAGACTGTGATCCTGAAATTGTATAACATACATTATAACAACTGTAAAACAGATGCTTTTGTTTTGTTTGTTTTGGGGTTTTACGTCACATTGACACAGTATAGGTCATATCGCGACGTTCCAGCTTTACTGGTGGAGGAAGACCTCAGGTGCCCTTCCATGCATTATTTCAGGCACGAACGGGCACCTGAGTAGAACCACGGACGTTCCGTAAGGTGAAAACTATTTAACCTTGAAATATGCACTCTTAATCTACATGTATCTCCACATGTGTTAGTGCTAAAATGTATGTAAACTATATGATATACACAATATTTACTTACTTTTCTTACTAACTTATTATAACAAGAGCCCGGTTTGAGCCGGGTGATGCTCCCCGAATAGGTTTTGGACACAGGAAAGTACACCTCTTGTAGTTTCAGAGTTATGTCTGTGGAAAAAGTTTTAAGTGCAATAATTCCAAAATTAGGCAAGGCTGTTACAGTTTTTTGCACTGCACTTCTAATCAATGTGATCTATCAACTTACAAAGTTTCTTGATGATATCTCTTATGATTTCCGAGTTATGTCCCGGACAATTCAAAAAGTAAAAATAAACAAAGGGCAATAACTCCAGAATTAGGCAAGGTAGAGTTATAATTCTTGTGCACTGCACATCTACCCATTGAGATTTATCTACCTACAAAGTTTCATGTTGATATCTCTTATAGTTTTACAGCTATGTCCTGGACAAGATTTTTCTAAAAGGGGAGATTATTCAAAAATAAGGCTTAACAGAGTTATGGTTCTTTTGCACTGCACATCTACGCATTGAGATCTATTCACCTACAAAGTTTCATGTTGATATCTCTTATAGTTTTAGAGTTATGCCCCGGACAAGATTTTTCTACAAGGGGAGATAATTCAAAAACCGGGCAAAATAGAGTTATGGTTCTTTGACACTGCACTCCCCCTCGATGCCCTCTACCACTGTATGAAGTTTCAACAAATTATCTCCAAGGGTTTTCAAGTTATGTTCCGGACAAAGTTCAAAGTATAAAAATAAACAAAGGGCAATAACTCCAAAATTAGGATAAAAAGAGTTATTGTTCTTATGCACTGCACATCTACGCATTGAGATCTATTCACCTACAAAGTTTCATGTTGATATCTCTTATAGTTTTAGAGTTATGCCCCGGACAAGATTTTTCTATAAAGGGAGATAATTCAAAAACTGGGTAAAATAGAGTTATGGTTCTTTGACACTGCACTCCCCCTCGATGCCCTCTACCACTGTATGAAGTTTCAACAAATTATCTCCAAGGGTTTTCATGTTATGTTCCGGACAAAGTTCAAAGTATTAAAATAAACAAAGGGCAATAACTCCAAAACTAGGATAAAAAGAGTTATTGTTCTTATGCACTGCACATCTACGCATTGAGATCTATTCACCTACAAAGTTTCATGTTGATATCTCTTATAGTTTTAGAGTTATGCCCCGGACAAGATTTTTCTATAAGGGGAGATAATTCAAAAACTGGGCAAAATAGAGTTATGGTTCTTTGACACTGCACTTCCCCTCGATGCCCTCTACCACTGTATGAAGTTTCAACAAATTATCTCCAAGGGTTTTCAAGTTATGTTCCGGACAAAGTTCAAAGTATTAAAATAAACAAAGGGCAATAACTCCAAAACTAGGATAAAAAGAGTTATTGTTCTTATGCACTGCACATCTACCCATTGAGATCTATTCACCTACAAAGTTTCATGTTGATATCTCTTATAGTTTTTGAGTTATGCCCCGGACAAGATTTTTCTATAAGGGGAGATAATTAAAAAACCGGGCAAAATAGAGTTATGGTTCGTTGACACTGCACTCCCCCTCGATGCCCTCTACCACTGTATGAAGTTTCAACAAATTATCTCCAAGGGTTTTCAAGTTATGCTCCGGACAAGACAACAGACGGACAGACGGACGGACGGACAGACGGACAAGGCGCCGACTATATGCTCCCCCGAAATTTTTCGGGGAGCATAATAAATTATACAAAGCTTTAAATCTAAATGATATAACAGAATAATATAAACAGATACTAATTCAATATGCAGGCTGAAATGTTGGTTAAAAGACAAGGTATATTTTGTGACTCGCACAGTAATTAATTCTATAACTCATGTGTAACATAAATATGAATATTACAGTCCAGCTCCAAGTCCTCAAGGTGTATAAATTATAGAAATGATGGTACATATATGTAAAGCTTTGCATTATAACAGTACATTTAAGTGATAATGGTCAATAAACATATCGTGAAACAATAAAAAGCTACTATCTTACCAAAGGCAAATGGACTTGTCCTCCTGTTTCCAAACACTGTGCCCTGATCCTGACCAAACATTGGATACCTCTGTCCTGGGCTCTGACCAAAGTCAAACCCGCCTTGCTGCACCTGGGGTGGTAATGTGTTGAATGCGAACGGGTCTTTGGCTGATGACTGCTGAGTGAGGCCCAGTTGTGATTCATGCAGAAGATATGCTGTGTTGTCTTTGGATTTAGCAAGGGCCCAAGCCTCGCCATCTTTGTTCTGACAATACTGTTCTATGCTGTCAGGGTCTAACTTTACCCAGGTACCCTCTACATTCACAACCTATTGTAATAATAGTCATTAAATCACATTTCATTGAATTGGATTATAAAGCAAATTTGAACAAAATCTATTCATTACATTTATAAACATAATTGTGTTTGTTAGTATAACCGATAGAATTTCTTATGACAGTTAAACTGGAAAAAACTACCCTGAACAATAATAGTAAATCTTTTTAACAAGTGTCCTAAAATTAAAAACTTACCTCTTCAATAACGCTGACTTGGTTACCCATGGTAACACGCCCTACAGGTGTAGCTTTCAGGTTAGGACGGTTTCTAATATTATGTCCAAATGATCCACATTTGATAACTTCATATACACCAGGCCCTCCTGTAAACATTATAAATATCAGTAAGTCATTACCAAAACTATCTACAAAAGTAACCCAATTTTTAATGGTGTGTGCCACTCTGTGCTTCCTTTAAGGAATCAGCATGCGATGGGGTACTCCCACTGAAAATCCATTAATTCTAGCCGGATAGCCTCTTCCTTTGAAAATATGAAAATTCTCTTGCAAGATTTAAACCAACAGCAATAAGGGGAAAGTAATTTTATGCAAGCTATCTTAAGCATACATCCACAGATGCACAAAGTAATGAGATAAGCCAAAATATTATAAACATAATTTTCAAGAAAGATAAAAAAATATAAATAAATAAATAAAATTTCAGTACTGACCTTGAACAGGTTGTGTTGTTGGTTTCTGACCATATATTTGGAACTTTTTCACAGTTTCTGTGAGTATTTCATCAATAATTGACTTGGGTTCTTCAAGGGGTGCAAGTAGTGTTTTTCCTAGGTGTTGATTATACTGTAACACCCAGGCATCAGAAAAGCCATTGTTACACCATTCTTTAATACTGTCAGCACATAGTCTCAGCCATACTCCATCATCATTGTGTACCTTCATAAATAATTTGTTTATCATTGTTTTATGTAGTTTTCATTCATTTTACATAATATATAAAAATACAACTTCTTCTCTTGAATTCCACCATGATAGACCTTTCAAGTGTTTACAGTTTTATGTAAATTGGCTAACTTGTTATCCAATTGCTACACTGAGATAATACAAAGTCACTGGTTGACCTGGTTTGCACAAAAGAACACATGGTTATGTTTGTGATACTGTTTGTAAGCAGTTGACCTAGCAATGAATGAAAAAGGTGTGGCTAAATGTTCATCTACGAAAAACCAGAAAGGTTCATTCACCTTACTCCAAATGTTAATATCTCTAGTGTATGATTATACAATACATGTGTGTGAACTATTGTAAAAAGGAACATCTACATCATATATAATATCATGAAAGACATTAATTTACTAAATAACGTAAAGTAAACTGCTTGTTTATATAAAGTCTGTTTCTTTTTCAGTTACTAAAGGGCTTTAAAGCATAATTAAAAGTTCACTACGTATCGAGGCAAATTTAATTTCAAACCAAATATCCAAAAAAATGAAATCTGAAATAATTTTATTCCAATTACCGATGGATGTTTATTTACATACAGACATGATATACATATAAATTCTCAAAACAACTTTTCAGCTTTTATATGCTAATTTTGGTTTCCCTGGGTAAATTATTTCAAGCACTGTTACCTACTATGGTACATCTTTAAAACCAGGTTTTTATTTGGCTTTGATTTAAGTCACACTAAAACTGTTCGGGTCATATAAAGATATTTCTACTTCACTGACTGGGGAGCAGACCCAAACGGTTTCTATGTGCATTATATTAGGCATAAGCTGGCATCAGGGTAAAACCATCTACCTCCTGAAGCTTCCTCAAATGAAAGAATTCCATATTCCTGGTTGGATTCAAACCCATAATGTAGTGAGAAGCACATGTTACAGTGTCAGCATCCCTTACTACTATGCCACAGAACCACCTGTATGGCTTCCTCACATGAAAGTATCCAAATAAATGTACTTTATCTTGGTTTGATCATATCTTTGAGTTTAAACCTTAATGTTGTACAAGGTACCCTAAATGCTTCTCAGCATAGGCAATATTCAACATTTAAAGATTGTGATATAAATCATATCATATATTTCACTGATGATTATCATCTAGCATACTCACTTCATCCATAAATGAGATAACTCCCTCTGGTTTAACTATACCAATCTGCTCATTATCTAACATACTTACTTCATCCATAAATGAGATAACTCCCTCTGGTTTAACTATACCAATCTGTTCACTCTGTAATGATGGATTAGTTCTCACTCTCAGTCCAGCACTGTTCTTACCCACAAACTTTCTCATCTATAAACAACAATTATATCATACATTATACAGAATATACTATACTGTAGTAAAAGTCCTAAATTTTGAGAGAAAAAAAAAGACAGGTCAAATTGTTTTATTGTGAAGAGTGTTTTTTTTTTTATTTATCTAACAAAAAACTCACAGTCATTTCACCTTATTTATATTGTTAGTTAAATATACATGACACAAGGTTTTTGTTTATACAGAATTATTTTAGTTCGATTGCGTATGAAGCTATGAGCTTATAGACACACTTTTTGATCCATTTCTGGAACCAAAAACCAGTACTGTGCAATGAGTGTAAAGTTTCTTGCTCAAGGAAACAGCAACTTGCCCTGGAAGGGGTTTGAACCCATGTGGCTAACGACTATTAGATTACTAGTTCCACCCGTTAAGCATGCTGCCGCATAAGGTTTTGTCCCTCCTTTACTTTGCAATTGTAGCTAGAGTGAATCCACATGTTTACTTTTAATTAATTGTTATAATCCTTTTTGTTTTCTCACTAACATAACTGCAAAGAGGTTGTCCCTCACCAATTTACTTTCAATGTAATAATAAATATTAAGTTCTTGTCACCTTTACTTTAGTATTACAGCTTAGTTCATCTCTACTAATTCATAAATTGTTAAAATGCCTTTAGATCTTGGTCCCTTATTTTTTGATAATACATATAGAAGCCTAGAGTATGCAGGCCTTTCTTAAATATGTTACAATAGTTTTAAAGTCTTGTTGTATAAGTTTATTGATAAGGGCATGTCCCATTTGCAATACTTTCTTTGTGAAAAGGTCATTTTCTACCATTTTTAATAGTTTAAAGCCTTACACTCCTTCTTTACTTTGTAATAAAAACCAATTCTTAATTAATTGCTAAAGTAACTTAGATATAAACTAAGTTATCTTATTTTTTTTTTAATTAAATAATTGTTAAAGTAACTTAGATATTAACTAAGTTATCTTATTTTTTTTATTAATTAATTGTTAAAGTAACTTAGATATTAACTAAGTTTTCTTATTATCTTTAATTAATTAAATGTTAAAGTAACTTAGATATAAACTAAGTTATCTTATTATTTTGAATTAATTAATTGTTAATGTAACTTAGATATAAACTAAGTTATTTTTTTTTAAATTTATTAATTGTTAAAGTAACTTAGATATTAACTAAGTTTTCTTATTTTTTTGAATTAATTAATTGTTAAAGTAACTTAGATATTAACTAAGTTTTCTTATTTTTTTTTAATTAATTAATTGTTAAAGTAACTTAGACATTAACTAAGTTATCTTATTATTGTTAATTAATTAATTGTTAAAGAAACTTAGATATTAATTAACAATAATCTTTTTTTTTAAATTAATTAATTGTTAAAGTAACTAAGTTATTTTTTTAATTAATTAATTGTTAAAGAAACTTAAATATTAACTAAGTTATCTTATTCTTTTTCTTTTCATTATTCTCTCACACCTATGTTTAAGAGTGTAATTTAAAGAATTAAGAATGTTTTCAATTAAAAAAAAAAAAAAAAAAAAAAAAAAAAAAAAAATTAAAAGTGCTGAATGGCGTAGGTGGAGAACATGGAGTTTAACCACAAATTAATCACAAGTTTGGTTGATATAACGAAGTATCCAGCCTACCTAGCCAGCACACTTTATACTATCAATTTTTCAAATATAAACCTTCTACTTATTTCTTGTGTATTACGATAGTACACAAATACACATTATCTGATGACATAGTACACTGATTTATACAGTAGACGATATTTTTAAACCCTTCCATTCAAACATACAAGTTAAAGCTAAGTATCGGTACAATACTATCAACATTATAGTGGATATCAATACTTGACATCTATATATACAAAACCGTATATACGGTCCAACGTAGATTTGAATATAGGGTTAATTTTAAAGTGTATAAATCTATATATCTGCTGTTTATAGTTAACAATTTTTTTATTGTATTTTAGACAAAGAATAATTCCAAAATATCCTTATGAAAGTAATATGTTTGAGGAGTGAATTGTGCATGTATGAATAGTAAAAACTACTAAAATAGCAGTATAATATTTTGTTCTGTAACATTTTATTCCATTGTATTTAAAGCGAAAGATGAAACAAAATATGTTTTTTATTCACTTCAAATAAAAAAGTGTTTGTTTCTAACAAGCTTTGAGAATGTTGCTTTATCTGTTTTAAATATAACTTTAATTTCAAGAAAAAAATGTGCTGAATTGCGTAGATGGAGCACATGGGGCTAACCCAAAGTTACTCAATGATTCAAATTAATCGAAGTATCCAGTCTACTTAGCCAGCACAATGTAGGTAGATAATTTTACCAATATAAACCTTCAACCGATATCTTGTGTTATACGTTCTATTCAAGTACACATGATTAGCTTACATTGTACACAAGGTTTAACCAGCAGACGTCAATATTTTAACAATCTATTTAAAGTACTTATGTAAATATCAATATCACCTGGATTTAATGAACAATGGTGATAAGTTTCAATAATTCAAATTGTTTATGCATGTATTTAAACTTTAAGTGTCATTGAGTAAAAATACAAAAAAAATATGCTAGGTTTGTATGCATCACCAAACATGATTTATATCAGTAACTCTTCTTTATAAATTAATTTATCACTTTGTTTATTATATTTCTATTATCTAAAATCATAAAACATATTCCTGTTTTGTTACAATTATAGAAGTTTATTTAAGTTTATTCTTTCAGTTCACTCTTGTTTTATTTATACCAACAGTGTCTTAAATCAAGCATAGGGTTATAACATGTGCAGCTTCATGTTTATAACCATCGTCCATGGTGTTACATTAATAATGAGATTTTTTACCAAATGAAATATTACAGATTTTTATAGCATTAAACCCACTGAACAATACATAACATTTATTTATAATGAAAGCTTTTTAGGCTGATATGGCATTTTAGAAGAGACAATGATTATTTTCCTACTTCTAGTTATCAATAAAAATGTTTCAAAAATTATCATTCAGGATAATACATACAAATACAAACAGTTTATTTTACATAAAGCATAAAGCAATGCTTAAAACAAATATAATACATATAATGTTTGGAGATCAAACATGGATTTTACAGCAGACAATAATGATAATAATAAGGAATATTATATTCAATATTTCTTTTCTTTATGCATGACATTGTATAACCTACAAAATTCCTGGTGTTAACCTACTATATACAAAAAAGATCCCAACTTCATTTGTTCTACCAATTTCCTTAACATATAGTAAAATGATTAAAGATATGAAAAGTACAACACTTGTATTACAGACAAGTAGCAACCCAATTATTGCACTCTGCAAATTGTCTCATAATGGTGATCACTTGTGCCAAGTTATTTAAAAAAAATTCCAGCAGTTTTAAAGTTATGGAGCAGACACAAATTTAGGCTTTATAACCCTTGATATTTAGTTGTGAGCTTGACCTTTGGGGTATCAACCCAATTATTGCACTCTGTAAATTGTTTCATAATGGTGATCACTTGTGCCACGTTATTTAAAAAAATTTCCAGCAGTTTTAAAGTTATGGAGCAGACACGAAATGTAGGCTTTATTACACTTGATACTTAAGTGTGAGCTTGACCTTGGGGGTGGCAACCCAATTATTTTGCACTGCATATCAATGGTGATCACTTGTGCCTAGTCACAGACACTAGGGTTGTGGAGCTCAAAATGTATTTAAATTACAAATAAAATGTATATTTGTCACTCCCAGCACATGTACTAATCATATATATAAAAAAACTTAATATAAGCTGTTTCGAAAAAATTTAATACTTTAACATCTAATTATAGAGATTTCAAGATCATGCACAAAAAACGTCAACTTTTACATACCTGTTTTCTCTGTTGTCTCTTCAATGACTGAGTGGGTGGGGTAACACCTTGTGGTGGTTCCTTCACCTCAACCTTGTACGTCTCACCTGTTGACATAGAAATGGAAAAAAAAAATAACACAATATTGCAAGAAAAAAAGGGTCATGTACAATTTTTTTGATATTTTCTAATATTCTAAAAAGAAAACTATCATTAAATACTATAAAGAAAATGCATGTACAATTCTGCATGAAAAAATTAAAATGTACAAATATTCATAAAACATAAATAAAAATTCACGCTGTATCAATACAATAAACATGTTTGGTTTATTTCAAACAAACAGAAGTACAAATAATGAACAGACCTGTTTCAAATCCATCAATAGTGACAAATATGTTATAGAATCCTATACTGCTAGGTGTCCAGTTAGCATGATAGGTACCATCTTCAGCTGACCTCACCAACATGTTCTCACTGGGCCGGGGAACAGCTGGGGCCGCCCAACGCAGCTCTTCAAATGAATAGTTCTCATATGCCTAGAATATTTAAAGTTACAAAAAAAAAAGTCTAGTGTAATACTTTATTTAATTAGTCTCTCCCCTAACATTTATCATCAATCTTTATTCTAAACCTCCTTTGAAGATTAACATGAGTATATTAATACTAAAAATGCACAATGAGCTAAAAAAAACACAGAAAATATAAAGAAATCTCCAATCTCATAGAAGCCTTAAAACTGAAAACAGGTTGTTTCATAATTACACTACAGGAAATTTTATAGATTTTCGTCAAAATTCTCCTATATTTCTGCATCGCTTACTTAACCACTTACATCTATAGTACTGTACAAAGGTAAGTTAACTATGAATGATCAGTAACTTACTTTCATCATACATATAGCATGGAAGGCATCCTTCTTGTCTTTGACAGTAACTTCATACGGTGTATCTAGACAAGGTGGTGGATGACCTCCAAATGTTGTTGTTCCCTCGTCTGGCCGGCTAAGTCGTCGCATACGTTTATACTCATCTCCTGAAGGATCTAGGTCAATGGGTACAGCTCTAACCTCAACCTGGCAAATATAAATACATCTGTAAAAGCAATTATATTTTCCTATCTACCAATAGCATGTTGTTTACTTATGCTTCAAAATAATACTTGAGTAATAAATAAGATATAGTTACGTTAAAGCAGCTTGCCTCCATATTCATGCTAATTTTCATGAATTTTTTTTTCCAATGTATAAAAAAGAAAAATATTGTAAAGTGAAAAAGACATTTATTTACACAAAGCAAAAGGCACTTCCAATCCATGTAAAATAACCAAATAAAGGTCAAAATATACAATAAGAGCCCTTACTGCAGAAGTCATGCAGTAGAAATAATGGGGATAAATACTGTAAAGCCAGTCATTCATTGCATATAGCATGTAAATCATTTTTTGAATTGTAAATATTTTTACTTTTCTAAAAATCATTGTACATTTTTCTCAAAGTTGATTTTCTTGAAATGTTTTGGCTCCTCTTGAGGCATGCAGCTTTAAGGTAGTACACCCCTAATGCACTGTCTCCACTTTGAAGAGTATTCAAATAGGCTAAAATCACTGTAAAGTGTATTGAAACTGAGGGGGCGTGGGTTCAAACCCCAGAAGGGGCAATTTTTTTTTCTTTCTTTTTTTTCTTTTTAACATTTTTTGTTAATCTCTCAGACCCCCGATGGAAGAAAAAAGTGTTTTATTTTAATTATATAATTATTGTAGGTATTTATTTACTAAATAATGCCAAATTTAATAGCAAATATGATACCAGATATTTTCAAAGTTTAATAAAATAAAAACTAAACGGTAAAAGTATTTTATATTTTGCAAGACCAACCAATATACATTAAAGAAAATTTAGGCAAACTTTGAAAATAGCCCCTCATTTTGGAAAATTTTAGAGATATTTTAAATAAGGCTTTTTACATAGGGAAATGGTCAAATTGGTGTTAAAAGTAGGTGGGGTAGGGTTACATTTTTATACATATTAAAAACATTTCGTTTAAAAACAATCATTTTGCTTGTTTAATTTGTTACCTAAATGTCATTATTTATTTCTTAACAATGAGCAAAAGGAAAACATTTTTCATAATGATGATATTATAGATTATTTAGAGTTTCCTCATTTCTGAAAAAGTCCCTTCTAATGGCAAAGTTTTAGTTCATAAAAATGTCTATAACTCATAAACCACACGGTAAATTTTGTTTAAATTTTGCATACAGGTGGCATTTAAGGCATATAACTGTCCTATGTTGTCAAATTTACAATTCCTTATAGTGCCCATTAGGGGTGTACTACCTTAAGGTAAATCATATTTGAATAAACCATGATAATATGTAGCTTTTGTGAGCAGAAGCTCTTTCAAGAAAAGACAAGTAAGTCTGAAGTATGCAATTCATAACAGTTAAAGCGGTCTGGTGTTGGGTAGACTGAAACAAGGGAGTTGTTTAATACAGGGGGTTTGCGTAGGCAGTCTTGATTGTATCATTTTGAAATCATGAAATTTTTTGGATGAAGACTACCAGTTTATCTTTTCAAGACTTGTTACCTTGATGTCACTCTTTTATAAAGTATTAATACTTGCACATAAAAATTACAATCAACAAAAAGCAGAATGAATTATAAATACTAACCTTGAGATTTGGAGCATATACTTGTTGGTTGTATTGATCTTTTGTTAAGACTGTGATGATATTGGGCCAGCTACATTTTAAATCCTCCTCATTATACTGTATAGAACACTGCTTTGGGTCCACATATGAATCTGGTTGCAACCATCTAAAATTCAAGATACCATATTTATTATCAATGAAGCAGGTTACATATAAGATCAAATTTTCCTTTCAACCTCTGACTGTGTCACAGACTAAATTATTTTTGCTGTGCTGTCTTTATTTGTTTTGTTTACTTGAGGGGCACTTGTGTTAATCCCATAGAGGGCAGGGTAATTTTTTGATGCATCAGCACCTTACTGTTACAAACAACAAGAACTGTCGGAGGACAGTAACGCTCGACTATTCGAAAATTTGTCACAAGGGTGTTTCATTGAGTATAATAATGCTTACCTATATGAATATATAAAATTGTCCGAAAAGGTACAAACCCTTCAAGTTTCAATACATTCCCTTCAGTAGTAATGGAGATACAAGCTTACACACAAAAACTTAGCCAAGAATTTATGAATCGAAAAAGGGGCAAAATTATGCGAAAAAGTAAATCCAAGTTATGGGACTTGTGCCAATCATCTTAGATAATCACAGACAACAAGAGTGTGAAGTTTCAATCAATTCCCTTCAGTAGTTATGGAGATACCAGCTTACACGCAAAAACTTAACCAAGAATTTCTAAGTCGAAAAAGGGGCATAATAATGTAAAAAAGCAAATCAGAGTTAAGGGACTTGTGCCAATCATCTTAGATAATCACAGACAATAAGTGTGTGAAGTTTCAATCCATTCCCTTCATTAGTTATGGAGATACAAGCTTACACGCAAAAACTTAACCAAGAATTTCTAAGTCGAAAAAGGGGCATTATTATGTAAACAAGAGCTGTCAGAAGGACAGCGCGCTCGACTTTTTTAGTGCTTGCCTATAAAACAAAACTTTGACAGTTAAGGGCACACAAGACTTTAACTAGGAATTTCTAAGTACAAATCAAGAAACATTTTCACAGAGTTATCTTCTCTTGCTTACAGATAGGTCTCATGATGGCACATAAGAACTCCAACTTCCAAAGTAATATCTCAAATGGTTAAGTCAACAAGTGGACAAGAATGAAAATCTTAACTGAGTTTCTAAGTCAAAAAGGGCCATAATCAGACTTCCCGAAATACGTCGGTCCGACGGACATGTCCGATAAATTTTGATCAGGTCCGACGAGTTTTTACTCCGGATCGGTCCGACTGTCCGGCTTTTATCCAAGCCGCATGTATACAAAATGGCGTCGCTAAAGGTGACAAACCTTGGAAAAATTAAAAATCTACGTCAGAGGAACAGGCAGAACAGCAGTAAAAGGATAAAAAGAATAGATCTGAGACAAAATTTAATGAAAAATAGAAGCAAGACAGTGAATCGTTGGTGTATGATAGGGAGGAGATGAAAATGCGCTGTAATGAATGTGCCGATTTTTACGGCGAAAAAATTAAAAACAAAATGTGTCTTAGAAATACAAACACAAGTTATTCTTTGATTTTGATCAATTTTATTTGGTCCGACAGATTTCGTTTCGGTCCGACATATTTTCATGGTTTGTCAGACCAAATGTCTGACAGTTTTTTTCAACTTTCGGGAAGTCTGCATAATTCAAATAAAATCCTTAACAGAATTACCTTCTCCTGCCCATGTTTTGGGACCATGATGGTAAACAAGTATTCCAACTTTCAAATTAATATCTCAAACAGTTCAGTCAAAAAGTGGACTGGTACTAAAAACTTAACCAAGATTCTAAGTCGATAAAAGGCCTTAATTTTTAAAACAAATCCTTGACAGAGTTACCTTCTCTTGCGTACAGATGGGGGTAATGATGTGAAATAGCATTAAAAGTTTCAAAGCAATATCTCAAAGGGTTAAGGCAATAAGTGGATTTTACCCATATTCAATGTATTTTCTAAGTCAAAAAGGGGCATAATTCTGTCAAAAACCTTGACAGAGTTATGTCCTCTTGTCTGTTGATGAAGGTCGTGATGGTAAACAAGTATGGTCAGTTTCAAAGCAATACCTCCAATGGTTTTGAAATAAAGTGAGGTGGTACAAAAAACTTAACCAAGCTCAATACACTTTCTAAGTCAAAAAAGGGCCATAATTCTGTCAAAAACCTTGACAGAGGTATGTACTCTTGTCTGTAGATGGAGGTTATGATGGTGAACAAGTATGGTAAGTTTCAAAGCCATACTTGTAATACTTCTGAAATAAAGTGGGGTGGTACGAAAAACTTAACCAAGGTGTGACGCCAACGCTAACGCTAACGCCGACGCCGACGCCGGGGCGAGTAGGATAGCTCCCCTTTTCATAGAAAAGTCGAGCTAAAAAGCAAATCAGAGTTATGGGACTTGTGCCAATCATCTTAGATAATCACAGAGAACAAGTGTGTGAAGTTTCAATCAATTCCCTTCAGTAGTTATGGAGATACCAGCTTACACGCAAAAACTTAACCAAGAATTTCTAAGCCGAAAAAGGGGCATAATAATGTAAAAAAGCAAATCAGAGTTATGGGACTTGTGCCAATCATCTTAGATAATCACAGACAATAAGTGTGTGAAGTTTCAATCCATTCCCTTCATTAGTTATGGAGATACAAGCTTACACGCAAAAACTTAACCAAGAATTTATAAATCAAAAAAGGGGCATAATTATGCAAAAAAGTAAATCAGAGTTATGAGACATGTGCCAATCATGTTAGATAATCACAGACAACAAGAGTGTAAAGTTTCAATCCATTCCCTTCAGTAGTTATGGAGATACCAGCTTACACGCAAAAACTTAACCAAGAATTTCTAAGTCAAAAAAGGGGTATAATTATGCAAAAAAGCAATCAGAGTTATGGGACTTGTGCAAATCATCTTAGATAATCACAGAGAACAAGTGTGTGAAGTTTCAATCCATTCCCTTCAGTAGTTATGGAGATACCAGCTTACATCCAAAAACTTAACCAAGAATTTCTAAGTCAAAAAAGGGGCATAATTATGTAAAAAAGCAAATCAGAGTTATGGGACTTGGGCCAATCATCTTAGATAATCAAAGAAAACAGGTGTGTGAAGTTTCAATCCATTCCCTTCAGTAGTTATGGAGATACCAGCTTACACGCAAAAACTTAACCAAGAATTTCTAAGTTGAAAAAGGGGAATAATTATGTGAAAAAGCAAGTCAGAGTTATGGGACTTGTGCCAATCATCTTAGATAATCACAGAGAACAAGTGTGTGAAGTTTCAATCCATTCCCTTCAGTAGTTATGGAGATACCAGCTTACATACAAAAACTTAACCAAGAATTTCTAAGTCGAAAAAGGGGCATAATTATGTAAAAAAGCAAATCAGAGTTATGGGACTTGGGCCAATCATCTTAGATAATCACAGAGAACAAGTGTGTGAAGTTTCAATCCATTCCCTTCAGTAGTTATGGAGATACCAGCTTACATACAAAAACTTAACCACAGGGACGCCGACGCCGACGCCGACAAATGGGTGACTGCATTAGCTCGATTATTCTGCGAATAGTCGAGCTAAAAATGCGTGTCAGAAATCTTCTTTTTTTTTCAAACTAAGAATTTAGCTACAGCCATCTGAAATTGATATAAGTAACTCCTGTTCAAAATTATTGACTGGTACTTATATTAAGCATATCCTCAAGTTTTTTTTATCTACTTTATTCATGTGACTACACATAACCTGTCCAAAGAAGTCTATCAATAAAATATAAAATGTCATACATTTTATACATTTACTATGAAAACACGCTGAAAACAAATCAATGATCATACCTAGCTAATCTGCATCCACTAGTACCGTTTGTACAAGAGACGTAATCTTTGAGGAATGACCTCTCGTTACTCTGCCAGCAGAATGGTAGATTACCCTCTAATGCTTGTACAATAGTTGGAGGTCTCGACAGAGCAAATCCTTTACCCAGCAATTGTGAATGTTCACCAAATACCTGTAACAGTGATATAATCAGTTTATAACATTAGTTATGAAGATTTTTGACAGGTTATATGGCCCTATAAAAACGATTGTTTAAAATTATAACCCTCGCCACTAGGCAAGGCTGTAACTTGCCAAAAATATTTATAACATATTTATAATACAGCATCTTTTTCAGTGAGAAAAAAATGAGATTTCTTCATAAATTGACAGCAGCATTGTACAAAAAAGTCATGATTATCCAATGACATTACAAACGTACAAACGTGCAGTATTATAAGAAAATATATTAGTGAACCCCAGGAAATAAAGAATAAGAAACTATTTATAAACATAACTCTGCTCTAGATATAAGTTTCCTGCAATACTGGGATATTTTATTTAATGTCTTTTAAAAAGGGAACCAGATTCTATTCAGACATGCGCTTGTGTAAATAATAATGAGATTTAACAAACCATTTGTGCTGCTTCTTCAACATAATCCATATCTTCCTCTAATTCTTCAACTGAGACAGGAGGTAACATAATATCCTTCTTGATCAAAGATGAACTACACATTCCACCAAGGTAACTCAGTTCCTTCTCCAGGTGACATATTGTCTAAATATATATTTTATATTTTAAATTAAAACAATCCAAAAATATCTGTCTTGGTAGGACATGAGTTAATTGCCGAGTTTCAAGAGAAAATAAAGTTATAAACTTTCATTAACATTAAATGTTGTTTTCAAATAAATGTATATATATCAAATACCTCCGGAATTGTTTAAAGTTCCGAGCAATATTTAAGTGATACCCAAGAGAAGTTAAATAATTCATCAATGCCTATATTCAGTCAAAGTACTAACCCCTGTCAACAATTATTTGCAAACGTATCTTCACGAGTATCTTAGAGCCAGGCAAGAAGAAATAAATAGTTTAAGACAATGTCATCTTAAACTAATTTGCCAAAAGCAAATAAGCTATGTCTGCTGTTATGTCCCAAGGGACCATGCAGATAGAAGGTCAACAATAACAGAATTATCTTATTCTGAAATGGCTAATCCCTAATGAACAAAACAGGATAGGAATAACTGAAAATTGCAGACTTAATTTGAATTTTATGAGGCTAACACTGAATACAGTGCAATGGAAGTCATCTTCACTGAGATAAATTACAGTATGACAATCTTAAAATGCCAAACCACACTTAACTATTAGGTACATATAAAAACAACAGCACTGAGCAGGGAGGTGGTGGGTCTATGGCACAGTTGCCACACACAACATAACATCAACTATTGACATAAGACAAAAAGTGTTATCAATGAATCAACTACCTCTTCTGCTCCATTCTTCCATTCATACCCAACAATGAAGCACTTGAAACCATAGAAACATGACTTTTCATCTTTCACATAATCAGAAGCTGTCTCTAGTGAAAATATCACCTCATTACCTGTAATCATACAATTTCTTTTGAAAATATTTCTATATAAACAAGGAAATTGAACATAGATAATTGAAATTCAGTACAATTATATAAGACTGACAATAAATTTTGAAAAGCCATCATTATCTCTTCATGACTGATGATAAATTTTGAAAGCAATCACCAAAAATCACCCTCCAGGAGTTTGATTGAGAAGGACTGTGTGCATTAATGGATGTTAGTTAAATAAATATATAGAAGTGCAACTGTGTATGGATATCAAACTGCAGAGATATGAAGTAATTAGGGTAAAGATCTATGAATCTTAAAAAATCATTGCAAAATTTTATCACCATTTAAAAAGCACTATGGCATGGCATTTACATATGAGCTGTGTCACGACAAAATCCAACATAATGCGTTTGCGACCAGCATGGATCCAGACAAGCCTGTGCATCCACGCAGTCTGATCAGGATCCATGCTGTTCGCTTACAAACTATAACAAGTAGAGAAACTGATAGCGAACAGCATGGATCTTGATCAGACTGCGCGGATGCGCAGGCTGGTCTGGATCCATGCTGGTCGCAAAGCTATTATGTTGGTTTTGTCGTGACACAGCTCATATATATTCATACTCTAGGTCCTTAAATTCAAATAGCAAATTTACATCTCTAAAGCATATCAGCATACAAAATACCACCTACCTGGTATAACAACAGACATCTTTGGCCAAGTTGATGTTCCATGGAATTTCTTTAAAATAGGCCAATATGCCACCTTGGCTGTTTCCTGCTCCTCACCAATGATAGGTGCTGGTGAGGCAGAGGGCTCAAACTTCTGATAACCTGGTACAAACAGTTGTAATGTGTCCTCTGCCTGGGCAGTTCCACACTGGGAATCAAATTCAACTACCATCCATTTGACTGTATCCGGGAAGGTTACCTGGTGGTTAAATTGAGATATAGCACATCGAATAAAGTAGTTCATTAATTTACATATATCATGTATGAAATAGAAATCAAGAGAATGTAAATGAGGTGTTCTAAACCATGTTTAGTTGCTTATTCATGTGTTTTTTAATACAATTTTAACATATTTTTGGTCAAATTTTGGGGGCCATTCCTCCTAGTCAACTTTCCTGGATATCTAACCAATAATAACCCATTCTCTACAATTGACCAACTAATAATCTCAAATAATTTCTGAATCAGCAATGGAAGACAAATTATTGTTAGACTCAAATATTTGTCTGAGATCAAATTATGTCATAGAGAAATATTTCGGCACCGCAGGATCAAACCAGTGACCACTGGACTACAAATTTAGTGCTCTCTCTGAGCAGGTGATCAATTCAAAACCTTTACAAAACAGCAGTTTTAAAAAGTATCACAGTGAATTGAACTTAAGTCTGGTCTATTTAAAGGTCTAGTCCCAAGGGTTGTTGTGACCAAGTATGTAGACAATACAACAAGAACTTAAGAAGTTATGATCAAGTTTAAAGTTTGCGGACGGCAAACTGATCGACATGACTGTAACAATACCTTTATTTTTTTCTTAAAAAAAACAAAAAAACTTGAGCTAAAATCTTTGTATTTAAATGTAAAAGAAACACCTACCTTATAATTAGCTACAGTAGCAGGTTTGTAGGGGTGATCACTCTCTAGTATAGTATAATGTTGTGATGTTGTACCGTTAGTTACCTCCCCTGTCTCGGATTTAGGTGGTGCAGGAAATACCTGGGTTATCAACGTTGTCAGGGCAGGTAAAATCTCCTGTATTAACCCCAACACCTGCACAGCTCCCTGCAAAAAAATATATTGTTTCTTTTAATATAATGAAATATGCTTTAAAAAATATTGTTTTGTAATATTTTATTAAATAACACTATAAAAAAAACTGACACTTGGAACATAATAACCTAAAAAGTTTCTCACTAAGGCTGAAGAAAATATTTTAAAATTACTTTTGCTTAATTTTTTTATTTTCTAAATTTTAAAGTTGTTTCAAGACATTATAGAAAATATCATAGAAATGGAAATTCCTGTTAAAAACTGTTAATTTTCAATGAAGTTTCAATTGTATTATTTAACTAACTATAAATTGACCAAAATAGTATATATGTACATGTATTATGAACAATCGCCAAGTCAGTCCAGTACTGATATAACTAGAGGATGCTTTTGTAAAAAAGCGCATGTCTCCCCCACTGCTGAGAATAACTGTGAATGGAAACAGGAATGGAAATGGAGAAATTGACCAACGGTCACTGTGACCTTGACCTTTGACCTACTGACCCCAAAAACAATAGGGATCATCTGCTCTATAAGACCAATCATCCTATGAAGTTTGAGGGCTGTAGGTCAAAAGGAACTCTAGTTATCATCCGGAAACGAGAAATTGACCAATGGTCACTGTGACCTTGACCTTTGAACTACTGACCCCAAAAACAATAGGGATCATCTGCTCAATAAGACCAATCATCCTATGAAGTTTGAGGTCTGTAGGTCTAAAGGAACTCTAGTTATCATCCGGAAACGAGAAATTGACCAACGGTCAGTGTGACCTTGACCTTTGACCTACTGACCCCAAAAACAATAGGGATCATCAGCTCTATAAGACCAATCATCCTATGAAGTTTGAGGGCTGTAGGTCAAAAGGAACTCTAGTTATCATCCGGAAACGAGAAATTGACCAACGGTCACTGTGACCTTGACCTTTGACCTACTGACCCCAAAAACAATAGGGATCATCAGCTCTATAAGACCAATCATCCTATGAAGTTTGAGGGCTGTAGGTCAAAAGGAACTCTAGTTATCGTCCGGAAACGAAGAATGGACGGACGGACGGACTGACGGACGGACTGACGGACGGACAGGGCAAAAACAATATGTCTCCCCCCGAGGTGGGGGAGACATAATTAAAATATAGGAACATAAGACTACCAGTCGTACAGTTTGACTCAAAGATTTTTAGGTTGACAAAGACTCGTAAATAACAAGGCAACAACTCCATTATTTACTTTTGGTAATGGTTTCCTTTAATTAAATACTAGTATAACATAGCCTGGTATTATAAAAAAACTAATTTGAGGCTTTTATTTTACTGTTTTCAAAGCTGTTAAAACAGTAAAATAAAAGCCTTAAATTAATCATTATAATTCGAGGCTATTTATTATCAACATACCCTTGGATCTTGTGATGCTACTGGTCCAATGTAAGCTAGACAGAGTGGAAGGAGGGACTTGAACAACTGTGAAGAACCAAGAGTATCCTTGACAACCTCTGATGGTATACTCTGTGCTCGCTGTAGTAAGTCAGTGGCCACTCTACATATTGCACTCACTATATCTATACCATTCTTCCTAGCCTGAAGTTCAGCCAAGTTCTTTGTATTCTGCTGGTGTTGCTCACCTTCTTGTGGAGCACTGTATTGTACGAATCAGAAAACATTATTTTACAAGCTTGAACTAACTAAAAATATAGTCAAGTATAAAAGAGGCCATCTGAACATGCTTAGTATAATAAATACATCATTCTTTCTATGTTTTCATCTAAAATGCCACTGGGGCTAACTTACGACTTTATTCGTTCAGAACACATATCTTACTGTAGGACTTTAAGAACAGCCAGTATACAAACTGATACTATAACAGCTTTGTTTAAGAAAAAGTATCGGTCTCAGCAGTGTTTATCGGCAATCTTACATAAGTTTGGAGGTTTTAATGCCAGGGATTTTACCACGAAGGCTGCAGGCAAAATCAGGAGGAATGTTTGAATATAAATATTAATACCTGTAATATAATATTTGAGGAATTTGTCCTCTCATATGATTGGTTCCATTACTACTGAGGGAACAAGCTGTAAATGTGAAGGTGGTGCCATCAGGACATTTGACCTTGCTTATACCTCCATCACCATTAAATGTTCTCTGGAAACCACGGTTACGAAGACGGATTGCAAACTTGACTCCTTCCTAAAATCACATAAACATCTCATTATTGCGAGTCAAAGAAAAGCTTAAGGACATGTATAACTAACATTTAAGAATCTGTAAAAGTATATACCTGTCTAAAATATCTTTACAGTGAAATAAGTTTACCTAAAAGTGGAAATTTCTGTTTCCTTTCAAAAGCAAACTAATAACACATGTAAAGCCATTTGACTATATCAATGGCCAGATCATCCTGTAGTAAGCAAGTTATGAATTCACATAGAAATAATATAGATTAGAAATAATCGCTCCTTGAAATAAAAATAGACATTCTTCCATATACCCTGACAAACACTCATCACAAAATGAGCACTTGTTTATACAATGTATTTGCCTTATAAGGTTCTTACTTTAATAGGAATAGGTTTATCAAACTTGATTTCTGCTAATTCATTCACACAATCTTCAGGACCGTATGTTCCTTTAGCAATCTCAATACTGTGCCATCTTTGTGTGTGGGACGGTTCAGCATTCTGTGCACTGCTTTGCTATAAGTCAACAAACAAAATAAATATCATATTCCAATGCAGTAATGCTAAATAATGCAGTAACTCTAAGCACTATTAGCAATAGTTGCAGACTTAGCTTTCATATCAATGCAGTGTGACCAAACTCTACTTTAATCAACTTCTATATATAGAAACTAAATATGAAAAAGAAACTTTCAATTACTTAAAAATAATAATTAACAGTTCTAGATAAGAAATAGGAAAAAACTATTCCAGTAACAAATTAATCATTTATATAAACTATATAAACCTCATCAAGGAGTTCCAGTTCATAGTTGTAGGCTCCCTCCCCTCCATACAAGCATATTCCTGCTATTACGATGCCCGGCTTGTCAACCATAAACTCTATAGCATCCGGGGAACCATTCCCTGTATTCCAATACGCTGTCTGACTGGTACGTGTAAACCTATTAGGAGTTACCAGCATAGGTCTTGTTGTTGATGTTACATCAGTCTGAAATCACACAAGGTTCCAATGGAAAACATCAAAATATCTAATATGTAAATCCATGAAACTTTAACTGATTTGATACTAGAATTCCAGTTTTTGGAGCTTGATATGTGTTGGGTCCCCAATGAGTAAACAAAACTACTTTTACTTTTAGAAGAAAGCAACAGATGTACAAAAATTATGTCTAACAACAATGGGACATAATAATGAAAGAAAATGAAGGATTGATTAAAGGAAACAAATCAATTTTCTGACAACAAGCAATTAAAAACCATTTTATCATTGTTATTTAAGTTGTTATATAATTCATCTAGAATATGACCTCCAGTTTACCTTTGCAGTAAGCCTTATTCATAAAATTACAACTATGAAACACACTATTTGTCAAATAAAAGCTGCATTCTTAACCTAAAATATCTACAGTTCAAAGCTTGTGCTTACCTCTAATCCGGTTGCAGTTGTAGCTAGTTCACTGACTATGGTAGATAGAAGTGAGCAAGTGTTGGCAACAAGTACACTAGGGTACGGTGACTCGTCTCTGATCAGTGTTTGTCGTACTGGGTATGACACAATCATTAATAGACGATCTAAAACTTCCTTGAAAGCTATATGACTATTCCCAATTCCAGAAGTCTGAAATATATCATAATCAAAATATAGTAATTCTTTAACAAGACACATTATGCTTAAAAAACAAGTACGTTTTTTCTTCTTTAAATACAACAAAAGTGAGTTTTACAACATTTAAGTAATTGTTTTAGAGCATGAGAGATGCTTATTTTTTGAAGACAGTAGGGCTAAAAGTAAAATAGTTTGCCATAAAAGTAGCAAACTATAAAAAATGTAATATTTTGACTTCCATACAAAAAAAGTAATAACTTAAACAAATTGCCAAAAAGCAACTGAAGCAAAATGTGGTTCAGTTAATTGGCCAATGAGAAACTTTTTGAAAAACTATAACTGGAAATCAAAAATATATATTTTTTTTTTGAGAAATACAAATTAAGCATTTTCTGGTGCACAGTGTGCCTTCAATTATCTTAGCTCTATTCATAACAATGTTGATGAACTTTTGTAAGTGTATTACATGAAAGATTGTTACTGTATATTAAAATCACCCTTCAATCTGTTTCCTGGTCTAAATATAACTTGTATAACCTTTGTTAGTACCCCTAGAAGACTTGAACCCATTACCCATGAATTGACAAGCAGACATGTTAACCACAAGGCCAAAATACTCTCAAACTAACATTAACTGAAAGGATTTTCTGCACTTTGTCTTATCTGTGATTTCATCTCCATATAAATTTCCAAAAATCAATGGTAGCAGACTTCTAGCATTAAATATTTTGCCTGCAGCTAAACTATCATTGTAAAAACATATCCCCACTCCTCCAGAACTACCATAATGATCTTCTTAATAAAATTACAAAATATAATACAATAAACAAGCAGCATTTGAAGAACAAGTAAACACTTATCAGCACATACTAACCTCAATTCTGTTGGTCATATGATCAACAAGGAGAGGGAATCTGTGAATATCTCCCATTCTAGCTACACTATTTGTATTATCATCCATCACAACAGTTGACTGTTTACGTAAGATTTCCTCAGTCTGAGGCTCACAGTTGATTGGCATTATGTTTGTTAGTTTGATTGTTGGGTGACACATGGCCTCCATGATGGCAGCCAGTAAACGGCCATATCCTCCTGCATTCACCATACTCTGTATATAATAAATTATAAAAAATATCATCAAAATCAATAAAATGTTAAAATATAAACATTATTGCTAATTCCTTAAGCTAAACAATCTTCAGATAATTTGTACCACACTCCTCCAACCACATACCCTTTATAACCACAATATAACTACACATATATAATACACTTCAATGTTTTAATCATTAATTATTATCATCCGCTGCTTTCCTTTTGGTCTGATATATGGTGAGTGCTAATACAGGTCTGACTGTAATTACTACTCTCCAATATCAACTTACGCTTTGCTTTATTGTACCAATACCAAACACTTACTTGTTTTTCTAAACTTGTTATAAATCTGTGTTACAATAGTTATATTACATAGTAAAGAAGATATATGCCCTCAAAAATTAATCAGTTAGAACTCAGGTGGTATTTTATCAAGGATAACTTACAGGTTCCAGGTGTTGTAGAAGATCACACAAGCACAACCATTTGAGCATGCCTGTAGGATAGAAAGCATGAAAACATGACCGGAAAGTCAGGTGACACTCGTTCAGTATATCATTAACAAACGGTGAGGAGATCTGCGCCCCTGGTGGCTCGTCTACAAACACCTGGAACTTCAACAGGTTTGGTTTGATCTCGTCAGCTAGTATACGCCGCAGCAGGTCCTGGGAACTACCAACACAGTGTGCAAGTCTCTCTGTTTCTGCTGTCATCTTCTTTATCAATACTGTAATATAAAACTCTAATGTAAGAACATTTCAGTTATATGTAAAGATATTTACCAGAGCTCATCAATGTAAAACAATATCGATGCATTTTCAATATTTATTTGTCGATCTATAACCAAATTATATTTCATTTTTGATATTAATAGCCAACATCTTAGCAGCATGAATTTGTGCTGGTGGTATAAGCAATTCTGCTAGAATAGAACTGGTTAATAAAATTATATGAAGACATTTGAATTTGATAGACAAATTCTTATGGTGCTATATAAATGCAGTAAAAGCCTTGCTGGTTACACTTGGGAGGTTCAAATCTATGTACACAGAATAAATCTTACCTCCATCAGGATAGACTTCATTTATATAGGTTTTCAACAATCTAAGACATGCCCTGCTAATGTACACCAGCTTCTGTAGGTCTGTGATAGCCCCTAGATGACTGCTGCCACGTGATGTGTCCAAGTCCTGGGCTATAGAGTGAAATGTGTTCCAACTCCACTCCAGCAACTTCAATAGGGCTTCAAAATTCTCCTTCAAAGGAAAATGAATAATTGAGACATATGATATAAAAGATCTGTCAAAACAGGTAACACAAATAATATTATGTAACCAATAATTAGTTTGAATATCATTAATAACAGTTTTTAATTTATTAAGGGGAGTGGTAGCTTAGTGATTAAGGTGTCTGCCTTTCAACCCAGGGATCTTGGGTAGAACCACCGATGTTCCATAAGCTAGCTGGATAGCTTCCTCACATGAAAGAATTCAAAGACCCTGGCAAGATTCGAACCCATAGCGGTAAGGGGCAAGGGGTTTGAAGACAACGACCTTAACAACACGGCCACAGATGCTTCATAATCTTAAATAAAATTTTCCCTTTTAAAAATCCATTACCAACAGAGAAAATATGTTTATTAAAGTGACTAATATAGAAGTGAGTCTTACAGGTGACACAGTACACGAGAAATCTTGACTCAGTATAAGAGCTGACTCTGTGGTGTCGGATTTTCTTGGTACTGTTGTGTTATCTCGAGATGGTAGTCTATACAACAACTGTGGTATCTGACCAGCATTCACATCTGTACCGTTGTTGGATTTCTTGGAACCTTTAAACTTAAACACAACTCTGCAAACAATATAACAATATATTAATTTCAGTTGTCTGTACTCATTAGCTTATTAGAAAAACAAAATTTAATCTTGAGAGAAAAAGGGCATAAATTATCTTTTCTTTTTTTTCATTTATTTATTCATCTTTTCTATTCGGTTTTACAGTACAGGTCATATGGCGACTTTCCAGCTTAACTGGTGGAGGAAGATCATTATATCAGACACAAATGGGCACCTGAGTAGAACCACAAATTTTTTCATAAGCTAGCTGGATAGCTTTCTCACAGACACTTGCAAGGCTTTTTTTAAATAAATTATAACAAAAGAAAGTATCATAAACAATAATTATGCTTTATTCTTGCTTACTCAATAGTTTCTGATTTAAATTTTTTACACAATTCGTAAAAGATTGTAATGACTAGAGAAATATACAAATTAAAATTACTGTATCAAAGCTTTATTTAAATACCAATAATTAAATGTACTTACTGGTCTTCTGCAGTGACCACAGACTGACCATTAGAACCACAATCACTGCTAGGTCCAGAAATCTTGGCTAGAGCAACATACCAGCTGTGAGCTTGAAGAAGAACTGGCTCATCAAACAGCATTGGATACTTCTCCCTAGAACAAATTAGTTGTACAGTATTATATATAAGAAATAGACTAGTAATCAAACCCTAGAAATAATAGAATATAATCAATGTAAACTTGCCTCCTTAAAACACTCTTTTCATGCACTTCATTTGCTCAAATGAGAAAATAAAACTCTAGCCTTTAGAAACATTTTTTTTTTTTTATGTGGTCGTTTTCCTGAGGTGTATTTTAGAACAAGTTTGACTGTTAATACACTTGAAAGATTACGCAACATTTACTACCCTTGTTGGAATTTGGAAGGAAAATATGTTATATATGACATTCTGTTGGTCATGAAATATTTGTTTTAAAACAAATCTTAAATTTTGCCGAAGGGCTTACACTATTACACATAGTAAGTGTTTAGGTAACATGCAACCCCCCCCCCACCCCTCCTCCCCCCACAATTGTATTTTTGTGCATTGTATATAAAGGAAATACAAACATGATGACACTTATGCTTTGACTTATAAGAAACCTGTAAATTAACAAACTTTCATATACATATAAATGTACATATACCTTAGCCTTTTTAAACTTTAGTGGTCATGCACTTTTACACAATCTGTTAACTTTCTTATACATGTATTTAAAAAAATTTTGTCATTCAAAAAAAGAAATATCAGGTACACTTTATACGTTGTTATCCAGCTTTTATAATACCCCTGTCACATTGAATACATCATGATAAAAATTGAACTGACGCTACAAAGATACAAGACAGAAATTGTTATAATGAAGACATGGTATCATACCTGGCTCCACATTCAAAAGCAACTTCCTCTGATTCAGCAATCACCTCACCATCAGCCTCATTCTCCCCACCATCTGGACCAAGCTCAAATAACTGAAACAAATACACACATAGAAGATATTAAATGAGTGAAGGTTTAATAAAATATTTAATGAGCAAGTTGAATTTAATCATATTGTGCGAGCTTCTTGCGAGCATATTATTTTATTCACCAAGTTCAATAAATTTAGTATTGAACCTACATTGTATAAATATAATATTCTAAATATCTAAAATAGGAACGGTAAACTGTTTTCAATGACGCGCCTGTAATGTAACACCAACATTAGCACATTTTTAAGGTTTGTTTAAAATTAACACAATAATGTCACATCAAAGTGTTATTACATTTGTGTAATATCATTTTTTATTAAATGGCTTTATTACACTCTTGCTCCATGGTTTATGTGATAAATTGATATAATGCTTAAACACTTATATACATTTTACTTATCTATTAAAATCAAGTGACTAAAATGTGTCAGGATTTACACAAATATGTAGTGGGTTTTTTCCAACTAAATCAAGGTTTAACAATAGAATATTGTGTCATAATCAATCATGAATTTTTGAGAGCAACAAGAAGTTAAAATCTACCTAGCTTACAAAAGTTAATTGGTTCTACATATATATGTCTGAAGTATGGCACAGAGGAATATCTAACAAGAGGAAACTTCCAGCAATATATATGCATTGTCAATGTCATAACTATTAATCTCATAATGTTGAAAAAGAATAACAAACATTGAAAATTTACCTTGATTCTACCATAGTACTCTCCCCTGCCACCAAACAGTCCAAATCCGCCCAGTAGGATGTCTGTATCACACATGAACCGGATTGCTTCAATACTGTGACCAGAATAGCCCCATCCTCCACCATGATCTATATATAATTCAACATATTAACTATAAGAGCAGATTCTATACAACCCCTGTATACATGAACTGGTAAACTCACACACACAAACACACATACACTCATAGGAGGTCTCATTGCCAAACTATTCTAATTCAGCAACAAACAACATGGAAGTCTAATCACATTGCAATGTGTGCATCATCACTAGGGCTGGCCTGGGTATCATAAACGGTACATGTAAACTGTAGGATGAGTTAATCATTATCTCTGCAGTGTATAATCTCGGACAGAAAGTCGGATGGATGGCAAACTAATAAATAATAATAAACTATATAATGATATATTATATACTCACTCTCAAACCTGTTGACCACAGAGAAATCATCTTTATTGTATATCTTGGTTGATGCAGCTTTCTCCTTTGCTTCCTCCAACACAGAAAGATTGCACTGCTTTGCTATTGTCAGTGTATCTAAACAACCTGTTGAGATTTTCAAAACAAAATTGTTATTTTATTTCAGAACAAAGCTTTTTCATTAAGAGCCTTCAAAGTATGAATATCAAATAATCTGTCAAATCAGTAATGTTAAATTTCTTTTAACTTATCTGTTCCCTAAGTTGAATATTATCAAAACAATTTATCTTTAAGAATAACAGGCATTAAATGATCATTCATATGATTACAACAGTAGTTCAAATACTTTCTTTGTTTCTATAGTCACCACTGGTAACACCGCTCATCCATATGGTAGAGATTTATGTTGCACCAACACATTATCGGTCATATGGAAACTTTCGAGCTTTACTGGTGGAGGAAGACCTCAGGTGCCCCTCTGTGCATTATTTTAGGCACAAACAAGCACCTGAGTAGAACCACCAATAGCGGGATAGCTTCCTCACATGAGAGAATCCAAAGTCCCTGCCAGGATTCAAACCCACAGGGGTGAGATGCAAGTGGAGTCAACACTCTTAACCAAGGAACCCAAATGGCATTGAAGGTAGACGGTTTAATGCGTTACCACCATAGCATACACTTATTTTCTATAAAAACGGCTCATACCACCTACCTAGAACATGCAGAGCACAGTGAGATCTGGTGGCCTCAGCGCCACCTTTAATAGGGACAGATAACTCTGGTTTAAACAGTTCACATACAGTAGTATCCTCAGTCTTCAAGCTACGAGCCTCGGCTGCTATAACATTATAACACTGTATCTCATTGTTCTCCTGACTGAAACTACACACATATACAAAATGTTTATCTATAACATTTACTGAACATTAGCTTCTAACAACGAAAGTGCAGATTCGAATAAATAGTATGACTATAAAATATCTATCTTCAAAGGGCATGTATTGATATAAAAAGAAGTAGATAAGAAATATAAGACTTTAATATTAGAAATGTACATGAATACTATACCCTATAACAATCTTACACAGGCTGCTGGTACAGACCGGAGTATCTAGCTCGAGGCTAACTGTTTATGGCAGTAACGAGGCCGCTAAACAGCTACCCGATAGCTAGTTATTCTAGTCTGTTACAACAGCTAGTGTTAGATTTTTTTATTTTGCATGTTCAATTCTAATTATAATTCAAAAGGAAATTAGGAAAACTAATATTTTAATTAGCACTTTTTTCTTATAGTAGCATAATGACATCATTCTAAGAATGCAATTCAGGAATGACCTAGTCTTAACGGGTTTCAACATTTAATTTCAATACCAATTTAACAGGGCCCTGGTATGCTTTGTTGTACAGCCAGGATCTGTATGTATGATAAAGAATATGCTATATTGTCTTCATAGGGCAATTACTATACTATAAGATGAAGAGTTAAAATATCAGTACAAACCTCCAGAGGACATTATATACTGGATCTAGGCAAACTGCTTTACATGACAGGTCAACTTGCTCCCCACTTCCAAAACTGAAAATATAAAATACACTGAAATAACATATACTGATAACATTAAACATCCAGACAGACATAAGACTTTTCTTTCATGTTTGGTTTTTTTAGATGTTGCGCCTGAAAACATCAAAATATATATTGTGCATTGATGACACACTGGATAAATAACTAAGTTCAACGATCATAATTAATGTCTAAATACATATGACAAGAAAGAAAGAAACATTCAAACTATTTTATACTATACTGTGCTCCTCTTAGTTCACAGTATTTAACCTGAAGTAAATCAAACATCGATCTGTAACTGTACAAAAAATTGTTATCAGCCACAACTTTTAGGATTTTTTTTTTTCAGCTATAATACAAGGAAACAAAAAATATATTCTATCGAAATCACAATCGATGTGCCAGATATAGAATATGTGTCGGCCATTATGAAAACATTACATCATTTATTCCACGATAAATAGTGTTCATTTTTTTCAGGTTTGGTTAAAATTACTTCATATTACAGCCCATTTATATATTTATTATTGTTACTAATCTAAAACATTTAAAAAATAACGATTGATCCCGACACGAAGTTTTTTAAAGAATTCTCAAAGCTTTTTTCTAGAAGTGAGTAAAATGTTGTTGCATTTTACTAAAACACAGAATAAAAAGAAATTTTGCCTACAAACTTCATTGTTTAACAGTATGACTAAAATCAGCCATTTATTACCAATATAAACACCTGTCAGATGGAAAAGTGCCGCCATTGATCAATTTACTTTTATAAATGCTTACTAATGAACACTTAACTTTACTATAATACACAAACATATTAGTTAAAAAAACTCTGAAAACTGTATTTAAATGATGTAAATGTTTGTATACGTGTATATTCAAACAAAAATAAAATCTGAATCTCTGAAGGGTTCTACATGTATATAAATAAAATAGGGTTCAATATTTTCATACTGGAATTACCATGTAGATATTATCATAATAAAGTTGTTTGACTTTTTGATTTAAAGACACAAAATGAAGTATTTTTTTAAAGAATAAGAGAATGCGGATAAAATTATTAGATTTTTAACTTGCACAAGATAATTTCTAAGCATTTTGGTTTTTATTTTTAACACATATTTAATGCATTTATGTAATATTGTGTAATTAAAAGTTCCTTTGTAAGTAAAAAATGATCAAAGAACATCCTAAAAAGGGTATAAAGTGAAGAGATTATCACCTTTCATGCACACTTTATGTAAATTAACAATTAACAGGACACCTGTTATTAATTAGTTATCAACACATCAAAGGTACTTGTTGGTCACCAATTATCATATGCTTTATACCAATCACACACTTCCCTTTCTTATACTAGGCAAACTTTTAACACCTAATAAATCATATTGTTTCCTTAATTGAAATAATAATAATTGTTTGTAACAATGCAATTAAAGTTTACTATTTAAGCAAACAACAATCATTATACCCTTCTGTATTCTCGTATCCTGCTCATAATAACAGGGACTTAATAATTAAAATATATTACCAAAGCATATATTCTGATATACCTTATACAACAGTGAATATTGTATACATGGATTTTTAATTACAGTGAATACTTGGATAGCTAATAAACAGTGAATATTAATGGATTTTTAATTAAAAGTGAATACTTTGATAGTTGAAAATTACTTTGTGTTACCATGGAGATTGTACAGTATGTGAAACAGATTCAGGATTTATTGAAGTTACATGACAGAGCTGTTAAGCAGATCATTCTCTTAGGTATACATTAATTTATTTATTTTATACTTAGAATGATATTGACAAAGTTTTGCTTCAACTGAAATAGACCCTTAACATTATTCGGATCTACGACAATTCCAAGAAAGCTTCTTGATACAGTTCCATAATTAAAAGGATAAACATCTGATCAAATAAACAATAAAAAGAATATGGCACTAGGTTTCTCAGCTGTAACACATGACCAATTGATTATATAGAGGATATTTGTTTAGTGTAAGATCGGAATATATTTCATCAAGTGAGCACCAAAAGGTATATTTCACGTGTGGCACAGCCACAAGTGAAATGTGAACTTTTGGTGTTCACGAGGTGAAAAATATTTCGATCTTACATTAAATTTAACAAATTCTCTTTTTATTTTATGCAAATAAATGTTTAACAAGACAATTTAACCTAATACTACGAGGAAATCGCACCAAATAATAATAAAACATGACGTCATTTACAACATCACATCATTAAGTTGGTTTCCAGTATTGTGGCCGCTGGTATTTAACTGAAAGACTTAAAGATTATCAAATTGATAATTTCACTGTTTCAAACAGTGAATTATCAATTTTTTATTTCACTGATATATTTCTATAAACCAACGAAAAGCATATAATAAATTGTTTCATTCCATCTTAGATGATTATTGAACCATGTGTTATGATCGATAAGTGATCTACTTGATTTTCTTAAGGTAGACCATGGGTAATGGGAACCATAAGGAACTGTAAAATTGACAACATATGACAAAGTTTATATGTCTTTCAAGGTCACCTGTATGCAAAATTAAATAAAACTTTACCGTGTGGTTTCTGAGTTATGGATATATTTTTCTTAACTAAGACTTTGCCATTAGAAGGGCCAATTTTTCAGAAATGAGGAAACTCTAAATAATCTTATATAATCATTATATAAAAAAATGTTTTTCTATTGCCCATTGTTAAGAAACAAATAATAACATTCAGGTAACAGAATAACACAAGCAAAATGTTTTGTTTTCTAAAACAAAATGTTCTAAATATGTATAAAAAATGTTACACCCTACCCCACCCACTTATTAAGCACTAATTTTTACATTTTCCAATTTTAAATGCCTTATTCAAAATAGTCCTAAAATTTTACCATTGATTGAGGGCTGTTTTCAAAAGTTTGCCTAAATTTCTTTAAAGGGTCTTGATTGGCTTGATCATGCGCGAAATATAAATACTTTTACCGTGTCAGTTTTTTATTTTATTAAACTTTGAAAATATCTGGTATCATATTTGCTATAATTTTGGCATATATTTAGCAAATAAATAACCTACAAAAATTAAAATAATTTAAATCAAACCCTTATTTCTTTCAATTTTTCTTCCATAAGGGATCAGAGAGATTCATAAATAATGTTAAAAAAGAAAGAAAAAAAGATGCCCCTTCTGGGGTTTGAACCCACGCCCCTCATTTCAATGTAGTTTGCAAGAGATTTTTAGCCTATTTGAATACTCTTCAAAGTGGAGGTAATGCATTACCCATGGTCTAATAACACGCCTTTTAACGCCTTTTTCACCCCCCCCCTTTTTTGTTGTCTCAAATGATGAAAAAATGCCTTTATTTAGGCCCCAAACACTTGTTTTTGTTTGAGAAAATGTTGTTAAAAAAAAGTGACCTCTTTTTCGGCGCGGCCCCCCAACCAAAAGATACTCAGGGGGTGCCAGAAGGGGATGTGCCCCCTTCTGCTTTTGGGGGGTTGAAGGGGGGCGGGAGTCCCCCTCATCGCCAAGAAAATTTTGGACTTGTGAGAGGCTGTAAATGACCCCAGAGTGATCATAAAGGTAACGTTGTAACCAACGCTGAAAAGCATTTTGACTCTATCTCAATCCATTGAGAAATCTTTGCAGCACTTTGAAATCAATTTTGATGGAAAAAATCAACGCAAATAGTGATTTTTGGCAATTTTGAGATGTCCCCTCGTTGCCATGGTAACAGAAAATTTAAGCCTGAGCTGGTTGTTGCAAGGGCAATGGTCCAGTCAACATTTGTGCCAAGTTTGATTAGTGTTGAAGCAGTTTTAATAGTATTATAGCAATTTGAACTTGTAACGGGAGACTTTTCAATGAAAACAGCCATTTTTCACAAAATGCTCATGAAGCAATGGGTTAACTGTAAATTTAATCATTAACATTGTAAGTTTATTCTTGTTCTTTGTATAATCTAACATGTAAAATGCTTCTAGTCAGTTCATGGGAATGGCAAAGAATTAACATTAGAAGGCTATGTTTCTTTAATTAACACAAATAAGGTACAAAACCTGAGTAAAACTTATTGGAAGTATTTTATAAAATGAAATAATTTTGATAAAATTTGGGTCCGTTATCAATCAAGTTCAATGTCTGGTATACATTTTGTACTTTCATATTTCAATTACCTGAGTTTGACAATTTGTTAAAAGTTTTCAACAAAATTCAATGGAAATACTTTTTTTTCCATTTTAATAGCTTTTCTTCCTTCAATAGTTGTATTCTTTATATTCAGACATTAGCTTGAATTTTGGTGGTAATGGCTCTCTTCCCAAGCTATATTACAGTACTTGAATCAAAGGCAAAAAGAAAACAAAGGCACCCTTGACCAGTAAACCAGGGAGAAAGCCATTTAAGCAATGCATAAATATATTGTACAGTTCTGTTTTTCAAATGCTTGATTATATCTTATATTACAAATATCATCAACCATTTAAATAAAAAAATTCCAGAATATATTAAAATGGCAAACTTAAATACTATTAATAAGGCTTTGATAAATATCATTTAATCTTAATGTTAAATAAAAATTTGCTTAACTGTAATCATTTTAACATACATTTCAAGCATTTTAGAATGAGTAATGAGCTTTTTATGCAGGAGTTGGCTATGATATATATATATATATTTGTTTTGTATTTGACAGATGGTTACATGAATACAGCAAGTAGACAAGCATTTTACTGTGCTATCAATGGCTCTTACCTTCAAGTCATGCATCTAATGCTTAGGAAATCAGTTGCTCAGGGCATTAAGAAAATGTTGAAAATCTATCGCCTACATAAATGGTTTGCCGTACAGAACATTGTGCAGAAAGTGGCAAGATATTACCAGTGGCAGCATGGTATGAACATTCTAGCAAGCATGGATGAGTTTTATAGATTTCCAGATATGGGACGACTCAGTAAGGAAGATATAGCAGCCCAGTCTTGGGCTGTGTTAGACTGTGAATTTCATAGAGAGGACTGATGTTTTCCACGATAATTGGTTGAAATAACCTTGTAAAGTGCTCAGTGACTGTGATTTTATGATACTATTAAGGGTCTTATAATTATATTAAAAGTTATGAGTTATTTTATCAACTATCAATACAGGTGTTCTCATGTAGTTGTGAAATACATATGTATGTGTAACATGTGTAAAATGTGTAACATGTGATAAAGGCTATCATATCATCATTTATAAAAACATGAACACCTTTTTAATGTAAATACTGATGTTCATTATTTATTGCCAAATAAATTTTAATCTAAATCTGTATGTTTTATATTTGCTTTCATACATTACCCTGGTCTTTAACACCAAAACCCATGTTATTGTTGTCAACTATGGAACTTTGTTAAACATATTGTAAAGAGAAATACAGCATAGTTACTATTTCAGTACAGTTTCTTGCAACATACTACCTTATGTACATTATACCTTTGACCTACATATCCTGGTACTAGTTCAATATTTGAATTTGACCATTATTATAAACATCAATATGTCTGTAATAAACTCCAAATGCTTTGGTAATTAGGGCACTGTTCTATATATTTATTTCAAAGGAAGATTTCATATGTCAGAATTAAACATTAAATATACTGCAAGAATACAAATAGATGTATAACTTATCAAGACTGAATGAAAGTGCAAAACAGTCTACCTCTATAATGATGGCATAATTAAGTCATCACCATAGCAAAGTCTTTTAATGCCTTTTCTATAGTTTCAGGACAAATGAACTGGTGTTTTAATCATTTTTAAAATTGTTGTCAGACCTCTAAATATACCTGTAATTTTTTCTTTGAAATATCAAGGACTAAAAATGTACAGTTTATTGTTTTATGAAAAGGAAATTTTAAGTTTGGTTCATTTATGTATATTACTTAAACTTTCATAATTTTACTTTAACTGCTACATAAACATGTACTTATAGACTTAGATATGTTATAGTTATGTATAATTATGATCCTGAACAATCTTCCCTACTTTGCTAATGGCATTGTAAACTCATGAAAATCAAATAAAATACATAAAGCATCTAACATAAAGTATTATTAACAGGAACACTGGGCTTAACTGTAATGGTGAGTAGGATATAAAAAGCTTACAAACAACCATAAATCTAGTCAGATATGTCATACACCTAGAACCAACAGAAAGAAGTTTGGGCACAATTTTTGATAAAATCTGATAAATTGAGACCATTTTAAAATTCAAATATTTGAGTTTGATAATGTAGCAAGCTTGTAGCATATTTGAACTACACTCAAGTCTGCACCCTGGCACTCCCTGTCCATTACCCAATCAGACTCATTAAACCATTAGCAATCGGCTGAGAGATAGACGCCTTAACAACTAGGTCATCAGTTCTCCTCACATAAGTTTATTTGGTTGGGTTGTACATTTCACAAAGACAGTATTAATGTCATATGGCGACTTTGCAGCTTTACTGTCGGAGAAAGACCTCAAGTGCTCTTCCGTGCATTATATCAGGCACAAACGGGTACCCAAGTAGAACCACTTAGGATAGTTTCCTCACATGTAAGAATCCAATTCGAACCCACAGTGTTGAGGGGTAAACAGTTTGAAACCACTTGGCCATGGACACACCCTCACATAAGTTAATGAGTACCTAAAATATAGTTCTAAATAACTCAAGTTACATTCAAAATAGTCATTCTTGGTACAATTATGACTTTGATTAAAGATCTTTTAAGTTACATTCCAGTCAGTTAAACTTTGCAACAAATCTAAATTGGTAAAAGTAACAATTTCGTACAAATAAAAAGCTTTCAAAAATGAATCAACAATAAGGTAATCCAAACCTGGTTTAGAACAACATTCAAGTAACCAGAACAAAATTTTACTGATGTTAACTTAATGTCTGCAAAGTGTGTTCTATATGCCAAATTAACATCAATTATAAAATCAAACTGCGAAACATACAGAATGAGGCATCGTAAAATATTTTCAGAGTCCTCATCCTGCAGAACAACTTTTAAATCCAATGTGTAGGCATCATTTTTCTACTTGTCCTGCATAGAGTTCTCTTAAATTCTACTTGTAATTACATGCTGACAAGTGGAAGTTTCTATCTCGAGAATGACCACAAAATGAGACATTAATCTTTCCTGAATTGCCAAAATGAAAATATTGATAAAAGCTTATAGATTGCAGACCTTAAACTGAAATATATGTATGTACTGTATGTTTATATCTGTCCTCTTATACAAGAACAACCAGAGACCACATTTTGCAGAAATAAGTTAATAAGCAGTGTATTTAAATGATTAAATGAATAACAAGGAAAGACTATAATGCCTCTAGCAGTGCATAACTTGTTAATTATATAATAAAGGGGCATAAATGTGCCAGAAAATAACAGAATGTATGTATACGGTACCTAGTAATGGCAAATGAACTGAAATTTGAAGCAAAATAAATACTGTATTGCTGCCATTTAACATTCAGTAAACTTAAGAGTAAAGTTTTGAAGGAAAAAAAAACACATGCAGTTTATATCTAATGTCCTATGGCCAAAATGTTCGAAGCAATCTTAATGATCTTTAAACAATAAACAAACCTGTATTTCTATTGGTATTGAACTACATAAGTACCATTACCGGTAACTGGCACAAAATTAAAAATTTTATTTACTGTTTTTCTTGTATATTTTATATAAGTGAGCTTCCTTACATCATTTAATGTTTTAAATCTTCTAATTTTCCATACTTCATAACTACAAAAACATATATATTATTTATTATCTACGTAAATGTAATAGTTATTATGTATGTATTCTTCTCTGGAAAATAAACGGGCCTTAAAACATGGAACCAAAAAATTAAAACAAGGCGAGTACTGGAAACAAGTCTGCCACAAAGTCTCTGGATTGTTTTACAAAGATTTTCAGTCAGAGAAATTTTTAACAAATGATTATTTGATACAGTTACCCATTATTTCTTGCTAAATGACAAAACATCAATACTGGGATGAAGTTAAAGCATTATCTTGAACATGTTTTTTTTTACAACTTGACATATTAACAATTTTATAAAATTAATGAACTTTCCCCTACATCATTTCAAACATCAACAAGTCAAGCATCAAAATTGAGCCAAATAATATAGCATACAGACTATTACTTAAGATTTTCCTTAAATTTGAACTTTTGATCTAGATTTTGATCCTTGTTGAAAATACTTAACTTAAAATTCAACTTAAAACTGCACTTCATAAATAAATCACACTCTTTCATAATGATAAGATAAAAAAAACAATAAGATTGAACTGTGAACAGAATCATGTACAACACCACTTCAAACTAAGTGAAATGTTTATAGTTTAAACCCACACATGTAACCACAAACGCTTAACTACATAATTACAAATATACTATAAATAGAAACATGACAACACGTAATATTACCTGCGACAGTTTCCATCCACTTTGTTGATCATCAAACATTTCATGATACCTGCATTGTCCTCTCCCATTGGTATCAGACCTTAATAATATAACATAGAGTTATCAGGTCTTTATAAATCAGACATATACAATATGACAAAGTTCTTAGATCATTGGTATAGTTTGTTGTGTCTGGTTTTTATGGCAATTCCAACACATTTTTGGTCATACATCAGCATTCAGTCTGCCTAACAGACTTTCCCTCAATCTAACCAATAATTGTCAATTTCTCTGCAAGTGACTGTCTACTAATTGACCATGAATTTTGAATCAGTGGTGAGAGACAAAATAACCATTCAAATCAATGTAATAAATTTGGTTTCAGACTTGATAACACCGATACTAGGTCATTGGTAACTTGGTTTGTTTGGTTTTACGGAGCACCAACACAGTTTAAGTCTTTTGGCACCTAGACAGGAAAGTTAATTTTGGCTAACCTTGGGTGTTACAAACTTCAACACCTTGGGTCAAAACCACCTCACCTGCTGGAGTTAAGAGATGCATCAACTCCAATAATTTTAACATATTTAGTCACCTCTTATGATCATGCAGGGTTAAAAGGTGGCTACAATTCTGATGCCTCAATTTGTAAAGGCACAAGGGACACACATAAAGTTTCTTGATTCTACATTAAACAATATAAGTCATAAATAAAGTGAAAATAATTTTGGACAAAATGATTGACAGGCTAACAGAAAGAAAAGACTGCTGTTACATTGCATCAAATACTGTAATATTTTTTTTAATGTTCTGTGTAACTTGAATTCAAGAATGGTACAGCATAGAAAAACGTGAATTAAACACCTAGAAAATAAATGGTCAGGACTGGGAGGAAAAAGTATTACCAATTGTAGTTTGATTTGCGAACACTTTAGAGGATGAGAGTATATGTGCATTGATCAATGATTCATCTATTCTCATATATGTCTGATCTCCACTCGCTCCTATCCATGTTGCTCTACGACCAAATCTTGCTCCTGTAGTCAAATTATTACAAATATACACCTGATCCAAGGATATATTATTACAATTTATGTGTAGTGCATGTACAATCCACTATCAATAACTCAAACTACTGGAAATAGATGTTATCTGGAACTCGGCAAAAGTGAGTTTTTCAAGCTAATCCCCCGGTATAAACAAACTTTAACTGTTAAAGCTTCATGGTGCACTCACTACTGGTCACAATAGACTAGTTAAACTGTTTAATTTATTTTTGAATCTGTAACTGTTAATGTTTGTTTGTACTACCAGATAAGCTGGGAAAAACCCAAAATATTCTTAATTCGAGAGTAAGTCTATTCTGGGAAAATCGAAGAATTTTTAAAGTCCCATCGAAATTCCTTCTATATCCATATACCTTAATTCTGACTTACTGAGACTTCTGCTGTGTAGAAAGGAATAATTTGTAACACAATTTCTTATCAGTAAGTCGAAATGTAAAAACAGCTGACAGATCAAAGGTTGGCAACACAAACTCTTTCTACAAAATGAAAATATATTAATTTCTAAATCCAATGACAATAGTAAAAGAATCTGTTTCAATGGATAACCATATGTTTTATGATGTAAAATACCATTTAAAACACCTTGATAAAGATGTATACATACCCACACCAGGTACTGGAGCAGGCACCGTATACCAGACAGAACTGATCTTTGACTTTGCACCTTCCTCAATATCTGCTCTACCAAGTGCACCTTTCTGTAAAATATATCATTTACTTTCGAGACTAGAACAGTCAAATTCGAAAATTGGCATAAAAAATAATCTCCCTTGAAAAATAGCATTAGTGATCTCCCTTTTTTGCCTTTTTAGAATCAAATAATATTGGTTTGATGGTGTTTATCAGCTATATAATGGCCAATTCCTACTCGTCAAAACTCAAAACTGGGGTTGAATAGCCCATAAACACAAGTGACATTGATATTATTTCTTAAAGTGACATTATGCTCATTTTTTGACACTCTTTTTATATATTGAACCTTATAAATAAATTTGATGGATATTCATAAATTTCCCTGTGCCACAAATGCTATTTATTGTTCATGCGAAATAAATATAAAACTGAAAGGTATTACAAAATGTAAACTTTTTTTTACTTTCACTTGTTCACTCACAATATACTCTTGGGTGGGCATTATGTTACTTTAAATACAGTCGGCATTGTATTAAGAGACCACTCAAGGGACTGCCAAAAAGTGGTCTCTTAATAAAGTGGTCTTTCAACAGAATTCTGGAAAATTCGAGACTTTTTTATATTACAAGTCATAAATATACTAACATTTTTATAAAAACAAAAACTGTACAATTTTATATATGTATTACAGTTTCATTATTACATTTATGCCTTTCCTTAAAAAAAAGTCATCTATATGTGTTTGTTTTTTTTAGTAGAAATTTGTGTACAAATGTGATCTACGCTTTTTATACTACTAACAGGTCATTTTGACCTTGAAACAACGCATATTGTCATATATTATTAATATGTTCATACACATCTCCTGCTGAACATACTTTCAAATCATCAGCCAGACCTCTAGATAATTTTTCATGCAATGAGTTTTAAACTTTTCGTTTTTTCAGCAATTAGTTTTCACACTACCCCGATTTCAAAACATTAAAGTTTTAGAGATCTTAGATTTTCATTATTTTTATTCTATTTTATTTTATTTTTTTGTCGAAGGGTCATATTTAATGGGGTACTACATGTATTTTATAAAGCATCAGATGAGCACCTACACCATCAGGCTCGGTTCTGTAATGTTTAGTCCACTACTTTCACGATTTTATTTCGACTACAAACGATGGCATTTGCTATTTACTCAGACTCAATTCCATGCACGATTTCCTCATTCAATTTATCCGGCATTATTAGCTGTTTGTCTTTTTTTTTTCGCTCGTTCCGACGTCATTTTCGTTTTGATTTTCTGGAAGGGAGGTCACTCTGAGCACATGACAAAACTGTGCCAATGCGGTGTTGTGATACGTTATTGCTCTGACAAAATATGTCACAATAAATATTACTATCGGAAAACTGTTTCTTTCTTTTCGATCTTGAAACGATTGCAATTGTTATTCAATTTGTTTTTAAACGACAATTATTTGTGACGGTCTAATTGACGGCCGTTTAATAGATTCTTTAAGACCAATGACCATGAAAAATATTTGTTTGTTCAAACCTACTCGCTAATTACACAGGTGAGAATGTCCGTAGGGACGATTGTTTGTCACGGCCGTTTAATAGATACTTTAACACTGAATTTTGTACATTTGGGCCGATATTTAGTGGCCGCTGGCCGCGATATAAAATCGTCGTTTAATGGAATTAACTTATATAGTAAAAATCATCACGAGGGATTTTATGCGGCCGCTTAATAAACAAGAGCTGTCCGTAAGACAGCGCGCTCGACTTTTTTATTGCTTGCCAATAAAAAAAGTTTTTGCAGTAAAAGGCAATATAAGAATCTCTGTATTTTTAAAGTGAACTAGTTGTTTGATACCCTTGAATATTACAGCAATGTTTATATGACATAATTTATGGTAAAGTGAACAAGTGGATAGGAATGAATTTTTTTAGATTTTTTAAGTTTTTTAGTGCTTGCCTATAATACAAAACATTGACAGTTAAGGGCCATAATTCAAATAAAATCTTTGACAGAATTACCTTCTCCTGGACATGTTTGGGAATCATGATTGTAAACAAGTATTCCAACTTTCAAATTAATATCTCAAACAGTTCAGTCAAAAAGTGGACTGGTACTAAAAACTTAACCAAGATTCTAAGTCGATAAAAGGCCTTAATTTTTAAAACAAATCCTTGACAGAGTTACCTTCTCTTGCGTACAGATGGGGGTAATGATGTGAAATAGCATTAAAAGTTTCAAAGCAATATCTCAAAGGGTTAAGGCAATAAGTGGATTTTACCCATATTCAATGTATTTTCTAAGTCAAAAAGGGGCATAATTCTGTCAAAAACCTTGACAGAGTTATGTCCTCTTGTCTGTTGATGAAGGTCGTGATGGTAAACAAGTATGGTCAGTTTCAAAGCAATACCTCCAATGGTTTTGAAATAAAGTGAGGTGGTACAAAAACTTAACCAAGCTCAATACACTTTCTAAGTCAAAAAAGGGCCATAATTCTGTCAAAAACCTTGACAGAGTTATGTACTCTTGTCTGTAGATGGAGGTTATGATGGTGAACAAGTATGGTAAGTTTCAAAGCCATACTTGTAATACTTCTGAAATAAAGTGGGGTGGTACGAAAAACTTAACCAAGGTGTGACGCCAACGCTAACGCCGACGCCGGGGCGAGTAGGATAGCTCCCCTTTTCATAGAAAAGTCGAGCTAAAAAGTCGCTAAATAAAGGTGGACGCAAGTACGATGCCGACTGTATATCAAACAGGATGAATGAAAGAACATACCTGATAGTTTCCACAAGTAAGAACTTGTCCATTAGCCAGCAGAATAACTGTATGATGACTACCAGCTGCAACTTGACATGCTATACTTGGTAAAGCTACCCGTGTAGGACTGCCCCTGGAATATCATTATAAAACTTTATATATCTATCTTAAAACAATCTAACATGTCTATGATAACCAGACATTGACCTATTACAGGTAGCAGTGATCTTGACCTTTGGGCGAGACATGTAGAAATAGGTTCATCTACATATTAAGTTTCAGCAAAATTGCATGGTTAATACTGAAGTTAATGATCATAAAAAAAACTTAACCAAATCGGTTAACCAAAAGTCAATGCGGATACTGCTGAGTGGGTCATGACAGTAGCTGCACTGTATCTTTAATAAGTAGAGCTAGAAATGCACCATTCCTGGATATTAAATAGAACTCATTCTATGATAAAAACAACTTATTCTATGATAAAACAACTTATTCTATGTTAAAACAACTTATCCTATGTTAAAACAACTTATCCTATGTTGATAAAAGTAAGGTTTTAAGCTTATCAAAGATAGAATATGATAATAAAGTAGATGTTGAACTTACCTTGTCACTGTATCACCAACACCTAGTTGTCCGTTGTGGTTACTGCCAAATGTATAAACCTCTCCATTCTGTAGTAAGATAACTGAAAACAAAACAATATCAATTTTGTATAATTATATAATATTTTCTTCATTCAACATGTTATTTATATCACTTAAACTTAACAGATAACCTTAAAAGGACTCCACTGAGGTTTATTTTACATAAATAGAATTTTTTTATTTTTTTTTTGGAGATTTTTTTACAATTTCATGTAGGAATGGAGAAGATAATAACTTGCGTGCAAAAGTTCACATCATTCCCTTACTCAGTTTTCCCAGAATAATTATCTTTATTGTGCAAAATCACCAAAAATTGAAAAGCATTACAAACAAACAAGACTGAAAATAATGTAACAAATTCATTTTCAATTTAACTCATGAGTATATTTTTTGATTATCTTTTGCATACTTTTCCACTTTAAGTTCATCACATGATCTATGCAAGAATTTCAAATTTTATGTTTTAAGCTTTTTAACTTAAGTTGAGTTCCTTTAACAATTGTAACAAGAGATATTTCAATATCATGCTAACGCTGATATGTTGCATATTTTTGCTTTATTTAATTTTAAGTGCCACTGTGACAGTATTCAGTCATATACGACAAAGTAATAAACAAACATCTGTTCCAAGATTTTATAGCAATTCTACCTTGCTTTTGTATCAAAATAACTGTAAACTTCTCTGCATAAATAATTGGATATGGTTATGCAAGACCAATGACAGACTACTTATTGCAAAGAGTAATACATTGTATCTACTTCTTAAAATCTTTACAAGAAAATTTTGAATACAATGCATATAAATAGTATTTAAGTTCTGGCATACCATCAAATAGCTTAAGAAAACTTATAGAACTTACCAGTATGGTGCATGCCACATGATATTTGAGTGATGGGAATATCTCCAGATCCGATGGTTATCTCCTGTGGTGGTAGACTCACTATCTTGTTACTGTGTTCTGCCTCCTGCTCCTCTAAATCTTCTGAAACATTTCAAGAGTTAACTCCCTTTTAACATCTTAACACCATTTGTAATCAACAAAAAATATAAGTTACAGTTGGAGTAAAGCTCCTTTATATCATTTTCAATACTATCATAATATGTTAGCTATCCCAATCAGAATAAAATAAATCATTAGAAAATATACAAATTAATGGTTTAGTGAAAAGGTCACCATATAGCTAAAAAACATTCTTAATCCATGACACAACTACATACTTATTTTAGTGGGGCGGGAAATAAGGTCTCTGCTGTCAAAATAGTGCAAATTGTGATACAAGCATAAAACTTTCAGGAAATTATCTTTAGACCATGTAGATTTCAAAAGTGAAGTGGGCCCAAAAATATCTCTGCTCATTCAAGATGGCCGCCATTTTCAAGATGGCCGCCATATAAATTTGATGTACATAATAGATCATTCATTCCAATTTTTTGTACAGACCTGAAACTTACACAAAAGCATGCATATAGTTTACCCTTTTCAAAAATTTAAATCTTTAAGCAATTTCTCTTGCATATTTCTTCAGAATCCAAGATGGCGTCCAATATGGCTGCCAATTTTAATGAAAACTGATATATCTCTTTTGTAGTATATTTTTTTGCACACGGTATGCGTATTTCCATATAAAATTGTGAAATATATTAGAAAAAAAATAAATTTTAGGTTAACCATATTGTTAGTCATGTTTATAGTTTTTTGTACAAAAAAAATCTTTAAAAAATCAAAGAAAAAGTGCCATTTTTTTCATTTTTCTCTAACATGGTTTTCTAGGTCTATGTACAAAATTCCAAAAGTTACATAGTTTCTAAAAGTGTATTTGATATTCAATCAACACTATGTTTACTTGTATAATTGTAACAAAAACAAACAAAAATGTGAAGGTTTTATACTTATTAAAAGTGGGTGGGGTAAATTTATCAGACAATTGTAGTACAAAATAACGATTTTTAAGAATTCTTATGCAAATATTCACTGTAAAAGTATTTTATTGTATTAAGGTATTTTTGTTTTCCTTCAGGTCTAGAGGGTGTACTAAAATATCAATAAATGCAGATACAATCATATGTATACATTCAGTTATTAAATGTGTTTGCATGATATAAGTTGTTTCAATAGTCATAATATAACTTGATAATTGTACAGAAAGAAGACTGAATATTCATCAACGAACCATATGTTAGATAAAATCATGCCTGGACCTTAGTGAAATGTTGTCTATTTATGAATACAATTATTTCCTGCACAATTTAGTCTTGCTAAAAGCTTGTAACAGAATGATTCAAAGTTATATTTACTTGCACATCATTGTAACCAAGTATAATTGAATAAGTACCGTCCATTTCTAATAACTTATGTAGACATGATATTTTCAAAAGAAACAAAAATTTAGGCGACTGATACATCATATTATCTAATGAGCAGGTGTGCTAAAATAGGTATAAATAAAACCGCTTGACCCACATAACAAACATAGCTTATACTTTGGAATATAAACTAAATGCATTCCTACTTTATTTTTCCCATAAAACAAGAGAGCATTGTTGACCCTAGATCACGCGCCTAAGACCCACTGCTGGAAAAGGTCTATAATTCTTTTATACTGAAGAATGCTAAAATCATATAAGGAGTATCTTTTTTTCACCAGTCATGATTTAAAGAATCATGTCCAATAACTAGGCTCTCAGAACTACAAGAAGACTCATATAACTATATTCCAATAAGAGTCCATGTAAACTAAGTGATTTTGACCCTATGCCAATAGTTCATAATCTTTATATATAGCATCACAATGTTATGATATACAATATTTTCTCTTCTCTGTGCACATAGTTTCGGAGAAGAATTTTAATATATAAGTCAATGTAAACTAAGTGACAGGGAAAGCCATTTTGGACTGCAGGAACATGATTTAAAGGCCCTCACGTGGAACACAGTTTTTAAAGACTTGTGTAGGGAATCGCATTGAAGTTGTTTTGTTTCTTGATGTTATTAAAAAAATCAACAAACAAACAAACTGTAATGCCTAGAGCTTAGATAGTCAAAATATAACCTTGCCAAGTAAAGAAGACCTCTTTAAAGTTACATAAAACACTTTTGTATCATTAAGTGTACATGCAATAAAAAAAATCTTCTCAAAAATCAAAATGCATAGAGCACAGGTACTAAGCTGGCATGTAGCACCACCTTGGGTCTATATTAACACATTTTAATGAATCATGCTCATAGAGCCACCTGGGTTCACAGACTTGTATAGGAAAACACATTAAAAACATCTAGTGTTAAACTTCATTGACTTGAAATAAGATATTTGGGATGTACACTGATATAACATGCATAAATTTGTATGATGCTACTGCAGTCTAAAATGGTTTTTGCAATGGTATCACTTAATTTACAAAGACTACTGTAATAAATCTGTTTTCTCTTAACGCATATACATTAATCATGATAATAATGATATATCATGGACAACATGGTCCAAATTTACCAAACACAAAAGGTCACTAAGTTTATATGGGACTCGTATATAGATATGGTTATTAAAGTTCTCTCGTGTGAAACAAAAAATTGAAAGCAGATATTGAGCATGTTTCTTTAAAAGCAACCGGATTCAATTATGACACAAATCATGTGTGTTATGACATACTTGACACTCCCAAAATGATCTTGTTACCTTTTTTCCAACAATGATCTTAGGTGAGTGATCCAGGGTCATCATTACCCTCTTATTAAAAGAAAAAAAATACTTTAGGAAATACTAGTTCACTTAGTTTGTATCTTAACTTTTCAAAAAGTTGCATGCAGGCCAGGCCATATCATTGATATATATGTTTCACATCACATACATTTTTTTGGCTTTTAAGCCATGTTTATATTATAAATATAAAATTGTAGGAGTCAAAAATATGCGTTTATGGACTACCTTTTTACCTTACATTCAAGTACATGTTTGTTATTTTAAGCACGTTTAGTTGATTTATTCTTTACGATTAACAATTAACATATGATATCAAATGTATTGAAACAAGAATTATTATGCAACCAAATTTAATAACTGAATGTATACACATGTTTGTATGTGCATTTCTTGCTCACCCACCAAATGGCCCGAAGGAAGACAAAAATACTTTCATCCAATAAAAAGTACTTTTTAAGTTGGAACATTTGCATAAGAATTCATAGAAAAGTAAAAAGGCAAAGCAATAGAACACACTTAGCTATGTAGATTTGCTGTTGTTTTTTCTTTCACAATTATCATATAAAATTACCCCACCCATTTTCACAAAATATAAAACCTACAGATTTAATGCTTTTTTTACATTCTTTACAATAAACACATGATATTAATGGAATGTCAAATACAGTTTAAGATATAAAGTAAATTTTTAACTTTGTACATTACTTTAGAAAATCAAATTTGAAAAATATGAAAAAAATGGAATTTTTTCTTGATCTTTTTTAAAGATATTTTTAGACAAAAACTTTTAAAATGTTTACTTTTATTGAGATTAACATATAATTTGATTATCTCTGATATGTTTAAACACTTTTTTTATCATAATAACCAAAATTTGTGCAACAAATTATACTATAAAAATGATATAACAGTTTTGCACAAAATCGACGGCCATATTGGACGCCATCTTGGATTTGGAAAAAGTATGAAAGAGAAATTTTGTGAGATTTAAATTTTTGAAAAGGAGAAATTATATGCATGCTTTTGGTGTGAGTTAAAGGTCTGTACAAAAAATTGGAATGAATGAGCTAGAATGTACTCATTTATATGGCGGCCATTTTGAAAATGGCGGCCATCTTGAATAAGCAGAGATATTTTTGGGCCCACTTCACTTTTGAAATCTACATGGTCTAAAGATGATTTCCTGAAAGTTTCATGCTTGTATCACAATTTGCACTATTTTCTCAATTTCCCGCCCCACTATTTTGCTTACATACCCTAAAACAAGTATTGAATCAAATCTTAACCAAACAAGCACTTCACAAATCTTCATAAGCAAATTTTATGTTGTTTTTACAGAAGTTGCCTTGTCCAAGAGGTGACATTGGTCCTTTACATGCCCATTGTAAAGCATTGATACATGGTCATGGATCTTTTGGTTTTTAATGCCTCATCAAAAAGACTATTATAATTGTTAGTTGAGGAGTAAGGAATCAAACCTGCAATGTCTGGATTAATAGGCCAGCACTTTACCATGGAAACATGGATCCACTCCCTAATACAATCCTTTTATATAGTTAAGCATAATTCTTTATAGCTACTTAGGAAACTAAAAGCAAAAAATGCTGTATATCCATAGCCATTTTGAATTCGTTTGCTCAAATTTTCTTTATTACTGCAATGAATTTTTTTATTAATCTAAGAAGTATTTCAAAATAAACAAGAACTGTCGGAGGACAGTAACGCTCGACTATTCGAAAAGTTGTCACAAGGGTGTTTCATTGAGTATAATAATGCTTACCTATATGAATACATAAAATTGTCCGAAAAGGTACAAACCCTTCAGTAGTTATGGAGATACCTTCTAACAAGCAAAAATTTACCTAGAATTTCTAAGTCAAACTAGAAATGTGTCCATAGGACACGGATGCCCCCACACGCCTGCACTATTCTGTCAATCTTATGACTCTAGGTCAAATATTTTTTGGACTACATGTGCCACAAGTTGAAAACTAAAAATCAACAAAGGGCCACAATTCTGTATAATTTGGTCGCAGCAAAAATTCCTTCCTTTACTACCATCTACACATAAAGGTTTTTAATCCCTGGAAGTTTAAGCAAAATCTGCCATCCGGTTGAGAGGAGTTGCGTTCACAAAATTTCAACATAGTATATAGTGATAATCAAAAAAGGGCCATAATTCTGTTAAATTTGGTCGCAGCAAAAATTCCTTCCTTTACTAGCATCTACACATTTAGGTTGTTCATCCCTGTAAGTTTAAGCAAAATCTGCCATCCGGTTTAAG